GTGCAAGTAAACATCGCCATTATATGTTGGTAAAATACGTGAAGCGGTTCGGTGGTCTTATCCCTAACACCCCTGTAAGAATAAGAAATGCTGTTGTGCTGGAAATTTTCTCTATGGATAGAATATACAAGAATATCTAACCAAATATAAGCTAACCCCTGTCTACCATGTCAAGATTCAAACCGCGCGGGGTGCGACATATCTGACGTGCATCATCGGGTACAGTTGTCCAAATGACCTGATTGACCTCCCTACCAACCTGGTCGATCGCATCCATCGCCCAAAGGACATCAAGATGCTCATATTCTTCAATGATTTTTGAATGAACGAGACTCACATGAGGCTCACGGCCGCTTTGGAAGCGATTCAGAAGCCGGCGACCATCAACAAGGGCATCGGAGCCTCCGATCCAGAATGCAAACGGGGGTGTTCTCGGGCCATACCATGGACTCGGGGCCGGGGTTCCTAAACAAGCGTCTGCCGGATCGTCACCGTGCTCGGAAACAGGGTATCGCATATGCGGGTTCGCGTTTGTTTCTTGGAGCTCGTTGTCGGTGGACAAAATACATTTATGTTTCGCAAAGCTGTCGCTTCCCAGCCACCAGCGCATCGACTCAGCGCTGACATATACAGGAGCAAATTGAAACATTCGATGGCGCAGGTCACGCTCCCAGCGCGTGTCTGACCAATCGAACAAAAAGGAGAACACCCAATATGCTAGGGTTCCATATATCCTAGGTGGGAGCAGACGCCGAGCGGTCATCATGGAGGGAATGAACGAGTGGATCCCGAAGATGACTCGGAACATCGCTGGAGAGAGAAGGCTCATGAACCGGAAATACGGTCTGCTCACAAGTGGGCCTGCATACGCAGCCGGTGCAAGCGCGCAGAAAACCGAGATGTATTCACCCAGCTCAGGACGATGTTGCTTGGCTAGAGCAACGAATGTCTGCGTGGTTCCTTGGGAGTGGCACACGAGACCTAGCTTTTCGAAGCCAGTCTCGTAGAGAACACGTGATGTGAGTGCTGCAAGGTCCAGGGTCCCGAGGTGCCGAATATCCCAAGACCACATACGCGGGTCGTCGGTCGACAAAGTGGTGTGCTCGGGATGTGATCCACAGCGGTTATTCCCTAGCCAGACGTCATACCCTGACTTGCAGAGGTAAAATGCTAGGCTATGCTCGTCGTTGGTACAGAATGCACCAGCACTTTGCAGCAATCCATGGACCAGGAGAACAGGATACCGGCGGTTAGAGTGTGGACGGGATGTATTCGGCATTCTCGGCTTGGTGAAAACATCAGGTCCACGCTCACGCCGCTCTTCGGGTGACAATGCCTCATACTCCCGGGGATTGTACACGTGCCACAGGGTGATAATGAAACCGTCCTCGGTCTGGACACGAAATGTTTCCACATCGAGACCAACTCGGCGAGCATAGTATGCGACGTCGCCAACCACGGGATCCTTGCCTCCTTCCAACGACGGGCATTCTTGGCATTCTTCAGGTCCCTGTTCCTCGTCCATATCCCTTTTCTGTTGGCGCAGAGCCCATCGCCGGTCGGCGTTAGCCCGTGCCTTCCTACGCGCCTGTTCCTCCGTATAGAACGACCTCCTCGTGTCTGGGTTGTGGCCGTTCCATCGCAGACGAGCTTCCGATATTGCGACACCCGCTGTGTGAACCAGGGCTCCGAGAAATATGATCGTCAAAAAGCATAGCGACAGAAAGAACGAGGCAGCAATAAACGCATAGTATTGGACCCTGCGCAATGCAGACGGTGGGCCATACGACGGCATCGGTGGGAAAAGCGGGTGTTCTGAAGTCAGGAAATGAAGGCCGGAGGAAGGTCGTTTTTCTCTAAACGATGATGTGCCAGAGAATTCCATTGCCGCCGCAGTCTTACTGTCGCTGACGCTCATCCCCATTTTCCCTTTCTTCTCCGGTTGTATTTGGTCATATTGAACGTCTCGGATGGTTGCGCCGGCGTGACTCGTCTCCGCACGTGCGGTCGATATAAGGGGTTCGAGCGGAATTGTTGTGACCGACATTGTCATAAATATCACTCGTCATCCGGGATCCAAAGTGGACATTGTGATCTCTATTTCTAAACTCCGGGAATGGCGAGTAGAGGACGGACTAGTGGGTCCTAAAACATCATCGAGTATCAATCACTGTAGATTGTTGCCCATGCATGCCAAGGCTCCGATTTGTGCCACGTGACCTTTCAGGACAGGCATGTGGCTGTGGATTCAGTTGGCCAATCGGAGATCCCATGTTCACTGCGCCATAAATAGAATGTAAATGACGACTGTGTGCGGTACCCGTGCCAAGCCCACCAATACCTACCCGGCATTGATAAAGTGAGTGTTTTCGTTAATTAAAGGAATTAACCAAATCTCACGACATTAAGGGCAAAGATGAATGTTCAATAATCAATGCCGAGTAGGTATTTGGTGGGCTTGGCATGGTTATAGAATCCATGCTGTACTTATTGAAGTTTCAGCGAATTTCATAAACGAGGATGGTCTTATCTTAAATTCTATTAAAGCATAATATTATGGCTAAATAAATACAGGCACAAAGGGTATCAAACATGTCAGACCTCGACAGCTCTTTCATTGCCCTCTGCTGCCATTGCTTCTCTTTCATCAAGCGTAAACTCACTCTTAGCTTCTCTGATTCGCACGAAAAAAGCAACAATAAGCAGGCCTAGGATCGCCAGTCCGGTTTGGTACCAAAAGACAGCCTTGTAGCTATCGACAGTACCCAAATCTGTAGTCTGGGTATGAACAATATCTGCGAAACCAAGCATCACGGCAATTCCCATGTGCAGAGTGCAGTTGATCAACGCACCAGCTAAGCCTTGCCTTGATTTTGGAAGGTTTGTCGTAATGAAGACATTGGCGAGATTGAAGCTGATGTCAATGCCGACTGTGCCACATATCATCGCCGGGAATACGAAAGCCCAGTAATTTCCGCCAACAGGGATGACGGCAAAGAACAATCCAGAACCCACGTAGCCGAGACATGATATCAACATCAATATCGTTCCTGGGACTTTGTGGAAGATCATTCCTCCTCCGACTGAGAGAATAAGACCGCCAACTCCCATAGGCACAGCCCATGCCACGATTTGCATTGGGGAAGCACCCATTATATCAGACATGCTATAGATTTTGTCAGCAAAAAGGCAGCCTGAACGAGATAGCTAGGATACAACTCACTAAAGGACGGCATACAGTAAAAATATACCTAATGTGCCATAAAGGAATAGCAAAGCGATGACGAGAGGCAGCATATACTTGACACGGAAAACATCACCAGGAAGCAGAGGGTTCTTCACAACCCATCCTTCCACATAAACCATGATTCCGAGGAGAATGAGCCCAATAGCGAGGAACAGAGGGATATATGGCGTTTTCCATCCTTGCGGTGCATAGGAACTGTCCGCAATGGCAAAAACAATGAGCACAGCTGCTGGGATGGAAAGACACGCACCAGGCCAATCCATCTGGATGCCCAGTTTTCTCTTCTCGGAATAATCTCGCGGGATGGAGAAGAGTGACAAAGCTGATGTGATAGCGGAGAGAATCGCTCCGAAGAAGAAGTACCATCTCCAGGTGAGATATTCACCTGAGAGTCCGGAGAAGAAAATTCCCACGAAAAAGCCTAGCGCTGCACATGCGCCATAGATACTGAAGACGATGTTCTTTCTGGGTCCCGGTCTGTAGGTGCTGCCAAGAACCATAATTCCCGATGGAAGAAAGGCAGCCAGAGCGAAGCCCTGCAACGCTCGACAAATAATCAACATCAGCCATGTCTGGGAGACACCACATAAGATGGACGATATCGTGAGCCAAATAGCCCCACCGCTGTAAATGAGATATCCGCCAAACATGTCGGTTAATCTGCCGAAGATAAGGAGCGTCGAGGTCACGACCAGCGATAATGCGGTAGACGGCCATATGGCCGAGGCTTCGGGAAGGTCAAGCTCTTTAACGAGCGTTGGAAGGAGGACATTTGAGCCTGAGATATAGTATTCCTAGCAAGATGTCAGAATTTTCCCTGGTGGTGTAGGAACCATCGTCGATGACTTACTGCAAGAATTTGGGACATGAAAATTGAAAGACAGAAAGAAATTTCCGACCAAGGGCCGGCGAAGCACTTTGGACGCTCTCTTCCCAATCTCTCCAAATCGACAGTCTCTTGGTTTATCCTGGCCTGTTCCGGGTCATGTTCTATGGCCTCATTGCTCGGGCCAGGAGTTTCTGGCTCTCCCATGATACTTATCAGAAGTGTGTATGTTTTTTTGTTAGTGTTGGATTACAAGTGAGCGGTACACCATTGTATGCGTGATGAAAAGATTTTTATAACCATGATGAATGGCCATTTCTAAGCAATGACGCCCCAACAACTACGGAGTACAGATTAACAGACCCAGTGAGACTGTACCGGTATCTGATTAATATTGACCGTTTCTAGAAGACTACTACAATTTCTAGCACGAGGAAAGCAAGGTGATTTGTGGGTTAGAATCGATTCTGGGAGTTAAATCTCCGCGCCAAGACTTCTACCCTGGGCTTCCTTTTTAGGAAGTTGTGAGGAGTGGGGCTGACGAAATCGGAGGCGACGTTGACCATCGGCCTCATTTCAGGGGCTTCTCAGATTGGACATCTTCGGAGTTCGTATAAAAACATTTTATGCAATGCAATGCTTGTTGCCAATGCATATTCTCCGAAGATCTTGGGCTCTATACTTCGCTGCCCAGCCAAGTTCGTTTGAACCCGGTTAGTTACTGATATGTTCAGTCACAAGGTTGCCCACTTTTATGGATTATAGATTCGCTTATTTTCTTAACTCTCTGGCTTCGCTTTTGGGTGCGACAAAAATCAGTTCTCCACATTGAACGTTAAACACTATATTCCCTTGTTAGGCACTCAGCCAGTGCAAAGCTTGAATTATTAATTGGCACCTTGATCTTCTTGTAATAATATACATCCAATGTCCATGCATCAGAACCTTGAGGATGCGATATGTCTTCTGGCGTTAATCTCAGACCGTCCACCGGGCCTCAAAGCACCAACACAAGAGATGGAACCTAGTGATATCGATAGAGTGTTGGAGTCTTATCCCAACGACGAGGAATTCAAAGACCCAAAAGATCCAACTGTCCTGATCCAGAGGGTGAACAATACCGCATCGAGCTTAAAAACCAATTCCTCGACCGATTTGCCGAAACTCTAGCTCGCTTCAAAACTGATGCCCAGGCCAAGACGTGAAACGATGCAAACCATGTCTGATTCAGTGTCAAAGAACTCAGACTAACAGCCAAGGCTGCAGTTGCTTTCCATGGTTTCTCAGTCTGTGCCAATCACGCTCCTTCGATATACCTAATCATGATGGACAGTACCTTTACCAATTTTGGGCCATAGAAAAACTGGAGAAGGCTCTTTCCATTGATTATGACACTGTCCTATCCGGAGCAGAACGTGTTGTTTGGCTTTTATATAAGACGCTTTTCCGAGACTTCAACAACATTCCCAATATTGGTGACCCAGAGTGGATTAGATTCGGTTTCTGCTATTGCATAAGCAGGACCCAGGTGGAACTCCTTGCAAAGGCTTACATCCAGCTTGCCACCCATGCATCGCTCAATCAAATAAAGGGTACCTCAACCCCTCCCCATATCGTCTCCTGGAGGATGTAAGATAGTGAAGCAACTATGGGCAAATTTATTTGTTGGCTTCTTCGTAGGCGATGTGATAGTGGCTGTATGAACTAGTTCCGAGGTCAAGAGACAATACTATGCACGTACTAACAAGAAACGATCAACAGAAGTAATTATAATTGCTGATGAAAATCTAATACCAACGATGGTGCTCTTTAAATAGCTTCATGGCGACAAAAGGACAAAGCAACAACGGCCTCGAAGTCACAAAGGGGCGAAGAGAGATCTGGCAAACTGCATGTGTATCGCAGTGTACAGTGGCCACTAGGGACTTGAGGCCTATTGGCTTTTATTGCCAGCAGAAAATTGGCCATTACGATTTTTTAAATCATGATGCGTAAGAATTAACTGAACAATTGCTTTTAGTCATATAGATATTATGTGTTAAAAAACTGCTTTGTGGGAATTGTCCTTTTCATCTATTTTTTAGGTTATAACTGATTATCCTAAAAAAGACATCTAAAAGATACCTCAAATATAGCGTAGTAGGAATCGTCGTCATAACTCTATAGTATCATTATACAATAACTCTAGACTAGTGTAGTCGAAGTCTTTAATATTACCGATGGCCAAGAAGTCCATTGGTCCTGGAGATGCAGATCTATTACAACATTACAACTATGGATCATATTCAATAGAGCTTGAAAACATCGTTCTGGCCTTGAAATACTTCATAAAAGGTAGCCTTCTCTTTGAGATCGGTCATAGGAAGGAGCTAAATTAGATTTCACTGCTTAACCTAGTATCTAATAGGGCCAATTGCTGGTTTTATTGGTGGTTTAGGTCGCAGTGAAGAAGCGGAAGCTTACTATACACACGTTGTCGAAGCTCGGGAATCTAAAGAAATACGACATGATGTATCAGGCCAATATACTACGTTGATCATACTAGGCGGGGTTACTTTTGGAAAAGGTAGATCCGGTAATATGTGGTATGTGCTTGGAATTGTGCGGATCTTGCCAGTCAAAGTAGAATCAAATCAGATACATATATCCCCCCCCCCCCCCCCCAGTTGCTCGGGTGTTTCACAAGGAGACTCTTAACATTTGGCTCGATACCTACAATAAGGTATATAAACTAGGGATATATGCCACCAGCTTGAAGTTACAGTTGGCACAGTGACAGGTCAAGTGGGGGACACTAGTAGCAGCTACCCGAAGTTGGCGCGGGTATAAAGTTCTTTTGCACAGTAACCCGTGGACCTACTCCGTATACGGTGTAGGTAGAACTTCCAAGGTTGACGAGTTAAATAAGACACTCTGCTGATTTAAGATCACCATCCCCATAAATTTGTTAATCTCCTATTATTAGAACAGTACTTATAAGGGAACCCAATGCATCTGCGGTTTGTTTACCCCCCCACCATGCCTTCGCATGAGACTAACAAAGAACCCTCAAGACACAGTCGAATCTTGTCATTTCATCCTTCGCCTGACACCGCAACAGAACAACATCAATTCTTTCCCTGGTTTAAATTGCATCTCCACGAGCAGAATAATCTTCATAATCTTTAGAAAGCAAGTCAATAGTTCGGTCGAAAAATTGTTCGTCTCGTCGTTGGGGTGACCCATCGTATTGTATTATGCCCTGCACGTGATATGTACTATGCGGTTGCCTGATCTGTTGACACCTCGTAATGCCAAGGAATCAACAAACAACAACATACGCCTGCGATTACTTCGTTTCATTTTCGTCTGATGCTGAGCATCCGTCATTATCAGTCAGGGATTTGAAGTCAATCTCAAGCTGCTCTACTGCACCCACCATCGATATGGCGCCTGCTATATCACGCACGAATCGAGTGTGGTCTCGGAGAGAAATCGAGGGATTGATAGCAGATGGGCGAAAGATAATCATATTTGGTGGTCACGTACTCAAGGTCGACGCGTGGATACCATATCACCCAGGCGGTGATAAATCAATATTGCACATGGTCGGTCGGGATGGGACGGATGAAATCATAGCGTTACACTCAGAGGAAGCACAGGCATATATGCAAAAGTATGCGATAGGTAGAGTACATGGAAGATGGGAAAATTTCTTGCCTCCGATACAGGGAGGGATATTCAGAACACTGGCATCATCGGACGACGACGAAATTGAAGATGCCAGCTCATCTGGACAATCCACACCGCCATCACTCGTATTCGATACTGAACATACAGGAGATGAAGTGCGTCGGAGGCGTATAGGCAATGATACGCCTATTTCTCGAGCTTCATCATCAGAGCCAGAATCGGAGCAATTCGAATCGGTGGAAGCATCAACAGCTCACGCAATATCATCAGACCTTTCAAAATATCCTCGTCTCGATCCAATATCACAAGATGAGGTTATCTCAAAGTACCGCCAGCTCGATGAAAAACTGCGGTCCGAGGGACTCTACCAATGCCCATATAGCTCCTACGCTGTGGAATTTATCCGATACTCGACTCTTTTTATTCTCTTCTTGACATGCCTTCACTGTTCCTATTACACCCTCTCGAGCTTTTTCCTCGGGTTGCTCTGGCACCTGCTTTCATTCCTCGTGCACGACGCCGGTCATTTAAGTATAACACATGGATTCCACACGGACAGCTGCATTGGAATTTTTGTTGCAGATTTCATTGGTGGTCTTTCAGTCGGTTGGTGGAAACGCAATCACAACGTGCATCATATAGCAACCAACTCGCCCGAGCACGATCCGGATATCCAACATATGCCGTTTTTTGCCATCTCTCCTCGGTTCTTTGGCTCGCTGCACTCGACCTACTATGACCGCGTTATGCCTTTTGACGCTGCAGCACGGTGGTTTATCAAGCACCAGCATTACCTCTACTATCCCATACTCTTAATGGGTCGTTTCAACCTATACCGTCTAGCATGGTCGTATCTACTGGATCCGAAGCAATCGCCTCGTAAAGGCTCGGCATGGTGGCATCGCTACCTTGAAATGACCGGTCAGGTGTTTTTCTGGTACTGGTACGGCTACCGAACGTTATACCTCTCGATCCCGACGTGGTCATCCCGCATCGCATTCCTGTTCATTTCGCATATGGTCACCGCTCCGTTGCATGTCCAACTCACGCTTAGTCACTTTGCCATGTCGAGTGCCGACGGGGGTGTCCACGAGTCGTTTGCTCAAAAAATGGTGCGGACAACGATGGACGTCGATTGCCCGCCTTGGTTGGACTTTATACATGGCGGTCTCAATTACCAAGTCGTTCACCATTTGTTCCCTCGTCTGCCGAGACATAACCTACGTCGGGCACAGAAGTACGTCAAGGAGTTCTGCGAGGACGTCGGAATTCCTTACGTGATATTTACTTTTACACGCGGAAACCAAGAGGTCATTAGCAGACTGGGAGAGGTCGCTGAGCAATTGAGGGTGATGGAGGAATGTAGAAAAGTTGCTGCGAAGGACTTGATTGAAGGTCACCACAGTCATTGATTGTTTTGTTTCGTTCCTTTCTTTTTGGGTATATAGCCAAAAAAAACAAAAAAAAAAAAAAAAAGTGTAAATAGAATGCTTTTGGGCTGAGTTCAAGCACGGCTCCCTCATAATCACGATGCGATATCTAACCTTTGGCTGCATACCAAGGCGTTTGCCATCGCATTATCCCCGAACCTTGTTTCCGTCTGTACTTCTCGTATCTCAAGTAATCACAAGATTAACCAGTTCACTTTGTTTGTATCAAATCTATTTGTATCGGTGTGCTATACACGAGATACCTAACTTCAAGATGCGATTCCCCTCCGTACGGGTCCTTGAGATAAAGTGATTACTCATGACAATAAGATTTCCCACCTGCAGGTTCCAAGGTTCCAGGAGAAACTCTTATTCAAAACCATAAAGAAACCGCATTTGAGATTCTTGAGCATTGAGCTAGAATCTCAGATACTCAGACCTTACTACTCACTTCCAACACGCCGCTTACGAATTTTTTTTCACTGCTTATTTTTCTAATGTCAGGCGAGAGAGAAATTTGACTTCTATAACTCAGTCTATCGCTTTACAACATACAAGATACGGTGAAGATCGTCTTTCTGCGCAAAACGGTAGTAAAGGAAACCTCAACGAGCCCCCTTATCAAACTCCGTATCCATGAAGGTGACATGAAACAATCAATTTAAATGCCACAAATTCCGAGGTCAGATAGGTCAGATAGTAACCTCATTGCGGGGGGGTTGCCTTTCTAGGAATCTTCGGTGAAGATCAATGTAATCAATGTAACATCCTCGCAACCTTAACAATCCCCCCGCAGGTACAGGAACATTTTGGACCATTTAAAGTAACCACAAGTCAAAATAGGAGTTCCTAAAGTGTTCACAAACTGCGAGAGGTGTTATATAGGCAATAATGATAACCACACAATGGACAGTTTAAACAGCCTATAGTCGAAATGAAATTCTCCACACAACTTCTTCTCCCTTTCTTCCTTGGTCTTGCGCCTTCAGCTTCGACTGCTTCCCCGAGCGATCTGCAAGCGCAAATTGGGCACCATGTCATCTTCTCTTACCCCGGCCTCGAGCCGCCAGCCCATCTCCTCGACCTGATCAAGGAAGGCAAAGTCGGCGGCATCATGCTCTTCGGCGAAAATGTCGGTGATAACCTCACAACCACAATCGACAACTTCCAAGAGACTTACAAGCAGAGTCCGTACTATTCAGGCAGTCCTCTGTTCATCATGACGGACCAAGAAGGCGGAAAAGTACGTCGATTGGCTGGCGGACCAGTAGAGAGCGCTAAGCAAATCGGCCAAGCCGCCAATCCGAAAGCAGCAGCCATACAGATGGGCAAAGATGCTGCGAGCACGCTCGAGGAATTCAAGAATAACGTCAATCTGGCACCTGTATTGGATGTTTATCGAGAGGCCGGCGACTTCGCCGATGCCTCCCAGCGCTCTTTCAGCAACTCATCCCGCGTTGTCGGAACATGCGGGTCTGCGTTTATCAGCGCGCAACAGTCAGCCGGCGTCGTCGCATCTGCCAAGCACTTCCCTGGCCTCGGTGCAGCAGGCGCAGGCGAGAATACGGATCTACAGCCCGTCACCATTGACTTAACGCTCGAAGAGCTGCGCAAGGTGGATATGGCCCCGTATACTAAGGCCATTGCGGCAGGTGTGAACATGGTCATGACTTCGTGGGCTATATATCCTGCTTTGGACCCGACCTATCCCTCTGGGCTGAGCAAGACTATTATCCAAAATGAGTTGCGGGGTAGACTTGGCTTCAGGGGTGTTATTATTACCGATGCTATTGAGGCGGGAGCGTTAGAGGCGTTCGGCAGTCAGGCTACTCGTGGTTTGTTGGCTGCGCAGGCTGGTGTTGATATCTTGCTTGCGGCTAAGAGAGATGTCACGCAGGGAGAAGATATATTTAATTCTCTGCTTGCTGCGTTGGAAGATGGGTCATTGGACCAAAAGTCGTTTTCTGCTGCGACACTGAGAATCCTGGAGGTTCGGAAGAAGCTTGCTTAGTTACATGTTTGTACATTATATAGACCGAAGCCGTATCAGACAGGGTTGCATTACATAGAATCAAGAAATTATATCATAGATTTAGTACTGCGTGTTTCAGTGAAGTCCCGAAGTAACTTCAAAAATAGTCGCTCAATTTTCACACTATGCATGAGGCTTGGAATCCTGGTCGTCATCTACCTATGCGGGCAGATCTTGACCTGTTCATGTCAGAGACGAAGGACTTTATTCTCACTCCAAGTAACGCCAATGCTACCTACAGGTTACATATGGCTAGCTGTGGTGATATTACTCGTTTAAATTCATACTACAATATAGTTTACCCAAGTTATCTGACCTGCTTCAAAGTCAAAAGAAGAGTTGTACTCCGGTAATCCCAACCTTCCTAGTCCACTATAAGGAGAGAGATTACCTGTGATAATCGCCTGTCATCGGTTCCAGTTAATATAAGAAATGTTTCTTGTTGCATCTACACTGGCCAGTTATGAGATTCCAATTTAGAGTGAAGCACGCACCTGCCGACGTTAATACTGACGCACAAAAATGAGAATTTTCTCCCGACAACGCCACATCCCACGATTATTGCAAAATTTCATCAATTTCATCAATTTCACCAAAAAAGCAAGTGATATGAACAAAAGGCAAAAAGATCATGATAAGAGTGGGATTCGAACCCACGCCTCTTGCGAGACCAGGAAACTATTGCTAGTTGTGGAGTCAAGGTATACCTTAACCTGGCGCCTTAGACCAACTCGGCCATCTTACCAGTGAAGATGAATGATGGATGAGAATATGGCTATATAAGCGAAAACAAAATCAAATACCAACATTGAATGCAGTATCATGCTCCTACTGACGTAGTGCAGAGTAAATTTAGCTATCATACATGTACTAGGGATTCTACTTCGGTGCAAAGTGCCTCGACACAAGCAATCCATCTACGTAAGGAAAAGTTGGTTTCAAACATGCTTTTTATACAATCTAGCTCTTTTTATCATCTTACCGACATGGGACATAGTTCAAGGCAGCTCATATGCCACTCACTTCATAGAAAAATTCACAGACAACACCACCTCGCTCCGGGGCCACTTTCAGACCCGAAAAATTGATTCAAAAAAATGCCAAAAAAAATTGACCGACGCAGGGATCGAACCTGCAATCTCTTGATTCGTAGTCAAGCGCCTTGCCATTGGGCCAGCCGGCCGTGCTTATAGGGACGGACACAAAATGTGCACTATAAGCGAAAACTAAATAGGACCCACTCTATCCCTCATCAGCCTCATTGGCAACAAATATCGTCGTCGCAATTGGCCTATACTTCGTTTTAAATATATAAGGCTAGTCTAGTAGTAATAGATAATGCTTATCTTGCTTCTGTTGATATCAAATTTAGCTTTTACATATATGTTCTGAATGTCACAGTAACTATATAGAAGCATTATATATATTGCCATCCAGCCTGTAGGTAATATGTCCGCTACCAGCTACTCCAACATATAATCGTCTAGTGCCGCGTTTAGGGCTGTTTTAAGATCCCGTGGGGTTATACTAACAATATACCAACACCCACAAAAGGCTATTGGACGTCGAGAGATTCTCTAGTCAATATTGGAAGTTACGCGGATGAACCAGCGTCCGATGGAAAGTGGAATGTATACGAAGTACGAAGTAGGAAAAAGTAGGTCAGTCTTTTACATAAAATACTACCACAAAGTACAGCAGGGATTGTCGTTCTCATTAAGTAATGAATCTTGTTGCCCACATGGGTCCCCAATAGTGTCAAATAGCTCGTGACCAGTTTAGCGACATATGCACGAAAGACATGTCATGCCAGCATATATTTGGTTGTTGCTGCAATACGACGTAGTAACCATAGGAAACTGGATAGATATAGTGGTGGGGACCAAGCAAAGTCCGCGCTGGAATGAACAAAATAGACAGATGTCGTTGTGGCGTGAAACATATATGTGAGTACTTCTGAGGTTGCCTCTAACAAGCCAACTGCTTCATTTGGCCCCCACTGTTCTGGGGTCCATATTATGGAAAAAAAAAGCCACAGACAACGCGCGTAGCAATAAAATAGCGCTAAAGGTACTAGGCTATACAGAAAACTACAAGTCAGGGCTTTCACGTTGTGCGATATTCTAGTTTCTTTAGAGCTTAGCGAAGTGAGTACCTTAGGAGTTAGGTCTATACGTGGGCATCGTCGAGAGAACAGAGGAAAGAAAGCACACCTACCTACACATACCTATAACACCCGTTGTGTAGTGATTAGTCCTATTGGGACCAGTTGGTTTCATAATAATTTCGGGTGTGGTAGGATACCCCATGCAGCTCTTCCAAAGGGTGCGTTCGCAGGGGTTCTCAAAGGAGATACAGCCACATGCGGCTAGAACAAACAGTGTATACCAGGATCAAAGGAAAGAAAAGAATTGACTCATGGGTTGGTTCGGAGGCCGCAACAAAATAATGAAGGTCCGATCCAATGGGACATTTCCCATAAGGCTAGGTCGATCTTGAGCACGGGAGGTGGGCCCCGGATGTCTCTAAGATCGAGCTGCGAAGACAAGAAAAATTGCTATATATATCGAAGTGAATATTTTTATTGCTTCTTTTGAGAAATATTTATGTGAAACTAACTGTTTTGAATAACAAAGTCCTACGAAAGTCCAAAGCGGCTAGAAGTAAGAAGTCTCGCTCGCCACCACGGACTAGACCGGAGGTAGTTCCGCCCTAGCCATTTTGAGCTCCACTGCGTCAACGGCCTGGTATCTCTCGGCGCTTTTATTTTTCGTCCTTTGAACCCCTCCTCTTGTCTAACTCTCTGTCATTCTCTTTTTCTTTCCCATTTCCATTACAGGTTCTCTGTATTCTACTGATTGGAAGCTTACCCCTTTTATTCTGCGGAGCTCTCACCGAGCGCGCCGCAAACCGCAAGCTACCATCATGGGGCTGTCCAAAACGAACAGGATTTTGATCCTGCTGGTCATCGATACAGCATTTTTCTTGCTTGAATTAATCACTGGTTCGTATATTGGCAGCTCGATTGTATGCGACCGGGTTCTGACATTGATTTCCTAGGTTATGCCGTCCACTCCCTTGCCCTTGTCGCCGATTCCTTCCACATGGTACAGTACCATCTACGACCTTGCTCTCTGGCTGAAGCTAACACGAATAGTTGAATGATGTCTTATCCTTGTGTGTCGGATTATGGGCAGTCAAGGTCGCAAACCGGGAGACCACCTCCAACACGTACACCTATGGCGTAAGTCGATGACCAACACCAGCCCCGAAGGACGATCTGACAATTGGATTTTTGTTATACAGTGGCAACGAGCGGAGACACTTGGTGCCTTGGTCAATGGCGTGTTCCTAGTCGCCCTGTGCATGTCGATTTTCCTGGAGGCAACTCAGCGATTGTTCGAACCCCAGGAAGTGCAAAACCCCCGATTTGTTTGCATTGTTGGCTGCTTCGGCCTAGCTTCCAATATCATTGGATTGGCGCTATTCCATGACCACTCCCATGGACCCGGCGGCGGCCACGACCATGGTCACGGTCACGATGAACACGACCATGATCATGACATCGAGGCTGGTGAACATGATCACGATCACACATCGATCGCCGATCAGAGTGAGGACATGGCGGGCACTACCGCTGGCTTTGGCGGACCCGCAAGTGTGCCTCAAAACTCCCTCACGCACTCTGCCACCGTACCACCCCGAAAACAGCGCGATACCCAGACCCGCGGCCCAAGGAGATACAGCACAGGACGCGGATTTGTGAGCCCCGACGATATTCCCGTACTTCCAGAGAGACTGAGACAAGGGATTATCGCCGCCAGCCAATACCGGAATGAACAAACATCGGATTCGGAGAATGGCCACGATGAGGATGAGATCCCATCTGAGCGTTCAGGTCTTCTGAGCCACCGTGATCGCACCACCAACTACACCGATGAGGAGGGATCTTCAGTCAAGATCCACGACCACCGTGATGAAGATGTCCACAAAACTCACAACCATGCTCAACCCAAGCCGAAGGACCATCAGAAGGGTCACAATCACGACCTCAACATGCGTGGTGTCTTCCTCCATGTCATGGGAGACGCCCTCGGAAACATTGGTGTGATCGTTTCCGCGCTTATTATCTGGCTGACGGACTACGAATGGCGCTATTACGTCGACCCGGGCATTTCCCTCGTTATCACACTGATCATTCTTGCATCCGCCATTCCGTTGTGCAAAGCTGCCTCGCGTATCCTTCTTCAGGCCGTACCCCCCGGTATGAGCATTGATCATATCAAGGAGGACATCGAGGGTCTTCCTGGTGTCATTGGTTCACACCACCTGCACGTTTGGCAACTCAGTGACACCAAGATCGTGGCTTCAATCCATCTCCAAGTCGACACCGAAATCAAGGGCGAAGGGTCGGAGAGGTACATGCGCCTGGCCAGACAGGTGAGACGCTGTCTCCATGCCTACGGTATTCACTCTTCGACTATCCAACCCGAGTTCGCACCGGAAAGTGACACCGAAGACAATGGAAGAGCATCGTCTTCTCGGGACACCGATGACCACGTTCTCAGTCGGGCTGGCAGTCTTCGGGAGGGTGACCCTCAAGCATGCCTTTTGGAGTGTGACACAAACTGCGCCCGAGGAGGCCAGTGTTGCCCTAAAAAGTGAACTTGATTCCCTGACGTGGTGACTTTTCACGCACCTTCGTTTCTCATTTGGCACCATGACCCCCAAACATCTCACCCCTACGGTTTTCCTATCCAGATACCCTATCTTTTATCCCCACCTTCTTTGTTTGGGTAGATTCACAAAGACTTGCCCCACTCATTCCCCATATTAATTGTCTGGTTTTCTTAGAAGTGGTAGTTTTCCCTTGGGCCAACCTGTTTTTGGGAAATGCATGGCAAAGCATGCCATGCAATATCGTCCTATTTGCGGACATAAGCCCGCTGACCCACTGTATTCTTTAGACCACATTTTTATGTGCTTCTATTTATCTCTAATTCAATATCTGCGAATCAGCCTCGGAAATGTACTACACGTGTATATATATGTACAAAGTATAATATAATAAAAGTGACTTTATTTTGTTCAGGGTTTAAATACAAATTGTAGGTACCTACCGACTTGCTACTAGCAGCGTCATCTCAAAACTGAGTAACGTTAAATATCTGGACCACCTTATGTGGGTTCTTGGCTAGTGGTAAATGTATGCATATATTGGCTCCTAAAGCTCCGATATAGATACTGACACGCGGCAGTGGCCATTGATCTAACCGTACTGGCTGAGTCCCTGCCGCAGAAATAGGCCGTTCTTCTCACCGGTATTGCATGCGTCTGGGGCTTTGGAAGCACCGCCAACGCACTCATTGTATTACCCCATTGTCTTCTTATTATCCTATCAGAACCACTACGTCTAGCTACCTCCTGTGTTAGCATGGCCTCTTGTCGTCGAATTCTGTTGCCCCAACAGAACTAACACGGAGACGTGCGTCCGATCTGACAACATGGGTTGGCGATATATCGATATCGTCCTTGGTGGAATATGTTTGATCATGTTTATCGTGCACTGCTTGATCCTTGGGATACACGAGTCGCCGAAATGGCTAGTCAGCAAAGGCAGAATTGACGACGCCGTGAAAGCACTTAATTCGATCAGCTCTAAGAACAAATCCGAATGCACAGCAGACCTTCAGCAATCCATCAATATACCACAGGAGCAGGCTGCAAACCCTACATGGCTTGAAGATGTCATTTCGATTCGGGAGTTGTTCTGCGGGCAGAAGAACATCAAGCTAACTAATGGAGCTCATGATGTTACTCTAGGCGTTTGTTGGAATTTGGGGAACTTGGCCTGTCGTCTCTCTATCCCCAGGATAATATGTTGGCTGATTCTCTCTAATAGTTATCCCCTCTATGATGTCTTCCTTCCCTACTACCTGGAAGTGCACGCCGCCAATTTGGGCGACAGTATTAACTACTAGACATACCGAGACCTCGCCATTTCCTCTGTAGTAGGAATCTGCGTGCCCTTGCTAAGCGCCTATTTTGTCAGACTCCCTAAGCTCCGTCATCAAGGGGCACTAGTTATAACAGGCTGTATATATACACTCTTCGCTGGGTTATTTACCTAGGTCCGAATCGAGGGGCAGACCATTGGGTTTTCATGCATGACTAATTTCTAGCTGAAAGTAGTAGTTATATGCTATTATTTATAGGTATGCGCCTTTCCCTTTCTCTTCCCCCGAATGATCAGAGCTTACCTTTGTTAGATATACTCCCGCATATCTAATAACAAAACTCTGCGACGTTGGGTGCGGGATGCTCATAGCATATAGTCGCCCCGTCTCCATTTCCGCAGCCTTTATTGCAACGTTCGGGGACATTACCTCTAGTGTACCACTTTGGGTTCCCTATACGTTGTATGTGGCTATAGCTTTGGTAGGACTTTTATTGCCGCGTATCGACTACTAGTACGATGCATGGTTAATTGTTTTGTGTTTTGTCGAATACTAAGGTGGAATATAGGGTCGAGACAGTCTACAGGAGTGGCTACCTGTCAGGCTGCCACTCCGCCAGGCAGAAGCAAAGGGAGCGACTGCGACTAAAAATAGTTTGATGTCTTCTACAAGTATTATCACACCTCTATCTCAACCCAGGGTTTCAACTCAAACAGCGGCACACAGGCTACCACAAGTAGATAAATCCATATAAGTGCATGTGAAGTGATCCACTTCCGAAGAAAGAACTTCGAGCCTCGTCAAGGTCTACCGTTGCCTAACAGTCGCTCTAGACTGTCCTGTGGCGTGCACCTACGAGATCGCTCTGACGCTTCGACAAAGTCCAGCACGGCCTAAACCGCCCTAGCCCACCTTCCTTACCTTCGGTTGAGCCTCTTAGTAGGCTTAGCAAGCTTCGAAACGTGTCCCCTCTTTCGTCCCACACCTCCCATCGAATGTCTCCAAGGCTTGGACAATGCACCAGCATACGGGTGACTTGGGTGGTCGTTGTCGCGAAATCCAAAAGACTTGGCTTAGATAGATAGCCAGCTGTGTATTGTGGCGTAGATATGTTAGCAGCTTTGCCTGATTTCTGGGCAGTTTGCCATATAGCTTTCTGGTGTGCTTTGCCGGCAATGTGCTATCAGTTTTCCCGACCCCTTAGAAAGCTTCTGTCCACGGGTAAACACATGGATTACATAGTTGTTGCAATGCGTATCACTTCGGCTGGTTATTTATAAACCAATATCCACTAGACAGGGTACTGATTCATTCGTACACTGAATTTTGAAAACGGCTTCCTCAAAAAACCCTCACGATTTGCTAAGGGTCTGCACGTGACCGCCCCATGTCTGGCGATCGACACATCTCGACCCGAAGCTTAAAACAATTGCCTGTTCTGTAAATCCCCCTGTCTTAAACTTGAACACCATGTTATGAACTTTTTTTTCTTTTTTTCTCTTTGACTCTTCATCATTCATTCTTTTTTTTGTTATTTCCAGTATGCCCAGAGCATGACCAGTCATTCCTTTATTTGAACACCAGCCCCGTCTAGTCCGGGGTCGAGCCACCCTGTCACGTAATTTAGCCTCGCTGTCAAGCTAAGCTAAACATGACACTCGCCTACCCACGCAACACGGGCGCTTCTCCCCTTCCCTCCTTCAACCAACATCAGTCATCGAGACCACAAAGTATATTCAGTCGCGTGTGGGACTCCATCCCCCCAGCGGCAAAACAATGGCTTCCCGGCAGTGTCAGTGGGAGAATTGGCAGACATCGGGAGAGTGAGGGGATTAAGACAACGGCAGTCGACCTTGTCAAACGAATCTTTACGATACCAAATGCCATTATTTTGCTGTGGATGTTCTCAATTCGGTGGGGTGAACGGACCGTATTTCAGGACAGCATCAACAAATGCCTTTGGGATAGCTGGGAGGAATGGGTAAGTTGACAGTGGCACACCTGTTGCAAACCAGTTTACTTGCCTTAGCTGGTGCTAACAGTTGAATGTATCTAGCCTCAAGATGCCACACCGCACCACATTGCCTTTATCGCTGACCCCCAACTCGTTGATCCCCACACTTACCCCGGTCGACCATGGCCTGTGTCGACTTTGACGGTCAAATACACCGACCAATATATGCGACGGTCATTTTCCTTGATACAAGATCACCTTGAGCCGGACTCAGTGCTGTTTCTTGGGGACCTTTTCGACGGTGGCAGAGAATGGGCCACGGCTACAAGCAGCAGCCCCGAAGCGCGGTGGAAGAAGTATACGGACTCCTTTTGGAAAAAGGAGTATGGGCGATTTATTAAAATATTCTTGGACCCGTGGGAGAAATTAGTGAAGCCACCTGTTGATGGACGAGGGCGCAGAATGATTGCTAGTCTACCTGGCAATCATGATCTTGGGTTCGGTAACGGCATCCAGGAACCCGTCCGCAATCGCTTTGAGTCCTTTTTTGGAAACCCCAACCGCGTCGATGTCATTGGGAACCATACTTTTGTTTCAGTAGACACTCCCTCGCTGAGCGCGATGGACCAGCCTGATCCATTGACGGGCAGCTCCCCGACAGCCAGCGATCAAAATCGTCCCATACGCCCGATCTGGAAAAACGCAGATGATTTCTTGGATAAGATGGCCATCCACAAGGCGAAAGCGGAGACGGATGAGCTGCGAACGCTGCAAAACCAGACTGAGGGGCATACTATATTCGACTACCGTATTGTCGACGCTGTCGACCCCGCCATCCATCAAAAGCCTCAGCCAGCAGGTGTCGGCTTTCCTACTATTATCCTCACACACGTCCCTCTCTACCGCAAGCCAGCTACTCCATGTGGTCCTCTTCGCGAACGCTATCCGCCCTCTTCATTGGACGAGGAGCTGGCGGAGGACGAGCCTAACTCTCTGAAAATTGCCGGAGGCTATCAGTACCAGAATGTCCTAACGCAGACTGTTTCCACCGAATTGGTTTCCAAGGCAGGACCCAACGTCGTCCAGGTGTATTCCGGCGACGACCATGACTACTGTGAAGTGTCCCATCGGGAATTCAACGGCTCGCCCAATGAAATCACAGTCAAAAGCATTTCCTGGGCGATGGGAGTCCGCCAACCGGGGTTCGTACTGACCAGTCTGTGGAATCCAATCGACCCCAAGACAGGCAAAGCCACCCAGGACGGATCACCACCCACTATCCAAAATCACCTCTGTATCCTCCCAGACCAACTAGGAATCTTCTTCTACTACCTCACCATCCTTGGCCTTAGCGTCTCCGTCCTCCTCCTCCATTCCATCTACCGCATCCTCTACACCCCAGAACCATCTCCATCTGGCGCCCTTCTTCCCTCTCACCGAGCGCCGCTCTCTCCCACACCATCAGTACCACACCTCCGGCGCGTCCAGCTCCACCCTCTCATCGGCGGGTAGCCTAGCCAACCGCAATGGCATGATAGCCTCCACCCGCTACCCCGGCACTCAATCCCCGCAAGATGCTTACCGGGGCACAGACGATGACTCCGAAACCGTTTCCTCGAAGGATAAGGCTGCATGGCGACCCGCCTTGGCTACCCGCTCCCGATCGACGGCATCCCTCATTATCCGGGATCTGTATCAATCCGTCAAGTTTGTGGCGCAAGTGGTGCTGACTGTGTATTTCATCCTGATCTGGCGCTGGTAGCTAGTCCGACCAGTCTCTCTCTCTTTTTTTCAGCGAGCATAAACATAATAGACAATCATTTCGCCGGAACGTGCCTTAGTGGCGTAGTCTTAATCCCTGATCTTTGATTGATCGTATGATCTGTTGCCAGCACTAGCCTCGTCCTCGTGATACATAAAAATAGAGGAAAAAAATATGTAATGGGCTAGAACTCTTCGGGGTTACACCAGATCCCAACCTGCGTCACTTCTCGGCCAAAACCACCCGCATCGACTGGCACATGTTTATTCCCCGGGTCTGACACCGATCTGGCTAGCCACAGACCACCGGTGTCTCCGATGTTTCACCGTAAGCGACCAATGTCGGGAAAGCCTCGGGTAGTCTGTCCAATCCACGACTCGGGAAAAATAGCGCAACGCACGGGACAAGCCATTTTATTTGGTTTTTCCCGACAATTTTAGCTCTTTTGGCACATACAGATCCGTGGAAAAAGTCAAACTTCCGGCCGGGGAAATTAATCATTTCAGACTTTTTTTTCCCTAATTCGGCTCCGGTGAACACTGACCAGATTATCCACATGTTTGGTTATTGGTCCTAGAAATCTCGGACCCTGACTCCGTACAGGTCTGGGGAAAATTTGGGTCTGGGGTGAGGGGGAAAATATGGGGGAAACTTATTCGAGCAATTGAATTATTTCAGTCTTCCTAGTATTCCAAGGAAGTGTGAAACCTCATATAATACACTTTGCAACTGTACCGAAGACCAACCCAATTACAATCCCGTAAAAACTGTGGAATTATGTAAGACAATTTTCCAGGCCGTTGCCTTGCCCCCGAGGCGGGACGCCGATACCGATCGGCATTAGCCCAACCCGGTTCCCCCTGTTTTCGGCCTGTCGTGTCATGTGGTATGTAAAAACCTATTTCAATCCCATCTTCCTAAGACATGTTTGTACATATCGGAATAGCCGAAATTCATACAATCCAATGTAATACTATGTACATTCGATATTCTCAATGGATATTCTGGTCGATCATACCATGCAAGGAAAGTGCAAAGCGTGATGTAACGTAAGGTTCAGGGCACAAGGGGGAAAAAAAGCCTTGGGACTGAGTTCAGTGTTGAGCCAATTCCAGTGTTGGGCCAATAGCCAGCCCGGCAGGAGTCCGGGGGCTGAGTCCACTCAGCTGCCATTGGCTTCTCCACTTTCGGTCGAAACTCTATCCCCAGTCCTAAAACATCCTGAAAATACGTGGGAATGGGGAAAATACTGGAAGTGCTGTTCTGGGATTGGACAGGATGCAGATTTCTTCGGTTGGGCTGTCCAGGCGGTTCCACCCGGTGCTGTTTTCGGGGTTTGTTGATTGCAAATTTCCCCCGGGCAGGACCATGTGGTTGAGAATTTGGGGACTGGGGAAGTACAAATAGAGGGGATTGACCCCCAGGTTTTTCTTTTCCTGGTTATACTTTACTTACTCTACTCTACTTTCATCTGCTGTATCGCTCTTCTCTACCGGGTCCTTTCTATACTCACGTAACACATATACCTCTTTGGCTTGAACTTGTTTCTATCTGATCACATTCACAATGGGCTTCGCTTTGAAGAGGCCAGATGATGCCGTGGGCTCTGCTGCCCCGGCTATCATGATTGGATTGTTCGTTGCATTCGGTGGTGTTCTCTTCGGGTATGTGCCACTTTCCAGTTATATACTCCTATCCCTAAGACAAGTCTAACATCCATCTAGATATGACACAGGTACCATCAGTGGTATCCTCGCCATGAAGAAATGGCGCGAGATGTTCTCAACCGGCTTCATCAATGAGAAGGATCACCTCCCCGATGTCACATCCTCTCAATCATCAATGATTGTCTCTCTCCTCTCAGCAGGAACTTTCTTCGGTGCCCTCGGTGCCGCCCCTATCGCTGATACATTCGGTCGTCGATGGGGAATGATCATTGAGAGTGTTGTCTTCGTCTTCGGCGTCATCCTCCAAACCATCTCAACCTCTATCCCCCTCTTCGTCGCCGGTCGTTTCTTCGCCGGCCTAGGTGTCGGTCTCCTCTCCGCAACAATCCCCCTCTACCAATCTGAGACTGCACCCAAATGGATCCGTGGCACAATCGTGGGCGCGTACCAGCTCGCCATCACAATCGGTCTCCTCCTCGCTGCCATCGTCAACAACGCCACCAAGGACCGTGATGACACTGGATGCTACCGAATCCCCATCGCCGTCCAATTTGCCTGGGCTATCATCCTCGTCGTCGGCATGCTGCTTCTTCCCGAAACTCCCCGTTTCCTGATCAAGCAAGACCGCTACGAAGAGGCTACCAAGGCCCTTGCTCGTCTCCGTCGCATGGACGTGAACGACCCCGCCGTCGTCGCTGAGCTCGCCGAAATCCAGGCAAGCCACGAATACGAAATGCGTCTTGGAAAGGCCACCTACATCGAGATCGTCCGTGGATCCATCGGCAAGCGTCTCGCAACTGGCTGCGCTGTCCAGGGTCTGCAGCAGCTCGCTGGTGTCAACTTCATCTGTACGTTTCCCATTCCCCAACCCACTACTCTTTTCACACACTAACAAAATCCACAGTCTACTACGGCACAACCTTCTTCCAGAACTCCGGCATCCAAAACTCCTTCGTCATCACCCTGATCACCAGCATCATCAACGTCGTCTCCACCTTCCCGGGTCTCTACATGGTCGAGAAATGGGGTCGTCGTCCTTTGCTCATGTTCGGTGCTGTCGGAATGTGCGTCTCGCAAATGATCGTCGCAATCGTCGGCACAGCTATCAACTCCGACGTGTCAAACAAGGTCCTCATTGCCTTTGTGTGCATCTACATCTTCTTCTTCGCCAGTTCCTGGGGCCCCGTTGCCTGGGTCGTGACGGGTGAACTGTTCCCCCTCAAGGCTCGCGCTAAGTGTCTCTCTATCACCACCGCCACCAACTGGCTGCTCAACTGGGCTATTGCCTACGCTACTCCGTACATGGTGAACAGCGGACCTGGAAATGCCAACCTCCAGTCTAAGGTGTTCTTCATCTGGGGTGGATTCTGCTTTGTCTGTGGTGTGTTTGTTTACACTTGTATTTATGAGACAAAGGGTCTCTCCCTGGAACAGGTTGATGAGCTTTATGCTAAGGTTCCCCGCGCTTGGAACTCTGTTGGCTGGGTTCCTTCCGTCAACTACACTGAGCAGCTTGAGTTTGATGCTGGCGAGAAGAAGGTTGAGGCTGCTACCCACCTTGAGAGTGTTGGTCCTAAGACTGAGGCTTGATTTTGATGTTGTGGGATGTTTTACGATTTTCTTTTTCTTTATTTTATAAATACTTGGTATGATTTGAGCGTGGCTCCTTACTGAGTGGTCTATTATTGTAATACGGACTTATGCTATGAGCTGGAATATGACTTTTATTATCTATACTATTTGGAGTTCTTTATTCGTAAGCTTTAGACTACAGAATGATAGATATTAGGAACTATATATTCCTATTGCATATAGAGTACAAGGCAAACAAGACCTGGAGAGGCCAGATAATATTATAAAATTTTCCCTTTCTGCTTTCTGCTTTCTACCCGCAGTTCGGGACGTATTCGGTCAAAACGGAAAATTGCTGATTGATCATTACCTGTTTTGCTAAGGTTGTAACTCCGCATCCTGACCATTTCGCCGAATGGGTCTGTGGACAGTTCAATTACTAGCGTGGTATCACTTTCGAATACGCTCCTGCTATCCACCCGTTGATCCCGTGTGTGAGACAGTGACTGGTTAGTTTTCTGCGTAAGCTGCTATTATGGGAATTTGCCATGGTCCACGGTGAATGGTGAATGAGATGGTGGTGGGGTCGCAAGGTAGGGCTCACCGGGATCGAGTCAATTCTCACCCGTCAGACAAAGCTTCTTCTACAGATAGGCCAAAACAAGACGAATTTAGCAGGTCATCATGGTATACGACCCTTTACGCAAGGTGCCTCTATTATCTTAATACATTGTATAGGAGTCTCGCGGATAAATAAAGCAAGGCCAAACTTGCGAATCATGCCATTAGGCGGCTTTATCACGTATAGCTCCGAGTCTAGTGATGGTAATAGGATTATTAAAGAGATTCTCATGTCGGATGGCTACATTGTGGACATGGTCGGGTCTCGCAGATCCGGTTCAATAGAGAAACGACAATGAAGATCGACGGGGATTCAGAATCGAACAAGTTGCCAACAAAGCCAAAAGATCAGTTCCTATGTTTCTGCCTACCCTCTTCACCGTCAACATTGGCTTAACTGATTGCGTCCAGTATTTTGAGATCGAGACTGCTGGAAAGCGAAGAAGTGAGATGCTCGAATATCTCGGGACGGCGTCTTCTGGCTCAACAGTCGTCCTTTCTACTCTCCTTCCAGACTTGGACTAGAAGATTGAATCATGAGTCCTACTCGTCAACGAGGAATTCCGGGAACTAGCAAAAGCGAAAGAGGTTGAAGGAAGACAAATTATCATCGTGGACATGCATGGCCCTGATGGGCCTCAGATCAGTGATTTAGCAGATGGCACACATCCCAATGATGTGGGGTATGCGAAGATGGTAACGATTTGGCGTAGAGGGATTCATGAAGCTGTACAAAAAGACATCATCCAAGAGCCACTATGATCATGTCGAGGTATTGCAATGACAACCAAAAGCATGGCCACTGAAGGATGAATTAAGAAATATGGATTTGTCTAATCAGCTACTTGCAAATTAAGCGTATTCTTGTCATGGCGGAGAGGCGGTGGCTATAAAAGGACGTCATCTAGTATCCCGGCATCCTGTCATTATTTGTGGGGTGAAAGTTCGTCCGTTGGAAGTCTAAAATTCTTGATGTGAAGTATATATATTGACCGCGTCCGCCCACGTATTACCAGAAGTGGCCAATTTGCATATCAAACACAAATTTGGGTAGCATTAAACAAAAACCAATAGCCAGCAAACTACTGGACCCAAAAAAGGGCCCCAAACTAGGAGTAGAGCGTGGCGAGAGCTGTTTCATAAGAAGGCGCCTGGGAACCTCGTCGACGTCACAGAAGAATAGGTATCTATAGCATTTGAGGTAAAAAAATAATAACAACAAGGCACTTTGGCGGAGTGGTTAACGCGATGCCCTGCTAAGGCATTTCCCTCGGGAGCGTGTGTTCGAATCACACAGGTGTCGTTTTTTTCCCCTTATTTTTCTCTTTTTGTTATTATCATTGTTTTCTCTCCCCCCCTTTATGTTGCCTGTTTGCCACTAGGAATGGGTCGCTTGCATTGTTAGATTTATTGAGGTCAAGTCCATTTTGGTTATATTAAGGTCCTAATAATAAAGTTTATCTTGGGTAAGCTTTTAAAACTAAGTTACGTAGAAAACAAAAACTAAACATATTTTTTAACTGAGGAATAATCCGGGAACAGATTTTTCTAAATTAGAGGGTTACAAAAATTTAACTACCTATGGCTGTAGATAGTATACAAAGGAAGGGCAAATATTGATTAAAAAAAATCAAAAAATTAATCGACACCTGTGTGATTCGAACACACGCTCCCGAGGGAAATGCCTTAGCAGGGCATCGCGTTAACCACTCCGCCAAAGTGCCTTGTTGTATACTGATTCCACATTGCTAACTCTTAAGTTTGAAGAAAAGAGCTGGGAGCCTAAACTTTTTGCTTCACCTTGGTCAACCTTTTTTGATGCTTATCTGCTGAACCTGGCAGATACTTTTCTCTCCCTTCTGACCAAAAGGGAAGCCACGACATGACACTGCGGTACCTGAATGGAGACATCATCATGATGGGGGTTAATCACTTCCCTATTCTATCTGCCTACGAATGGATTCCCCGGATTGGAGGTCTTTTTGGGACCGCTGTCGGGGCTCTGTTTTCTCTTTCTCCTGGCAGGGGCCATTTTGGATTCCGTTTAGAATGTAGTGAGGTGTGGTAGAAAAAATGAGGTTCAAGTGAGAGATTAGGTGAGAGTTTGTCAGATAGATTGAGGTTGATGATACGAAGGAGGGAAGAAGTAAACGAGAAAGAGGGAGTCTGGATGGGTTGTAACAGACCATATGGCCTGTGTCTTGGGGTTTGGTGTTCGAAGCAGGTTGGGCATTTTCTGATATACTGCCCGAAGAGCTTTGCGCCTTTGGTGAAGCAGACACCTCCCTTGCTCTGTTAAGATCCGCCGTACTCTTGGTGTGTTTGGTTGTCGTGCATCAAGTTGAAAATCTCTTTTGTCATTCATCAACACCGGGAGATGTGGGAATTCTCACCAGATAACAAACAAGTTGCAAAATTAAGTATCTTTTTATGTAGTTAGCAACTCCATGTAAAAGATACCCGCAAAATACTTATACCCTCAATTCTCTCAACCCTTAGACTGATTAGGGAGGATATAAGAAGGTTTATTGAGTGTAAATAAAGTCCTAATGGCTTAGTATTAATCGTGCTAAGAATTATTCAGCATGTTTAAAGTAAGTTGAACTTTTACAACTAGAATAGGCAGCTACATGTATCAGATTTTCTTTGACGGGTGGGGGTTTCCTATTCTGGTTGCCGCTGCTTTTATAAGGGCGCCCAGATTCAGCCTCACTGATACCCTATCCATGGAGTATTTGAAATTACTTCAGAACTGTTCTTATTTTGTGTGAAAAGTTATGTCTAAGATTCACCTGTAGAAATGAATCGAATGGCATACTGAGTATCACATCACGACTCATGTGATAACTCGCTCCTTCAGCTCAATGCCAAATTTATCTTTTAGTTCGTCCCGCAACAGGCTGGCAATTTCTGCACTCGACCAAGGTGCCACCATACCCGTCGCCGGAATACGTCCCTCCAACACAGCCAGAACCCCTACAGCACAGGGAAGTCCTACAAGTTTCGCCATCGCACTGCGACTCCCGGGACCAAGAGGCTCCCCATATTCAACTAGAGTGCTCGATCTCTTTTCCACCGAACCATCCGCATGTTTGATATCAAAGATGTGCTGCAACACAATCATATCTCGTTCTCCAGGCTGGTAGGCCATTCGGGTCTCCAGCACGGCACAGAGCGTGTCAAGAGGTGTACCATATCCACTAACAGGAGTGGGATCAAAGAGACCAATCCATCGTAGACCAGACAATACACGACCGACATCGTCTTTGTCCGTGACGAACGCCTCAATTTTCTGCCTAACTGCATTTTCAACCTCCTTCGGTGACGAGGACTCCGAAAGTCCCAGCAGGGAAATAGTCAATTGCACCCAAGTTGTACCCGACCTCTCCAGCACAGCCACTCGCTCCTGCGAGAAGTACCCAATGGCCACCAACGAGCGAATTATCTCAGGGAACCCGGCATAGCGTAGGGTGCCCCGAAAGACGGTGTGTGCTTCGGGGATGTTATAAAAGTCGCGGAAACCGACTGAGTCTCGGTTGGGGTATCCAACCAGGTTGAACCCCGGGAAAATGCGCTGTGGCGAGGCAGCAGCCATCAGATTCTTTCCGTCCACGGTTGCGATGTCATTATCGCGGTACCATTGTGCGGAGTTGAGAAGGGCAAGGAGACCTCCTCGAGGACTCCAGGAGAACTTGTAACCCAGCGGGTTGTCGGAGTCCTCTGGTGCAGGGAGAGCACCGCAGTAGCTCGTGAAGGCTTTCACTTGTCCGCCTGCTTTGTGGACCTCGTCAATCGTCTTTACGGCGTAAAGGTGGTCGATGCCAGGGTCGAGACCGATTTCATTGAGGACTGTTATACCCGCGGCCTTGGCTTGGTCGTCGAGTGCCCAGAGGGAGGGCGAGATGTAGCTCGTTGTCACAACTGGTTTGCTGTATTTGATGGCGGCTGAGACAACGAGGGCGTGGTGAACGTAGGGGATGAGGGAGATGACGATATCTGTTTGGGAGATGGCCGCGCTGAGGTTCTCCGGCTCGTTGGCTACATCGAGAGCGATAGCTGTGGTAGACTTGTAGTTTGCGGTGAGGGCCTTCGCGGCACTTAGAGTGCGGCAGGCTACGGTGACCTTGACGCCTGCTTCCGAGAGCGCTTGGACGGCGGGCTCACAGACAAAGCCTGCACCCAGAAGAAGGGCTTTCTTCCCAACCGCAGAAGGCATTATAATGATATTTTCTTGGGTTTGAATCGTGCTGATTCACTGATACTGTATGAGGGGCACTGGATATGAACAGAATGAGAAGTGCAGACCATTAGCGACGCGAGATGACTCGACAGAGTGCACACCTAGTGATGACAGGTGATGACAGATGATGACAGGCAATGACAGGCAATGACAGGTGATGACAGGCGATGACTATCTCTATGGGGTACTTGGTCGAGGCTAACATCGCTAGTGTCGTGTTAAGGAGGCCAAGAATCGCTAATGAGGGGGGTTTAACCCCACCAAAGCTTACAGTCACGTCATTAAATTGGTAAATGTGGCCTTTGAGACACTTGAAACGGACTCCGTAAAGTCAGGGCTATTTTCAAACGCACTTAATCAAAACTGTCGGATGTATTGTCTGTATGTATACCCTTAGAAATATCAAACAATAATATCCTTGTCCAACTTCCGAAACATGAACCAAAAACCAGCCGTAATAGCAAGTTGTACACCTGTCAAACACCCGTAGAAAATAGTCATATTAGGATCTTTTGCAGCCGGCGAGATCGCAATGCCCAATGCATAGCTGATTGAAGCCGTTCCCACAAATAACGCCTGCACGATAGACTTCATGCTCCTTGGGGCTCGCGAATAGCAGAACTCTGACCCAGTCGTCACACAGAAGATTTCCCCGATCGCCATAAGCACGTAACACGGCACCTGCAGAAACACATTGATATGCCGCGTGGTGGTGCCGTTTTTCAAATCCGGACCAGCGCGGTAGATAAAGGCTTGAAGGCCAGTCGCCCAGGCCAAAGAGGCACCCATGAGGAAGAAACCGACGGAAATACGAGCAATGGGGCGAAACGGAATTTTGCGGCGATTGAGGAAGGGAAACAGGTATTGTTGGATCAGTGGTCCTGCGATGATGCAGGCAATAGGGTTAAAATTAGGCATCACGTCGTTGGGGATCCCGTAAGTTTCCATTTGACCGGCTTGCGAGATCAAGTTATTGTATGTTTGTCCCCAGCAGAGCCAGACCACTGGGAATGCGAGACTGGGAAATGTTAGTTTGTGGAGAATGGGCTGTAAATTAGGAACCCACCAGATTTGACACGCTATGAGGGCATTGCGGACTCCCTTCAGGAATTCATCATCCCACGGAACCTGGCGACCGTACTTTTCCTGTTGCACCGCCGGCTGGGCATCGTTGAGTGACATACCACCTCGAATCCCGAGCCAAATGACTCGCAACACTTTCGGAACAACTGAGCCTGCGGGAGGCGCTTTGTCTGTGGTATTCCATGAGTACATAAGGTGATTGAAGGGAGGTTGTGCTTTCACATACAGTATTTATTTTTGAAGACCAACATAAGTACCAGTCCCACCCATAGAAAGCAGAAGCAGAGTAAAAATGCAGACCAAAAGCTCGAATATTTTTCCATAAAGGTGGTGGCTATCCCGGACAAAGAGGCGACATTAATGAACCTGAATAAATATACATTCTTAGCCTTCCTGCTTGTATACCTGGAATCATAGAGATATGGGTTTTCGGACGCACCAGAAGTACCAATTGTACATGTATTGTATCGTGAGAGATCGGTCCACAACTACCCGTTCTCCGGACGGGAGCTCGCGAATGAATGGCTCATGATGGGGGTATTGATCCGCGATAAAGGGATAAATCGAGGCTTTCACGCCGCCTATGCCAAGCGCGATCAAGACAAGAGACACACCAAGCCCTGCGGCGGACGCGCCTGCTTGATGTATAGCCGAAGGTAGAGCTGTCGTAAAAAGAATGAGAGACCCAACGAGGTAGATGCTGCGGAAGAAGGAATGTCAGCAGATATCTTGCTAATGTCTTGCTAATGTCCGTCTGCATAACTTTTACAGAAGCGAGATTTCTGTATACACTCCACGCGCAGTGATATATCATTTTCACCTACACTGTACTTAGCAAAATCAGCTTATATCGCCCCAGCCAACCATCAGCCACCACCGCCAGTGGCACCGGTGCAAAGTTCACCAACACCATGAACGCATAGTTCACAGCAGTGGCGTCCGACTGCCCGATCCCGAGAACTCCAGGAATGTGATCATTTGGGCTGTTTTGCAAGTAGTTTTGCAGGCAGGTTGAAGCGCCATAGAAGACGAATCTCTCGACTGATCCGACCAGAATGACCAGCCAAACTGGGTAGGGAACGTTGTCGGCGACATGAACAAGCTCTTTCAAATCTTGGTCTGAGGGCCGATTTGATGTTTCATCGCTTGTTGTATTTATTGGAACAATATCCCCCGCCTGCTTTTCTGTCACCGCCAATGAAGGGGATGAGCTTTCCACTTGGCTGTCATTAACCTGGGAAGCCATGTTCAGCTCTCACGTGGCAGAAATGTGGGATAATGAAGGGAAGAACAAAATCTTTCAGTCAAACAGGGTCTAAAATCCCATACTAAGCATAATAGGTAATTTTTAAGATAGATCATTTCCTCCGTCCCAAAAAAGAAAATTCAAAATTAATTATATTTACACACTTTACCAGTTCGGTAACAAGCCTTAACTTAGTATGGTAAGGGCGTCAAGAAAGGGCATATTAGCGTTAGAAAGGCGTGCTCAGAAAATACGTTGTATTATACAGGTCCGTACCATTGAAATGACTCAAAGCCCAATGCGGATTGAACGTAATTGGTAAACGAGCTGCACGGTCCAAGACAACGTAGATGCCTGTATAAGGACCTTTCCTTATAGCCTAAAGCTTTCATCATGTCTAGCCACTTTAGGGAGTCTGGAGAACTATTATAGCCTAGTGGTTAAGATATTTATATTTCTCGCTCAAAGCAACGTAATTTTCAATACCATAATAATGTAGCTTTATGATTTCCTTGATATGGATATCCAGTGCTTAGAAATCTAGCTATCTACAGCAATGGAATAAATAAACTCGTGGTTGATTAGATATAAAGCTATCATTTATTGCGTCTACTACGGTGTTCCAGGGTTGTGCAGCTTGCTTACCGAATACGTTAGGTAACTAGTGATGACTGTGCTGGGATTACTGGTCTTTAGGTGGATGACGGATCATTGGTTTGTGACCTCAATAGTCATGCCCAATAGTGCTAGGCTAAGATAGCCCCGTGCGCCGGCTGCTTTAGAATGCAGAGATCTTGAGAGAAACCCAAGTTAAGGCCATTTTGTCTCCGAGCCAGTTCTTTGTCTTGTTTCAACTAAGGGTACCGTGATGGCTCCGTTTACAGAACAATGTAAACCCCACTTGGGTTCTGGCTCGATTATCGACTCCGATCCCCCAAAATACCGACATGGGGAGATTATACTCAACGCAGGATATTCTCAAGTTCGTCTGTCAGTACAGTATTGTGTCTCTGTGACATGTCACTGGTACCGAACGATCGATGTTCTCTTGGAGGGCAACCCGCATACCTTTTTGCCGGGGTTGTGTCTTGCATCCACCGAGGAACAACATGCATTTGTGTGTGAGAAGGGTCCAGATGGAACGGTTACGCAACATTATCAAATCAGTGCAGCCAATCCAGCCATTGCATTAATTCGGCTAGCTGCCTCGAGGTCCAACACCCAGTCTGGTCTCAAGTTCATCCTGCCTGTGAACTCAGGATACTTGCGCCGTGCGGATATTTTTGAAGAACGCTTCCGGGGCTGCGATCAAGTGGAATCAGTTAATGGATTTGCAGTGTCCACCGAGCAGCGTCTGAATCCTTGCAACGAAGTTTGGTGGCTATCGGATATCTTATTGTCCGCGTGCGGAGGCATCATTGTCAGGGCGCCACAGACCGGAACCACGATCTATTCCGTTCTAGAACAAATAGAAAGCGAGATCCAAAATCGTCTATCATTCCAATGGCTATCGTCCGAACCAGTTCGGCGCAAGCGGCTCGCCGTCGTCCAGGCTCGGAAGGAGTATCACACGATTGAGCGTTTCTACATGGCTGCAAGGTCGTTAAACATCAACTTGATAGCCGTCGACTCGCCTGGCCACTGGCTAGAATCCGATGATGGACCGAGTGCCTCAATGCGAGAGGAGTTCATTCCCTTCGACATGACTGTTGATGAGACCTTCTCTATTCGACTGTACCAAGCACTCAAAGATCGCAACCTAGATGGAATCATCACATCCAACGACCGACATCTAGTTGGAGTAGCTGAAGCAGCCGAAATGCTCGGATTGCCCACCATGCCTTCAGAGGGCCTGAAAGTCGCAACAGACAAGTACGCAACCAGAGCCGCCGAGGAGGCGGACACCCCAGTCCCAGCAAGCTTCCGGGTTCAAAGTGTAGAAGAGCTCGACGATCTCGTAACACGGCCCAATGCACCAGCACTCACATTCCCGCTGATTGTGAAGCCTTGTCTAGGCTGGTCGAGCGACTGCGTCACACGTGTGACGACCATCGGCGAACTCCGTGACGCTGTACACCGCGCTTCTGTCCGTCACTTAGGCTCAATTTCCACCAGTACAAGTGTGGTTATCGAGCCCTATATCGACGGACCTGAAGTAGATACCAATATAATCCTGCTCAATGGAGAGTGTCTGTTTTTTGAAATCTCCGATGATTTCCCTTGCACTGGAGACGCACCCGACGCAAATGCCCAGACGAGCAACTTTCAAGAGACTCAGATCATGTACCCCACAGCCCTCCCTGAAGCCGAACAAATGACCCTACGAGATAGCATCCGGAACAGTCTGATTCGGTTAGGACTTAAGACAGGGGTTTTCCACGTTGAGGCTAGGGTTCGCAATTCCGTTGCTAATTATGCAACCGATGAATCGGGACTGTTTGATCTGCACGTTAGCTCAAACCAGTCAGATCTCCAAGCCAAGCAGCCAAATTGCTGGCTGATTGAAATCAACTCTCGACCCCCGGGAGGATTCTCGGACTGGGCCACGGCCTACATACATGGCGTGTGTTATCATGCGCAAGCGATTCTGGCCGCCGTCGGCGACAAAGAACGTTTCAAGGCCCTGGCTACCCCGTTTCAACAGCATGGCGCGGCAACAGTTTGCCCAGAACCTCAATTTCACTGCATGTTGGTCTACCTCAGTCCCGAGCGCTCAGGTACGTTGGCCAATTCGCCCTGCGAAGACACGCTGGCACATGCACCGGATCTAATGAAACACGTGTTACGGTCTCGTTGTTGGTATAAGCGTGGAGAAAAAGTATCTGGACCACAGGATTCGAGTTTAGGTTGGTTGGCAACGTATCTTGTTTTTGCAAGGGGTGAGGATTGTGGGCGTGAGGAAACACTTCGTCTGGGAGATCGGGTCCGGAAAGAGTTCCGTATGGAGATAGATCAATGATACTTTGAATCAATAGGTATTGTTTTTCTTGAACTTTTAGCCATTACCAGAAAATACATTCAGGCACTTTGCATTGACCAAACCAAACCCAATGCACGCCATCATCCGGAATCCAAAATAGATGGCACCATTCACTATATGTCGACTAGATAATCACAGCTTGGGCGCATTGTGTTTCCAGCCATCACAATCCCTCAAATCAAACTTGAACCTCGCATTCCTCTCTTCTCTGTCCGGAAACAAACCCACCCGATCCGGTCGCCAACGCCAGTGATCCTTCCACTCCGGATCTAGTTTCCCCTCAAGTGCCTGAACGACATATTTCCCGATGTTCGTGAGATTTTTAAAGGTATACCCACTGCCCCCGGTAGCAATGAATAACGAATCTGGCGCACTATCATGATACCCAACAATCCAATTGTCATCGTGCGTCTCTACATCCCAACACACCTTGCTACTTTCAATCTCCGCATCCCCAAACTCCGGCAAGATATACCTTGCAAATTCCAACGTCTTCTCGCGACCAACCCGCGGCTGCGAATCAGTAGGGTGATACGCCTGGTCGCGCGGCAGACTGCGCACACCCCAGTCACAGCTAGGCTCAGGCCAGCGCTCCCGGTTCACGAGCGTGATGTCCAGGTTGCAGATCTTGAAGATACGGTCCTCGTTCGGCGGGAAACAGTATCCGCGACGTGCGATATTGAGCACAGGCAGATCCTTGTACCGCTGGTACTGCTCCTCCGTCATACGAATGTGCGAGACGCAGTAGCCTGAGGCTTGCAGCTGGCCCTTAAAATCGAGTAGCGTCTCGGAATAAGCGCCCACTGCGACAATAACCTTTTCAGAGTGCCAGATAGTCTTGTTGGCGGTGCGCACACCCACAACCTTGGCCGGATTGGCCGGATCACGCACGAACTCGACGACGGCGCCGGACTCGCCTGCTATAAACTCCACACCCAAGCGCTCGCACTCCCGCTTCAAAATCAGCATCGCGTTCGTGGACTCGACCCAGCCAGCGTTTCCGTTGTAGATCCCGCGAAAGGTGGGCGTTCTGCCCTTCGGGGTTGATTGGCCATCAGCGTAGATTCCTACCTGGGCCTGGCGACGGTCGTGTGCGAAGCCTAGACCCGGGTAGAGATTAATGGCAGCATCCCAATTTGGGAGCTCGATGATCTTAGATGGGTCCCCGAGCAAGTGTGTATTAGATACCGCAGTCAAGAAGGTCTTTTCGCGGTCCTGATCCTTTGAGCCGTCTGTGCCGTAGATCCAGCCGGTTGGGTGGAAGACATCTTTCCAGAGAGGATCGCGCCAGAGTTGGATGGCTTCCTGGGAAAGAACAGAGTATATGTCGTCCGGGTATTCAGTGCGGATGATCTTGTTCCGATCGTAGCCTGCCGAGGATGGAGATGGGACGGGCCACCGATCCAGGACCTTGATGTTATGATAGCCGGCGCGGGCGAGCCACCATGCCGAAGAGAGGCCAAAGACCCCGGCACCAACTATGATGATTGGGGTGGAATGGTTAAGCTGGTTTGACATCTTGAGCTATAGGAATGTGTGCACTTCTGGAATGTTGCCGAATGGCCTTGCCGCTGTTTTCTTATGAACTTCTAAATTGAGGCTATAATTTATTTCTGTCAGCGTGGATGGTCGTAACTGGTTTAGCCTGATGACAGGGACCTACAGTCATCTTCGCGCCTCCTCTGGGTGATATGCTCACTAAATATCCCTACCAGGGTCCGAAACATGACTGTACACTTTCTCACTGTGAATTCGAGTAATAACTTGCTGACCAGAGGGATATGTCAATTTTCAGACTTTGCATGTTTGATGTCCAAAAACCCCAAGTAGAGCTGGACTGTGACCTTCTGCCTGGGACGTTGAAGCTTATGCAATCAAATCTCTCAACCCTTAATAGTAACAATGAATGCATGACTGTCTTTGTCTTACGCTGTGACTGTCCTCATATGCTGAACATTGATTAAATTGAAAAAGATCCCCCCTTTAGACTGACTTGCCGTAACCACCTCCTCGTATCATCACATGAACTGCCAAATGCACCCACAAGAACTCTCACCCCTTGGTGTCGATGTCATTGACATACGATCTTCCTGTGGCACTGCCACTGGAAAGACTATGAAAGAAGAGATCCTCGACTCGATCCGAGGAGGTGACGATAAACATTGCGTTATTGAAGAATCAGGTGGCCTCATTGAGTGGAGCCGCTCTATACCCACTGGTCAGTCTTTTTCCAAAATACGTTCAAGACATGACGGAAAACCTGAGAAAATCGCACCCAGGGATCCTATACGAAGGATGTGGAATTGATCTCTATGAAAACATTACTCGAGATCCTTCATACTACCTTTATCGCGATGAGCTCTCCATATTCCAAGAGTATTCTCACGAAATTGTACGGTTCATACTTGAATGACTAAACGTTGATATACTGATGCACAATCCAGGCGATGCTTTTATTAGGTACAGCTACAACTAGGAAGGGAACAAAGAGGATTGGTAGTTCCAGACATGCAAAGAACATTCATCTCAGTCTCGTCGATCTTGGTAAGAATAGCTTTTTTGCTCTTTCAGTGATTAAAGTATTTTCTTTTTATCGAAACTGACAAGCTCAACCTCATAGGCGCTGGGTAAGGTCGCCAGCAGTCTTCTAATTACGAACCTAATTAATGCTAAACTAATGCCAGACGTCTTGACAAATCATCGTGCTTGCTCGATGGTATCTGCAGGCAGATTGAGCTTGATCAAACATTCATGAAGGGGTCACGAGCGATTTCTGCAACCTATTGCGCAGTATGTTCAGATAAATGACCACCGACGACGCTAGGCCCCAAATACAGCAGCCATACTGATACAGAAATTATCCGAAGGTGGATCTCCAATACGAGCAGCTTCAATCACGAATCGAGCAGTTACTTCGGGAAAAGCCCAATCTAGCTAATGGTCGGCTGGAGCTCCAGCCTCATAGCGGCGTGTCCGTGCGGGGAGTGTGCGGATCATACTACGATGCGATCGAATTCCTCCATGACGGCGGGCTGGTTAACGATTCATCGCGCCCCCCGATATATCTGCACAATACACAGTTTCGGAAGTGTCTGATGTGGCTAGGTTCTTCGTTCACGAATCTGAAGCCTGTACAGGCTGCCAAATTCCTTCGGCAGTTCACTCAGGAAGGCGTGCTGCTGGCAGGAGATTTCATGCTGATCGGTATTGACCGCTGCAGGGATGTGGGGAAAGTGACGGCTGCATATAGCGACACATCCGAACGGTGGCAGCAATATATACAAAACGGACTATACACTGCCGCCCACACTGTGGGCGACGAATCATTTGCAGAGGACTGGACATATGTTGCACGGTGGGATGCTGAGGAGGGTCGCCATTTGGTCCGTCAACTTCGCCACCCTCCCCCTAAGCTTGCCCTTCCTGGTTGATCACCAATATCTCATTTCCGACGCTAATGTCTGCTTACCACGCTAACTAATACCCCTATTTGCAGAGATTCGTTCGCAGCGACCGACATCGGACCGTTTCGCCAGATATCGAGATCTCTGCCCGCGAACACGTGCTTTTGGGGCAATCATACAAATACACGCGGCAGGATGCCCTCGGCGTGTTTGACATGTCGGGGCTCACTGTTCGATACGAGTGGGTCAATCAACCCGACGATTGCTCCTTGTTTTTGCTGGAGAAGACGGAGCTATGAAAAACACGGGAAATCCATTAGTGTACCCATTTGGTAGTACACTAGGTACGCGCTACTAGCCACCATACTACCCATATTTACAATGGCTTAGCGGCAAAAATATGCCTCGCATGTAAATCACTCCTGATTATTTTGTAGCCTAAGCTTCGCTTTCAATCAATATATCAAAGCATACTTGGAATACAAATGATTCATGCTAAACAAGATGTTGTTGGTGATACGAAAGTTATAATTTATCACATTCAGTATAAATTTTAAGCCTGGCGAGCGGCTCCGCTTGTGAAATACGTTATTGGAAGGCATTATTGCGAAAGAGAGAACGCGAGTTTCGCGTTGCGTCCAGACCTGTCAGCTTACTTGAGAAAATTTTTCATCACACGCTAAAATTGATCACTATAATAGCCGTAAAATAAACTGTCATTAACGATATAAAATTCGATGATCTATGTTGTGGTTGGTCACAGGGCATATTTGGTTATTTCAAAACAGACTGACTACCTCTGCAGGAGAGCAATGTTTTGGTAAGTTAGGTGGCCAGATACTGTACTTAGGGGCTGGTGGCGTTGCTTAGAAGGAATCAGACTTTTATAACCATTCAGATCTCACACTTGGGCTAGACCAAGCCTTTTTCAGATCGGCGGGGCTGACGGAATTACCCGCCCGAGCCAAGACCTGTCAGCTTTTTTCGATACCCAATAGGTTCCCCCCATGATCCGCTGTAAAGGATGAAAGTCCTTACAACTGGAATACCAAAGAGAAGTCGGCGATGTAACGGTGTGAATGCCCTACCGTGTCGAGTGGGGTTCGGCGCAAAGTCAATGCATCAAAGACAAGGTGTCCCTTTGCAGAAGCTTTTATTTGCCTATATTCAATGGAGCCCCAGGACCCCTTTTTATTCTGGCAAGAATTAGTGTTGACACGGAAGACAATATATTGGGATTCTCCCCTCACCATTATATCTTACCCAGTTGACAGGCTATACACCTGGAAAACGTAAACCATTACACCCGGTAAGATCCCGTGGGCAGATATACCCCCCCGTAAGCAGTCCCTCAATGTGGCTTCGCCAAGAACAGGCTAATTTTTGCTAGCGCGGTGTATTGCATACACTATCTAATACCGATTTATAAGCAGTCTCAATTCATATGCGAGCTGCGTAATCCGATATACATATTAAATGCGATAAATTACAATTGCATATCCTAATAATATATATCTATATTCACAGGCTTTAAAGATGTAATGTTCGATACCATCATAATATGCGCTTTCAATCTATTCAAAATTTATATATACTACTGGCAATTCTTATCAATGGCTATCGGCATTTTGAGCAAAGAATAAAAAGTGGTTGGTATTTGAAATGTGAGTGTAGCATATATCGCATTTACTATGGTGTTTCAGCTGCGCAGCTCGCATATGAAATACCTTAAGCAACTGCGAGTTATCAATTTGATCCTACTCTACAAGATCAGATCAATTATCCATCGAAACCAGTGTTATTTCGAAAGTTTTTAGAGTATCATGGCCTCCGGCGATATATTGCAAAACGGAAGAATTTCTTAAGCGAGAGGAACCGTTCTCGCCAGCTTTGATTCGCTCTTAAATACCGAGATTAGACCTTCGATGACTAGAGTAAGGTTCTCTAGACTAACGAAACCTAAGTTTCTTCGGGCTATTATAAAAGGTCATATATTACCCGGGGTAAAGAGGAGCATTAGATAATGATTGTCTTAGTGAAGAACTAAAGAGAAAAGCCCTATGATTTTCTAGAAGGAATAGGGTTCAATTAATAGCGACCGATAACTATCGAGAGCGGGTATTACCTTTAATTAAAGACTAGATTCGGCAGTAAGGTAGGGTCTGCTTAGTTATATAAGATAAAGCGCCAGCGTATAGAGGAAAGGAGACTAAATAGCTGATTCGGTCAATAGGGGCTATATTAGTTGACTGGCCTACGTACTCACCTGATTTAAGCCAAATTGAGACCCTATGGGATCTGATAATGGGCTGGATTCGGAGTCACTACCCCCGCTATAAGCACAATCTGGATACTATACGGCGTATAGTAGTTAGACTTCATCATAAGGCGCAATTGGGGCCAAATCTTCGCCTCAACCCCCATACTGCAACCGCACTGCGGTTTTTGATGGGTTCTGTTGTAGCCCCAAAAAACCATCTGTAAACCATTTTTACATAATTCTACATAATTTTATATAAAATTTGATTACTGTATTGTAACCTACTAGTATTAGTAAATTTTTTATCACTTTCTATAATTAATGAATCAATTGGGGCCCAACGGGCCCAACAAACCATCGCGATTTATAGTCCTTACCCCAAAACCCGCCCCAATTGCGGTTTGGGTTGGGGCGGTTTATCCAGGGGGGTTATACCAATTGGTAGAGAGCACGCCGAGAGAGAGCTTTGTTTGCACTGTTTGTAGTGTAAGCTTAGTAAGAAGAATACAGTAACGTATTTCACTACCGAGCTGCGCACACCACCGAGCTGCGCACACCACCGAGCTGCGCACACCACCGAGCTGCGCACCCCAGAGCACATAGTAAATGCGATGAATTACAACATTATATTTCAACAACAAACCCTTTTATTTATTCCATCTCTTGTCGATAGCAATTGATAAGCATTTTTAGTATCATATATCAATTTTGAATAAATTGAGAATTTACATTGTTATGGTATCGAAAAATACATCGCTGAATTCCAGAAATATATATATCTCAGTTACTATTTATTAAGTTTCCCTAAACTCTAACAAGTGGCTAAATATCATATAAAAAGGATTGCGCTATAAGAAAAAGCTCATATAAACAACCGTTGTTGAAATATCATATTGTAATTTATCGTTTTCACTATGTGTTCTGGGGTGCGCAGCTCGGTGGTGTGCGCAGCTCGGTAGTGAAATACGTTATTCGGATGGAATAAAACATCAAAATTACTAGTTTGAAAATATCAGCGGGATCTCCACTTCTTACCGGGGCCGAGGGAGGGTACTACGGGATAACCCACCTTGTACTGTACGGTATTACTGTCATGTAATCTTCGTGGCAGGTTTTGGGTTCTGTCGAAACCAATCTACGAACAATACCGAGCTCTAGGGTCCTAATTTTGCTGATCATCAACTCTTGTTCTTAGTCAATTTTGTTGGTCATAGTTTTATGATTCTGAGCTCTTCTGCAAGTCAATCGTAGCGCCTCGGCTTTGAATATAAGGCAGACCAAGCCCCTCATGACTGGCTCATCACTAATCTGTCATGGGTTCGAGCAGTCAGGAAGCCAAGATTGCACGCCGTCGGGCCAAAAACCGACAAGCACAACGCCGTCACCGTACTTCTCTCCTTCTCAGCATACCCCTCCTCCCAAAACACTCAAGTAAAAGCTGATAAAAATTCCTAGGAGAGGCTACGAAAGCGAAGCTCGCAGAGCTCGAGCGTCTCAGGCCACAGGTAGATTCGAGGAATACATTCTTGCCTTCGAGTCCCTATCAAGCGGCCTGTAACCTGGACGCCTCCGCACCCAAGACGAAAACCTCACCACCGCGACAGTTCTGCGGGAGATGTGGTAATGACCACGGGGGCCCGACGTACGAGCAAAGTTTCGACCTACCAAGCTTGTATTGTCACCAGGCGAACTTTCATAATGCAGCTGCCTCCCTCCGTGGTCTGAACGAAACCCCCTCCGAACCACCACCAACCTGTCTGAACTTCCAGGAGTTCGATTCTGCTCTTCCAACACACGATGAGAGTTTGGCCTTGGACTCACACCAATGGTACTCCCTTGGCGAATCTCTTCCACCAAACACCAGTTTTGATTATATTGGTACAACAGCATCCTCAATTCACGGACTGTCACGGCGTCATCGAGCAAAGTCTACAACACAAAATCCACCCCATTCTAGATCAAAGTCCTCCTCTAATCAATCCGCTCTGCATCTGGCTGCAGCGTCGGGGAACACAGAATGCGTCAGGGCATTACTGACCCACAATGCTGATATGAACGCAACCGATGCGTTGGGTAGAACGCCACTCCATGCATGTGTAGCAGCAGGTAACACGACCGACCATGTTTCCGTGGTTCAGTTGCTGATTCAAAATGGGGCGAACCCGACACTGAAGGATCAAACTGGGATGGGCCCGTTACACATTGCTGCGGAGAGAGGGAATGATCTTGTGCTTGAGGCCTTGATTCAGATTGGAGTGGATGTAAACGCGTTATAAAATCCTTACAGATCGGGTACCAGCCAAATTATAGCATAGTGTCGGAAAAGTGATATATTTACATTCGTCTAGGGATGTGAACAGTTGAATCAAAAATTTAATAGAATACCTATTTAGTGAGGTCTGGGAGAGAGACGGAGTACGAAAGCCGACTCATATGACGTTTAGCCTTATATGCCGTCTGTGCTCTTCAATAGGCCGTACTGGGACTAATTTCCTTTTTAGTTCTCCCATGAGCCTGACCCTCTTGAAAGGAAGATCCTGTTCCTGAGCTTCCAAGTGCCTGTACTTTTTAGGATGATCAACCTTTTATTAGCGACTTCTCACGACTTCACTCACATTACACTCTGCACGGTCTCGGATTCCATACGAGAATCAGCTGTCATTTCTATCAGTCCGCCAAGATATCTTTCACGTCCCTTTGCCCGTCCCAGGGGCCAAACCTGAGGCTCTAAGGGCACCACGGTTTGTAGGGCCTTGTGGACCGTCTCTGGGATTGATGGGAGCGTATGTGGGACTAATATCGCCTGGTCCTCTATACACTTCTGTATGATATTTTATAACCAACCTCAACCTCGCAGTAGATGGATGAAAACCGACTTATATTACATCTTTATTTTTGATTTTCGTTCAACCCTCGTCTAAGGGTTTAAAAAAAATGAGGATGCGATTATTTTACGTGAAAGGAAGGATTAAAAAAAATCGACACCTGTGTGATTCGAACACACGCTCCCGAGGGAAATGCCTTAGCAGGGCATCGCGTTAACCACTCCGCCAAAGTGCCTATTTGCTGACATAACTCAGACCTCCTAACGTATTTCACAAGCGGACCAGTTATAAAAGCCACCATAGTAAATGCGATAAATTACAACTTGATATCTTAACAACCATTGGCTATGGGGACTTCTCCTTATAACGTATTTCACCCCATAGCTAGACACACCCTATAGCTGGACACCCCAAAATACCATAGTATATGCGATAAATTATAACTTGATATCACAACAAAGGTACTCTATCTAGAAATTTCCTAATAGCTTAATGCTTTTTAGATAATATCTAGCCTCTTTAAGAACTTTAGAAAATCTATGACTTTATGATTAAGATATATATATTTCTATATTTGAGCAACGTAATTTTCAATACTATGATAATATAGCTTTTCGATTTACTTAGAACTAATAACGTATTTCACCAGTGAGTGGGCCACCACTAGTGAGTGGGCCACCCATCCAAAATGCGTCAATTTAAATACATTTATCTCAACCATAACGCCATTAAATTAATTCAACTAACTAAGTGGTCTATCTAGACATGTTTCTCTTCTATGCCCTGGCAATCTGCATATCCCACACCCCCGGGGGGGCCGCGTACGTGGCCGAATAGTTGATTCTCCAGGTATACCGGGGCCGGGGGGAGGTGCTTCAGTTGCTTCCTATTGCTGCATAATTAATGCAGAGGCTTCTTGAACTAAAAGGCCTTCTTCGGCAGGTATATGCCTCCGAGATCTAGTACGCTTTTGCTTCTACTTCTCGTTTGCGGCACGTAATTCCTTGTTTTCGTTGGCGAGTAAGATTGCACCTTGCATTATAAGACGGAAGCCTTTTATAAGCTGGTTTAATATACGATCTGACGGGCTAGGCGGGCTTCGAGATCTTATACGAAGTAAAGCTTTAATTGATAAAGCCTATCGACGTAGTTCTTTCTCCGTAAAGGGGGTTTTTAGTGTGAAATTCCGGCTTGATTCACTACCCCGGCTAGCTAGAGGGGTTAGGGTTTGAAGCCGGATATTAAGCTTTGAAATCACTCTCTCCGGTTTAAAAGGGACTAAACCGGTAGCTCCGAAGCTATTTTTAATCGTCTCCGATTTAAAAGCTTCAATTCGTACGAGGGGGTATGCTTCGAGGAAGTCAAGTTTATCGATATAGTTGATCCCGTTCCGCATTTTCATCTTAACTATCCGACTATACGTACGTTTTAATACCGTAAAACAACTAATATCCAAAGGTTATAAAAGATAAGATAAATACGCTAGTATATAGATTAGTATTACCTTATTTTACTCACAAATTTCGTTAAATTTAGGCGTTAAATAACTTCCGTAACCGTTAAGTATTAAAAGCCGATATCCCCCCTTCGTACGTAAAGAAGTAGTTAGAATAAAGAGCTTCTTAAGCTAACGAAGTCCAATTTCATTAGAAGTCTAGCCGTTAGGACTAACCTCGAAGCGCTAATCCTCCGGAAGGCCGTCGAACCATGATTCAATAAAGACTTTGCCTTTAAAAATCATATACGGAGGAAGGGCCTATCTAGAAGCATTCGTACATTCAACTACCGTTACCTATTTACGATTTCTAGGTTATAAAACCGGCCTCCGACCGTAGTATTCACTCCGCGTAATAACCTTCGTAGTTATAGTCAATCCTATTACAAAACCAGTCTCGTTAAAGTTATAGATATCATCGGGGTCGATTCTATATTAAAGGATTATCTTTTGAACTAGATCAAACCACTCTCCGATGATTTTAGGGTCTTCGTATTTCGCACGCTCGTAGTTATATCGTTTCGAGAATCGGGAGGAGAGGAGAGGATATCGTTTCACGAATTTTATAACCTAATTTTAGCCGACCGAAAGAACCGGGGTAGTTCTACGCTTTCGAAGAAGAAGATCCGCCATTTCTCGTACTATAGAGGGCCGGGGGGCTGCTCTACGAGAGTCTATAGAGAGAATCCATTTTTCAAGAGATTCCTCTTCAACTTCTACTAATTTATAGTTGTTAGCGCGTGTTTCAGGACGAAAAGGATCACTAGTAAGGCGGCGTTGCAAAGTTATACGCGGTATATTAAAAAGACGCGCTATTTCACGAATTGAAGAGATTTCTTGATTCTTAAAAGCCTAGATAGCTAATAAGATCCTACCCTCTTGCTCTATCGAATTTCTAGAGCTTCGGGATCGAATTGGTGGCATGGTAGATGGTTGAAGAAGAAGGGGTTAAATTAATTGACGCATTTTGGATGGGTGGCCCACTCACTGGTGAAATACGTTATATAGTGTTTAAAAGACTTATCGATAGCTATCGGATAACAATGAAATCAAATAGTAACGTGGTTGCTAAGATATAAGGTTGTAAAATATCGCATTTACTATGGTGTTTTGGGGTGTCCAGCTATGGGGTATGTCTAGCTATAGGGTGAAATACGTTAGCTTTCTACTTTCTAGGTGATATCTAGTCTCTTAATAGAGTTTAAAGAAATTTTATAACTTTATGATTCCGATAAATATATTTCTAGTTTTTTATAACGCAATTTTCGGTAATTTTCGAAATCATAATAATATAGTCTTCTGCTCTCTTTGAAATTAATATATAGTAGTAGTGAGTGTTATCGATAGATATCGACAAATAAGGAGCTAGAAAAAAAGTGGTTGTTAAGATACCAAATCGCATTTACTATAGTGTTTTGTTGGGCGGTTCGCTTGCATGGGCGGTTCGCTTGTGAAATACGTTAGGAGCTCTGAGTTATGTCAGCAAATAGGCACTTTGGCGGAGTGGTTAACGCGATGCCCTGCTAAGGCATTTCCCTCGGGAGCGTGTGTTCGAATCACACAGGTGTCGATTTTTTTAATCCTTCAATCTTTTTATTATTACTCACTGCCGCAAGGAATCGGAATTTTCTAGTCAATTAATGTGTACGCCATGGCTAGATTCTAGACAATCTGGCTTTCTATACCGAGCAATGCGATTAGTCACGTCAGGGTTGCAATTTTTGTCAACAATTACGCCAACTGTACAAGAGCTTTGACTATTGTCGCCATTGCCTCGGTGTCATATGAGGTAGTATGGTATTCCCCGCGAGACACCTCACCTCCACTCAAGAATTCATGTACCGATTGAAGAGTTATCGAGAGGAGACCAGGAAACAGCTTTTCACAAAGGGTTTCGATGTTAATTGTTTGGAAATTCTCGTGGTCTTCGTGGGAGATTTTGTCCTGTACTAACTCATTACTCCCAGTTAAGATCTCGAGGAAACACTGCATGTCTTGGGCAGCGAACCAAGATAATGTCCTAATATCATCTGGGTTGTAACTGCAGACTTTGATGATTTGGTCTCTAACCTGGAGTGATGTCTATCCGTTGGTATTAAGTCCACCATAGCACCTTAGGAAAAGGGTTCCCATCATCCAATGCTTATCTGATACGCATGAGGATGTCACATCCATGAATTCCTTCATGGAAAGCCTGTAGTCGATATTCCCTTGATATAGCAGCTTCCCATCCAGCTCTCTGATTGCAGGCTGTAGTGGCATGGGCGAATACCTTTGTGGTATAGATACGTACTTCAAATTCAGAATCCCAAGTCATTTCAGGCCGCCCATACAATAGTTTCAGTTGCTGTAAGACGTCACCAGTTTAATATGTTTAATCTGTAATATTTATCTCTCGTTCCTGCTCTCGATATGCTGGCGGATTTATCGGCTGGGCAGGATTCATCACATAGTTGATAAGCGATCCCGAATGATGTGTTTTAGGCTCTTTCGGACACTAAGTCTCAATGCACGCACGAGTTTCTTGCGAAGCTCGCGTTCGCGGGTGGTATGGGCATCTTGTCTGAGCGTCTCCTCGATAGATTCTAATCTCAATTCCTTACCTGGATGGTTATAGAAAACCTCTAGATGTTTAGAGAACCGAGAGAGAAGTGATCGAGCGAAACAAGCTGGAAAGCCTGCACTGCTGGGGCGGAGAAAGACACTTGTGGCGCCTTTGTGACAATTGTTCCCAAGTAGCAAATCAATATTGCCAACTTCGTCGCCCGTAGTGGGGACTTCATGGTGAAAAATGGGATTTATATCAGCAAAAAGCTCGTGTTTTTTTGCCTTATTTCACTCACTCAACGCCAATTTTGTGTCTGATAACGAACTTGATCGGATATAGACTTAGCGTGTGTTAAGTGGAACTTGCGTTTTTGCTTAATGGGTTTGGCGAAAGGCGACCGGCAAACCATCAAATGCGAGCCGTGTAGCGAAAATATGCTTTTGCGAGGCTGTTTCGTTGATTTTGCGATTTGCAAAGCCAAGGAAGAAATGTAGCACCTGCAAGGTTACTAAATCCCACCCACTAGGGTTATAATCGACCCATTCATTTGTCCCCCGCACATCGAACTCTCCCCGTAGTTGCATGCACACGAAAATGGCTCCACCGAAAGGCGAGAAAAGGGCGAGAAGGACTAGTGGGGGCAAGGCATCTTTACAGACTTATCTTCAGAATCTTTATCACTGTGTTCAAGAGATCTCGTTTAACTGACGTAAGTATAAATAGTCGACAACTTCTGCTCGATTTTTATATCGGCACAAATTGTGAGCTGGTTTCTCCCATCGAACAACTTTACATTATTCTCTCCAATTATATCGAGGACACTCGAATCAACATGAGTCAAATCCTCTTCAAGGCTCCAAGAGTGTTCAGCCGTCACTATCAGATCCGGTCTTTATCGACCCAGCTCGGGAAGCTCACAAGCTACCCGACGTCCGTCCTTCCATCACGAGATGAGATTAAGTATGCACAACTTTCTCCTCAGAATCTAGAGGTTGCAATGCGCAGCCTCAATCAGGATGGCCTTGTGGTTATTGAAAATGCTATCCCCCACGATTGCCTCGACAGACTCAATAAAAAGATGATTGAAGATGCCTACTCTCTTCAGTCCAGGAAAGGAGACAGCCCATTCAACTACAATCCCGGAAATATTCAACAAGACGCCCCTCCGGTAAGGGAGTACTTCGAACCCAGTATTTTCATGAGTAAGTCTTCAAAGCCCGAATTACCCCTTCAGTCCACAGCTCCTAACCCTTACCCAGACCCCATCGCAACTCAAATTACCTCGTCGGCGCTGGGACCTCGCCCAAAATGGACATTTTGCTCGGGAAATACTGCAATGCCTCCAACTGCAGAGACCCCTCCGATGTCTCAGCCTGTCCATTCAGACGCAGACTTTGCCCACCCAACTCATCCTTTCGCATACGTCATCAATGTTCCCCTTATCACCATGACCCCGGAGAATGGCTCCACCGAGGTATGGCTGGGAACACACACTGACGCGGGTCTACAAGTTCAAGAAGGGCTACACGGCGAGCGGGCCAGTGGTCGCATCAAGCTTGATGAGCTAGAGAAGCGCCGTCTAGCCCGTCCACCGTGTCAACCCGTTGTGCCAAAGGGCTCTCTGATCGTCAGAGACCTTCGTCTTTGGCATGCTGGAGTTGGGAACCAGACCGAGGACCCTCGAGTCATGTTGGCAATGAGTCAGTTTAAGTTCTTTCTTCCTGATGTTCTCCCCGAAAACATTTCTAACTTCGACAGTTCACTTTGCTTCGTGGTATAGGAATCCTATGAAACTTGAATTTGCGGATGATCTGAAGCCTGTAATTGAGGGTCAGACCGAGCTGGAGGTTCCTGTGGACTGGGTGAGTAGGCCGGAAGCACTTTCGCGCTATCTGAACCGTGGCTTTGGCAATGCATATGACTTCAACCAGTACTCTTGAACCGAATGAAGTTGCTGGTGTTGGTAATTGACCGTGAAGGAAAGGGAGAAAGGATCTCTGATGGATGACTATGAAAGAGGCAGAAGGAGAGAGAGAACCTATCAAATAAGGAAGCCGGTTCCTGACGAACGAGGAGGTGTAGGCCTTAGGTAGCCACACACTCCAATAGCTGCGTGCCGGAGAAAAGATTCAAAAGATTCAGCGAGAGATTCTTTTCATTATCCTCTAACATAAAAAAAGCATCATTGTTTAAACGGTCGTGTTTGAAGGCGAAAGAGCCTCTGCTATATTAGACACCGGCCATCCAGTCACCTTCCCCCACTTTTCCAACTCTTGTGCCATTTCTACCCGCTTCTGGGTATTATGAAGCCAAGGGGAACCTGTAAATAAAGTAATCATAAGAAATATCCCGAGAAGTCATTTGAAAAGACTTACAGAATGCGATTGGGCCAAAAGCATTGACCCAGACTGGTGCCGAGTCGCTTGAAAGGGCCAGGGCACAAATTTCAGTCGCATGGTATTCCAATTTTCGTCGCAGACATTCCATATCATTGATACGTTGGAGAGCTTTCAGTGGTTGAGCTGCAGGCTGGGCCAGCCATAGAATTCCCATGGCGGTATGGTAGTAATGGAGAGTGGAAACTTATGAAGTTAGAAGCTGAAGGGAACATAGGCTGAGTATTCTCACCGTGCCAGCTTCGAAGTGCCCAAATAGATGGAAAGCTACTCTGTTTCCTGAGTCCAGGGGTCTGTATTGTGTCGAACGATGACGGCAGTGATGATTTCCACTTATCAAGATCAGCCTTCATAGCTTCCCATTCGACGGCGGTCAATGCTTGTGAATCGGCTGAAAGACACCGGTTGATAATCTTGCCGAGCAAGAATGTGACGTGATTAGCAAAGTCCGCATCCTCTTTTGGTTCTGGTGGGGCATTCTGATCGGAAAGAGTGATCATTAGACCACGTTGCTCTATGAGAGCGACCGTGATGTCTTCTCGTAGGTAGTTCCAATAGCCTGCGCTGAGTAGGTCTGCTGTGAGATGAATATGCCGACTTGCCAGTAGTGAATAGCATCCTTGCAAGTGGCTTTGAGAGCTAACGTTCTCTGAAGATGTTTTCGAGCTGTTAGCGACTGTCTTTCCCAGGGAAAGCTTTAGGAGCCAGGAATATCGATAAACTACTGACGTGTGATAATCTCATGAGATCGCAAAAGGCAAATGGCGGCAAGTGTTTCACCAAGAGGGATGGTATCAAAATTCTTGGTGAGGGAGATCAATCTCCGCACACTATCATAATGGTAGAATTCAGCCATCTCAAGATACCCGACTTCGGCAAGGGTGCGATGTTGGTTGGCAGCAGCAAAGGCGAGAATGGCGCTGAGCAATAGTGGATTATATCGAGCCCTGACAGGAACGACATCCTTGAAATGGCGCTTGCTGTCGTTAAGATCATACCATGCGGCCAGGGTTGCTATATAGTGACGGAATAACCTGACAACTCTTTGGTCCTGTAAGGCATATTCAGGATGTTCCGTGGAGGGATATTCGGTTTCATGGCGAGCAGATGAGCGCAAAGGGCCCGGTTGATAGACTGGAACTCCCGGCGCTGTTATCGTGTCTTCTTCTTGAATCCAATGACAGTTACGCGCAATGCGTTGACATGGTGAACATTTGGGTCGTTTTCCGTCGCCTTCCGTTATATCATAATGAGCCCGCGGTTAGTGAGTGGTGGTTTTCTAAGGTTCGACATATGCAGGACTAACATTTGACCCGTCGTGACCTGCATGTTTGGCTGAGGAGTCGTGAATTAGTAATCGATTGCGAGCCTCCTGAGCAATTCGTAGCGACGAAAATGACATGGGGGTTGAAAGGTGAACTATAATTACGGAACGAGTCGACTGACTAACCAGCCTAGAGATGAAATAAACCCCTACATTAATTTCAGATATCCAAAGCCGTTCCACCAGGTATAGACTTACGATTGCGTTCAAGTGGCCTCGGCATTTACGTTTCGCGAGGCCTGGGAACACTTGATTCCTCTTGAAAGATATGTGTGGGGAATAGTACTTTCGGCTCTTAGTTCCTAAGGCGGGGGCTTGTAAAGCATTATGTTTTGCGAGCTTCGCTTTTGCCCTTCCCACCCCACTTTATTACCCCGTGATCGCTTGTCCATGTTGTATGGTCTTGGCTATGACATCATCTCGTGCTTTACGGCATGTACACGGTAGTGCTTTAGGTAGATGGAAGTTTACTGGTACGGGAACCAAGTTGACTAATCTGAGCGAGTTAAAGAACAAATAGGGAGAGGCGAATAGCGAAAGGCGAGATATCGCAAGATCGACTTTTAAAATGGCATCCTGCAGGACGCTATGCCTCCTTTGTTTGGTCTACCACAGATTGTTGGCCTTGGCCGTGATTTGATTGGGCACAGCCTCCTAGGCTAGTGGATATGACCAAGGTTGTAGAAGAATCAATCGGAACAGATGTCTTGAAACGAATTCGATCCCTGTTGTATCGAATAAACTTTCTCAGGAACAATACTAAAATAGTATGTCTACTAGCATAAGGTCAAATAAGACCGAGGACATATTGAAGGCTCCAGGAGATCCTCTTGGCCACAATTCAGCTTGTTCCTGGGGGGATTAACTCCAGCTCCCAGAGGCTTCATAGTTCGCAGAGGATATGGTGCAGATCCTGGACGCGAAACATGGGCTGCACAACCAAGCACTCACGTAAGTGCTGCAACAAGCTATGGCTTCCAATCTTAGCAAAATGTGCACTTTATTTTATCCATTACGCTGTCGCAGCCACAGTCCTTATAATACAGGCAAATGACAAGGAAAAGTGAACGAGATTAGAAACAGTCGACCCCGCAGCTCGTCTATGTATGCGCCTGCAGTGGTACGGTATTTTTTTACCGTCCACCTCGAAGCTCGTGGAAGTTTGACTCCTTAGATGTGCTTTTGCTGCTCAGCTGGCAGCTCAAAGTTTGCACGGGTCCGGCGGGGAACGAGATAGCATATTCTTCAGGTTTAACAGTGGATATTGAAGTCAGCTGTCCAATTTCTCCCCCTTCGTATCCGCAGCCAAAGATCAAATACCGCTTTACGGCGACGTCGAATTTCACTAGCACTCACAGGACGACCCCAGGCCTGTGAAACTGCGCTGCGTATCAATTGCCGAAATTTCCTTTGATAGTCTGTGTTTCGCGTGACAAGACATGATTCGATCGCTTGTATCATAATCTCGCCGGCGTTGAGAATGTCCTCATCGCACTTATCTTGCAGACGCTCCACAATTAACAGTACCGGAAAGCTCCCTTGAAGCAGCTGAATGCCAAAGAAATAGGGCATAAAGCTGATATTTGGGTCAAGCTGTAATATTTGCCGCAACCAAAAAGCAGCATCTAATGAGTGTGAGATTGTGGATGTGAATGCTGGAGAAGTCCAAAGCTCCTTGTCTTCCAATAAGAATTGCCAATCCCACTTGCCCACTAGTGAGATGTAGAGAACTTGGACTAGGTATGACGAGTAAGCAACAACCGTTTGTGTTTGCCAAGAGTGATCATGGACTAGCAGCCTGTTGGCAAGTTGGTCTGACACTGTTGGGTCGACGGTTGAAGACGTTGTAGATGCTATGAAAGCGGACAAACTGGTCTGATAGATCTCGAGATGGCGTAGTACTTCGGCCTCTTTAACTTCGTAAGCCTCGTTATCGTGCAGTCGCAGAGGATTGAGCCCCATCACCTCTCCGGTGATCGTCATAAGTGGAAGGAAAAATCCAAAAATGGAGGAGTCGCGACAGCGAAAATCGGGGAAGACCTGTAGTTCGTTCTGGTGAGGGCTATGCGGATGGAAACCGTTGCTGTGAACAATACCGCCCTGCCAGGAGGTTTCATCCAATGGAAGTAGCAGATTCTCACATTCTGCATCAAGCAAATCCGGCGGACGATTGTGATGCAATGCAATATGGCGATCAATGATGTAAAGCAGCCACCATGCTCGTCTTCGCTCTTCGCGGTGCTCCTCCGTTAAGACAGGGTAGCCTTGATCATGAATTTCCTCACATACGCAATTGGGACTTGACTGTGTCCCGTCAGAATGGAAAAAGTCCGGTTTGTTTGGCCAGTCTGATAGCCCATCTTCAGAGAATTGGGGCGAAGTATTGCTTTGCTTATCAAAGTCTCGCGTAAATTTCTCTTCCTGATTTAGTTTGAGCCGGCGGGCTAAACCAAAGGCCGCCTTCCACCTAAGAAGGAATCAGGAAATCGGCCATGAGAGGTAGATAGAGCTTAACTTACCATCTCATGCTTTCGGCGTTATGTTCGGTAGAGATAATCGAGGCAATATGGATGCAAGTGATCACCTTGTCTAATTGAGTAATATGTTCCACTAATGAGGGCTCCTGATTCTTGGTAGATATATTGTCTGAAAATTGCAATAATGTTCTCGTCAAATCGCCAAGGAACTGGCAAATATTGCGTTGTTGTGAGGGTGCGATAGATAAAGAGGCTCGATGATCAATAGCAGCCATCCAAAGCATACTTGTCAAAAGTGCAGGGTTTCTGACCCGGAATTTATCGGTCAAGAAGGAGGCCTTGCGCAAGATATTTGGAAATGGACTAATGAAATATAGCTCGAGCAACTGGCAGACAAATTGTGGAGGGAGGTCTGTTTCCAAAAAAGGCATCACTGTGTCTAACACTGGGTATTTCATCGAGGGCCGTGAAGTTGGTTTATCTTCTGCGACGAGGTGATTCGTTACTGGTTGGCATAGTGTCGGTGGATGAGGCCCCTGGCTCGGAGTGTGAGGATCTATGTCGATCGGACTCCATATGTTCGGCAGTGGTGGCAGAGGCCCATCGTCTTCTCCGCTCAACTCAGGTGAATCCTTCAAAAAATCAGTCGTTGGTAGGCATTCCCCCGTGACATCCAGCCCTAATCCTGCCGGTAGCTGTAAAATCGCTGTCATGGAGCCATAGTCTTCCATGCACAAAGCCAAGCGAGCATCGATTTTGTCGGTTCTGGGCGACGACGGTTGTGTGATTGATTCCAGGATAGTGGAATCCATGGGTGACACAGTCGGCTGTGACACAGAACTACAGCTTTCATCGGTCTGTCTTCCTTTTATATGGCTTCGCGGTGCGTCTATTCCGTATGCCTTGTTTGAGTTGGCTAGCTTGGAGCGTGCCATTTGACTTCTTTTCCGTAGCTTGCGTGTAATGTCACAGTTTATGGCCTTGCGCAGGCAGCGCGAGCACGGAAACGGGGATGCTAGATCGCATCTCACACGGCGGATGTGGCACGCGTTACAGGCGACTTGATTTCGTCGCCATCTTGGGTTGCTGTTCGGGGGTCCAACCGGCACAGGGACTGGGAATAATGGAAAGTTCGTTAACTGGAAGTCGTTTTCAGGATACATTGGCATGCTTCATGATGCAGTTGATCATGAGTGACGGTTGCTGAAAATACTTTTGCCCATTGGTTTTTTGGAGTGTTAGATTACTCGTAGGGGAACTGGACACTACCTGTCAGTAACCTTCCCCACATTTCTTTGTCATTCTTCTTCTGTTGTGGCCGTCTTGTTTGGGAAGAAAAATGGCTGCATGGACTGGCGGGACTTAATTACCCGTTCGACTCCCTTTTGAGTAAACCTTTCCGCGAAGTATATTCCGACCCGTCATGATGTCTCTCCGGTCCAGCCGAAATGATGATTGGCCCCAAATTTAGTTTGGCGCTAGTCCCTTTTGCTTTTGCTAGTGACAGAAAACTGACGTACGAACAATGTATGGTATAGATGACCAATGTTGAAGACTCACTAACTAAATTGACAAAATCCGCTTTTTCAACAATCTGTGCGGACCATAATGACTAACTGTAATATGCACTTTTGTATGGTATGCTCGGTACCCAATGTCACATGATGTTTCCGGTATATTACCTGGTTTCTACCATGTATTCGGACTTGGTATTCGACAGCTAGTTCCAGATCTTCATACAAAATAGCCATGAAGGTCGTCTTCGCTCGCTAATTGTGTCTCTGAAGAGATGGGCAAAATTGGCATCCGAGAACCCCTCATCCTGGTCAATACAGCCAAAGGGTGCATTAACCACATGAATGCGACTTCGGAACCGAATCCAATTAGTGTAGGTAAGGCGCAATATCGTGAGTTGGAAAACCTCCGCCAAGTTACTACCTAGAAAAACGATTCTTGCCACATTTGAACACTGTACCCCGTCTCCACCCTGTCTCAATCTGGGGTCGGAACAATATGAGGACGGGAGCATAAGGTTCCTGGGGTATTAAGCGCGGTTACGTGGAAGACTGAGGCATATAAAGCTGATTATAAGTAGGCTTCCAACAACCGCTCTCACAAGAAGTAAGCTCGCACTGTCCCATTGGTGGATTTTAGTCTTTTGTTATTACTCATTCTGTCACATCTCTTTATTGATAATGACGGCCTCTACACGGACACCATATTTCAGGCTTACGGGAAGATGGCTTACTTTTTGGCTAAGGGTGGGTTGGCTACGTTTTCATACCTGGTCCTAGTCGGAGGAATGCCAATAAAAGTAACATCTCAGGTAGCATGTGCCGCTGATATGATGTTATTTGGATGCCACTAGGGTGTATTTAGTATGTTGCCTTCCCCTTTCCACCTTTATACTAAGCGCCCTGGATGTCAAATGGTCTATTTCTCTGGGTGGTGTCGTGGTTATCCGTGACTTCTTAGAAGCCTATGATCTCATCGGCCCTACTAAAACCACAGTCCGCCTCTACCGTTGTTACTTATAGTATCGGTTGTTTCTTTAGAGCCATACTTACCTTTACAATAGGCGAGCGACTGGGCTGCAAAAAGTCTATTATTTAGGGTACTGTGATCATCGTAGCCGGTACTATTCTTTAGGCATCATCTTATAGCCTACCCTAAATGTTTATTGGTCGAATTGTGCTAGGGTAAGTGGGTCTTATACTCAACCACTATATATCATCCTAATATATCTTGACTCAGGAACGGAATCAACGCTGTAACAGCCCCTATTTGGTAAACGGAACCGGTATAGACGAAATGGGGAGGAAAACTGGCTATACTGAATCTTGGGCTGAATGTCGGCGGGTACTGTATTGCCAATTGGATAAACTATAGACTCTCCTTCGGCGGGGACGCTATTGTATAGCGTATATTGATCGATCGTTCTACCGCTTATCTGTATCGCTATCTTACTCATCACCATCCCTTAGCTTACGGAATCCCTAAGATATAATACTAAATCCTTTTCCTGCAGATATTAAATATAGTTTTGATAAGGACCTAGATAGCTTATAGTACAAGCTCGCCAAGATAGGCGATCGAAGTACTTACGTATATCGAGGCTATAGTTATCTATTAACGTATTAACGATCTAGTTATTATAACCTAGCTTGACAAGATCAAATTCAGTATCGCATATAAGAAGGAAAATGCCATCCGATACCGCGATCTTCTGCTTCGAAGTAAAACTAATAATATAAAAACTCTTCACGAGTTGCTTCTTAGTGTCGTCACACAGGCTATGCAACAGCTCCAAGGTGATTTTCTAGTCTAAACAGCCTTATCTTGTTTTAACGTCTTCACATACTGGTATAAATGCTGCATCAAAGGCATCTGCATCATGAGTTAATATCTCCCGCTAGTCCTCATGAACTCGGTCGGACTTTCAGATGAGATGGCCCGACTGCTGACGGCCTGTAATACGGCTTCATATTTTACCCGTCTCTCTCCATATTTACCTTTATCTTCAGCCTCTTTCAGTATAAAATAAATACCTTACGTACGTGCATAGTAATAAATACTAGCGCCGTTTATGTATTTAATGGCGTACCGGTTACATTACCAGTGTACGGGGGAATAGCAGATAGCGGCACGAACCGACGCTATGACCAGAGCGACTCCAGGGTGATCGAGTCCACTCTAATAAAGCTTAAAAATCTTGGAATATGAGATGAAAGTAGTGTGAAAAGTGGGATGGGATTTCCCTCATGATGCAAGGGTTGAAAAACCATCGTGAACGCCATTCTATCTTGAGGTTGCGGCTAAAACCCCCATCTACCACCAGTCGGGGTTCCCGACGGGAACCCGGATAACGAGATCTCGCAATTTCCATTACGAATTCTGATTGCACAATCCACATCTTAGGTCTAGAATGGCTATCGCAAGATGTCAGGTGGTTTAAGCTAGAAAGCCCCGTGGATGTGTTACTGCAATCAATAGCAACCCCCTGCTGGCTTTTCTAACTGCCCGAACTCCCACTCTTACCACTCAGAGTTTCTTTCCATCTGACAACCCAGCTGAGACGTCACTTTAACGCGACACGCAAATATGGGTTCTGTGTTTGAGGCATCTCCCACATTCTCGATTGAGAGCGAACGTCTCCAAATCTCCTACTTCCTACCCGACTCCCCAGAGCACTGTCTTTTCCTTGTCGAACTATGGAACAGCGAGGAATTTATGAAAACATGCGGCCGCACCGGCATTGATACCGCAGAGAAGGCCTCTAATTTCATTCGCAACCGCGTCCACACCGACTATGCCCGAAACCATTATGGCATGTTTCTAGTCTCGCTAAAGCCGCATGAGCACGCATCTTTAGCAGAAAGTACTCCTATCGGCTCTGTCTCATTGATGAGAGGCGAGCCACCGAATGCTTACCTGGCGCCCGATATTGGATATGCGTTTTTGACCAAGGAAACTGGAAAGGGATATGCCACCGAAGCCGCACTTGCGTTGTTGGCGTATGCGAAGAAGGAACTCGGAGTAGATTCCGTGTTTGGATTCTGTGGAACGGGCGATACGTACAGCGCGAGGGTGTTGGAGAAGATTGGGCTAGAGTTTCGAGGACCAAAGAAACTGAAAGTTTTCGGAGGCAGGGAAAGTGCTGTTTATGCACTCCCTATAATGAGCCAGGATCTGACCGTGTACGGCTTGGATGATTAAGGAAACTAATTACCTGCTTCTTTGGGGACTCATACTCTACGACCGATCTCAGTGAGTGATATCGGCGACCACCTTTTCTCCTGGCATGCTATCGGATCAGATAGTATCCAAGGGGTTCTCGCGCGTTTCGGTTGTTGTCCTTTCTCCGGTCTTTTTGGAATTCTACTGATAATAAAGGTCTCCAGAGAATCTGTAGATACGTGAAGAGAAAAAAGGACCTACATAATCTACAGTGGGTATAGAACATAAGCTAACCGGGGAGGAAATACAGAGGCCACACAATTTCTCATAAATATCTATGTACATAAGCACCACAAAAGAAAGCAGATACAGGTCATATATCCACTGCATCAAAGATAAAACCTGAAAGCAAATTTGCCCATCTAGGTAATTTGATGCGTGTCTTCGAGTCCATCAGATCGTTGCGCAGCATAAGCCCAAATTGTAGCCTCAATCCTCGCGCGCTGTTCTATCTCCACACTTGAAGTATTATCCCCAAAGACAGAGTCCATTTCCTCCAAAGTTTTCCCATTGGTCTCCGGAACAAAGAGCCATGTCCAAACAAACGACAGGGCACAAAACACACAGAAGAACGCGTACGTCCCATACCCAGTGTTTTGCACAAGCGGCGGAGTAATAAGCCCAATGATGAAGTTGTTAAGCCAGTTCGACATCGTGGAATATGCCATACCTTTAGCACGCAGCGAGGAAGGGAAAATCTCAGCCGGCATGGCCCAAGGGATGGGACCCCAAGTGGCTCCGTAGGTGAGCATGAAGAAGCACAAGAAAGCGACGCAAACCCAGCCCTCTGTTGAATGCGCTGGCCAATTTGATTGGTATTGGCTCATCAGAACAGCGATGATAAGATGCGCAAGGATCATGCAGCTAGCACCACCAAAGAGCAAAGGCCTACGACCAAATTTATCCATTCCCCATAGTGACCAGAAACAGGCTAGCATCTGGCAGATGTTGATGACACCGGACATGTGGAGTTGCATCTCGTAGTTTAGACCCATTCCTGCGAATAGACTGGGTGAGTAGTAGATGAGAGCGTTGACGCCGCCGAATTCTGCGAGAAGGATACGACTTAGCCCATTTAAGGAGAAATAGAAAGGGAAAGCGGTGGTTCCACCATGACAGACAGACACTCACGTTGGAAAAACATCAGTCCAATACCGACATGCGTACGCTTCCAACACCCTTTGCGGAAACAGTCCAGGTAGCTCCAGGCATGAAGCATAGCACGGCTGGTGTAACTTCCATCCTGGCACTTTGGGTGTCTCACGATGCTCACTTCATTACAATAAGCCACCTCAGAGCGAATCTCAACCCACTCTCGGATGACACGCTCGTCAGTAGGGTCGACACCGCGCAGCTTGCAGAGAACCTGGAGTGCTTCTTCATCTCGGCCTCGGCCAGCGAGCCAACGAGGTGAATATGGGAGGAATGGAATACCGACCCCGAGAAAAACGGCAGGAATCATCTATCCATGTAGTTAGGAAAGGACAAATCGGGGGGAACGGGAAGGCACACCTGAATAAGGAAGGGAAGGCGCCACGACCATTCACCCGGAATGTATCTTGTACCGTAGGTGATATAGAAAGCAATCACAATGGCAGTGACAATAGTAAGCTCCTGCAGAACAAGTAGAGTACCACGAATCTCCGGCGGCGCGATCTCAGAAATATAAAGCGGTGCTACCATGGCCAGCATGCCGACACCGATGCCTCCGACAAACCGGGCACCTACAAGCATTTCGAAAGTCATAGCCCCAGTCTGCAGGGCGGCACCAAAGAGGAATATTATCACCGCGACCATGATAGACCACTTTCGAGAGATTTTGTCGGCAATCCATCCCTGGTTCATTGCTCCAATGAACGCCCCTAGCTCGATCATGGCAGTGAGGATTCCTTTCTGGAATCCTGCACCGGGTGCGTCGGGGCTAACCTCAGGAAATCGCTCAAGAAACTGGTCCATTGTGAGGGTTATGGAGACGACACCTTGGTCGTAGCCGAACATTGCCCCGCCCAGTGTTGCGAAGGCGGCACATGCTGCTACATACTTATTCGTGAGGATACCCTTCAGGCCTGTTCCATGGGAGGATGAATTAGTATGTGATGAGTGTAGAGAAAGGTGGAGGAGGTAATACCAGATTCGCCATATGGTTGTCTTGCTGATCCAGGGACCGGTATGAAAACAGAAGGATCCGATTTTATATTAGATTCAAAATGTTCGCTCTCTGGGGATTCTTTCTTATCCGCCATGGTCTTCCTCGAAGCCCGGTAGCTAAGAAGCAATGGCAATATGTAAAATGGATAATAATAATCCAATTGAGAAAACAACGACTGAGGATATCTTTCAAATATAAGCAAAAGTGTGGAATGTAAACTTTGCTCCATGCAACATCTACACCAACCAGAGTCAACGCAATTACCCTAACCGGTTTCCCCCATTTTACACCGTACGTACTATGAAGTGGAAATTTAAGCGTTCGGACTTGACGCCATGACCGGGAGCGAACGCGGGGAAGACCCGCTAAGTCATGGCCTTCAAGGTTGCCCAATTCGCGGGGCCCCGGAATCTCACCGAATCGGACACCATTTTCCGGTTCGGAGATTATTTTCCTTCGACAGCCGGCTGAAGACACACCTTATAGTGGCATCGGCGAGCAAAGCAACGGAATGTCATAACCAACTAGTTCGGGATCTGCGTGTGTGACTATGGGTTTTCAATCCTGCAATAAAATGGCGAAAGGAAACCAAAAAAAGACCTCTAAAACACTTCCGAAATGCTTCTCAATATAATGTCTCTAAGATCAGATTAATAACATAGAATAAATAGAGAATTGAAGGAGAAGTGGAGGGCGAGGCGGGGAATTAGTATGCTAAACCAATCAAATGTCCGTTGTCGGATGTGCCGACGAATCCCGACTCTTTTTGTATAGCCAACCACTTAGGTTGCCAATACTGTAAGGCGTATTCTAGGGGCATTCCCGGGCTAGTCTCACTTGTCCGATAAGACGTCAAATCTCACACCTCCCGCAGGGTTGGACAAGAATTATTTGTGGCCCATGACGTCCTCTCCCCACTCCAAGAGCCTCCCTACTCCCCTTCGTCAAACATTTGACCATGGATTTATCTCTATCCCGCCAGAATAATATTCTGTATACTTAGGAGTCATTGTCAAGGTACAAAGTTGGAGGATATCACCCAGTCACTTTCAGGGATTACTTTTAAGAATGATCGCTACGAAATCCATCAGAAGTTGGGATATGGGGGTTTTCGAGGGACAAGGTCTCAGGTCATAAACCGAACCATTTTTGCCAAGCAACAACTAACATGATACCAGCCAAAATCAGTGGGTCTCGTTGAAGATCACGACCGCAAATTGGCCAAAATCGCGCGAGCTGCAAAACCGAAGACTTCTCGAAAGGCATTCTGGTGTAAATCTTTCCTCTCAATATATTGTTCAGCTACTTGATGACTTTACCCAATATGGCCCTAACGGAGCCCACCAATGTCTTATATTCGGATTGCTTGGTCCTACAGTTGATATGGTCCTCGCAGGTTATTCCGAGGGCAAAGATAAGCTCGAGCCAGAAGAAATACTTCGAATGTCTACGCAACTCCTGAGAGCTATTGAGCTTGTTGATGGTGCCAGCATGTACCATGGGAGCAATAGCATTCTTTCCTTTGTTTTTTTGCTGTCCGACGCAATAGTACTAACTTCAACTCAGATATAAGCGACCGGAATGACGTATTTACTTGCAATAAACTGTTGAACTCACCCGAGAAAGAGCTTTCCAATGTTCTTGGGTTCCTAGAAATCGAGCCGCTGGCCCACAATGATGGTACGCCTTCAGACAACGGATTGCCAACCCAGCTGGTCAAGGCAGCATAATGGGTCTACTGAATATACGAGGACGAGGAAGATATCTGGGCTTCTTGGTTTTGAAAAGAGTTTCCTCGGAGAGCAGCCTGAGAAGCTGGCTCAGCCCAGTAATTTGCGGCTAACTTGAGACAATTTTCACGAACTGCTTTGATTATCACCTTGATTTATGGCGTGCTGGTTGCATGGCATGTCAATATTACTTTCTTTTATTTTCTTGCAGCGCAAATACTAATACTGGGATGAACTGTAGATCTACGCTTTCTTGTTCATGATCTATCCTTTCTGGCATTTTAGCGAGGACGAATACCCAATTTCCCAAGTCATTGGTTGCGTGGAGAGACTGCTAGTCAAATGGGAGTCTTACTGGAAAGAATTGTAGATGAAAAAATTGTAGATGAGATCAAGCGGTGATCTGGAGATAAAGGAAGGTAAGTGGTTCGATATATCAAAGTACATGATCTTTCATGCTAATTCCACTCAAAGACTATGGAATCTCCAAGTTTGAACGCAATTTTGCAGAAAATGTGCATGTATTCTACGAATGCATTTCAAACAATGTTTGCCACAAAATCGAAAAGATCTTGCATAGCAATATAATTCTACCTCGGAAGATAAATATTTCCAGGGCTCCCGGGGGCCTATTATACCAATTACTAATCCACCTCGGGGCCATCGGCGGCCTGATCCCGAGGTAAGTCAGCGCTGATCCCGAGACCCACCTAAGATCCGGGCTGCCTTGAAGCTCGGGACTGCGGCACTCTATTACCGCCACTTCACTTTCTCTACTGAATTTTGACCTGAGTCACCAGATTTTCATTACTTTCACTAGATGATTACCCTATTCCTGCCTAGGTGTATAATAAGTCATAAAGTGAACTAAACAAGTCAGACGGATCAAGTAAAGAGTGATAGCGCAGAGTACTTACAGTGAAGTATTAAGTGCTCCGGCATTAAAAAATAAACTATCTCAAATTAGGATTAAAATTTTAATTAAGCAAAACAATGATTCCATATAAACTAATAGGTATAAAATAAGAACATACTCACTCATATTAGAAATAGTATTGCAGGCAGAATCCGAACTGGCGGCAGTAGACTGCCGTATTAAGGTTTGGGCCCTTCTGACATCATCAAGTAAAGCTGCTCCGGTGATCATATTCTTCTTTAAAGGTTTTCAATCCCGCAAAATATGGCCAAACTTAACACCTGAGAATACTCATTGCCGCTGTAATTCAGTTTAACATACGCTGAACCCCGTCCTACCCATCCAAAATTGCGTCCCTCTACTTAGCCACACCCGGCCGATCTCCCGTGAAGAATGGACTCGGCACAACCCACGAGACGTAGATCCAGCCGCCATGGGTCAATACAATCGGATGACTGGCCTGAGGAGGTCAACATTTCGCTCTCACCACATCGCGAGCGGAATCAAACCAGTGGGGAGAGACGAAACACTGGAGTTAAAGTCTTGAGTGTGTGATTCAGGTGAAGCGTTGAACCCCGCGTGGCTAACAGTGACTCTTTTGTAGGTGATGGCCGGCTTGATATCAAGATCGACGAGCATATGCCACAACTCGCAGGGTTATTGAATCGCATCCAAACAACAACCGCGCCACCAGACCTAGAGGCTCTAGCGGACAAACCGACCCCGGAACCAATACCAAAAGATGAGGGCAAAGACTTCCCACTGAAGCTGAACATCGTCATTCAGGTCATCGGATCTCGAGGGGACATCCAACCGTTTCTTGCGCTGGGTAAAGAGTTGAAGGCATATGGACACCGCGTACGGCTAGCAACCCACCTCACTTTCCGGGAAGTTGTACTTGACAGTGGATTGGAGTTCTTCAACATTGGTGGAGACCCCGAGGAGCTGATGGCGTTCATGGTCCAAAATCCGTCCCTACTCCCCGCATTTAGAACGATTCGCAGCGGTGCCATCCAAAAACGCCGGCGCGAAATGAAGGAAATTATATACGGCTGTTGGAAGTCATGTGTCGAAACAGGTGACGGTACAGATTTGCATCAAATTAAGGAGGATCTATGGAGTGACACGGTGGACTATCGTCGAAGGCCATTTGTTGCTGATGCAATAATCGCTAACCCTCCCAGCTTGGGCCATATCCATTGCGCACAGCGGCTGGGGATTCCACTTCACATGATGTTCACGTAAGTACATTTTCAAAATATAAAATTGAGGAACGCCCTAATGGAACTTTTCTAGAATGCCCTGGTCGGCTACTCAATTATTCCCGCATCCTTTGGCCGTTCTCCACCCGCAGGAATGCAAGCCAACGGTTGCAAACCTCGTGTCTTATACCGTTGTGGATATGATGATTTGGGAGGGATTGGGAGATCTTGTCAATTCTTGGAGGAAGAATTGCCTCGCACTCGATCCGTTAGATTCGATCACAGCGCCAAATTTGCCCGCGCGCCTCGGCGTCCCGTTCTCATATCTGTGGTATGGGTTCATCCGAATGCGGCGGAGATGGACCGTTCACTAATTGTTGTTTACTTTAGGTCGCCGGCATTGTTGCCAAAGCCACGCGATTGGGCTGACCATATCGATATTTGCGGTTTCAGCGTGCTACCTGCGAAGTCAGACTACGAACCCCCTAAAGAGATCCAAGATTTCCTCAAAGCAGGGCCCACTCCGCTCTACGTTGGATTTGGCTCTATTGTGGTAGAGAACCAAGTCAAATTAACTCAAATAGTGTTCGAAGCAATAAAAAACGCCGGCCAGCGTGCAATCATTTCAAAAGGCTGGGGAAACCTCGGAGTCGACAATATCGATGTGCCAGATAATATCCTTATCGTCGGCAGCGTGCCACATGACTGGTTATTCCAGCATGTATCCTGTGTGATCCACCATGGTGGTGCAGGTACCACTGCCGCGGGACTTTCCCTTGGACGTCCGACCATTGTCGTTCCCTTCTTTGGAGATCAACAGTTCTGGGGAGGAATCGTTGCGATGGCGGAGGCTGGGCCGCAGCCAGTGCCTTACAAGCAACTCACAGTTGAGAAGTTGACTGCTGCAATTCAGACGGCATTGAAGCCTTCAACTCAACAGAAGGCACAAGTAATTGCAGATAAAATGCAGAAAGAGTCCGGTGTGAAGGATGGGGTACGCAGCTTTCATCGGCATCTTAAGTTGAAGACTTTGCAATGCGCCATATGTCCCAATCGTCCTGCTGTATGGCACATTAAGCAAACTTCCATTGGGCTCAGTGCTTTTGCTGCAGCCGTACTGGTTGAAATGGGGGCCATCAAACCAGAGAATGTTGCTTTGTAGGTTGGCCAGTGACAATGCATTTCCAAACCACTAACCAACTGTCCAGGAACCGAGCATCGGAATACGACACATACCGTAATCCCACAGGCCCTGTCAGCGCAGGAGCTCAGGTGCTAGTTGGAGCGATTGCAAACTTTGTGACCGGGATTGGTGAGGTCCCTTATGATATTGTTTCGGATTTCGTCACCGCCGGTCGTGCAATAGGTCATACTCGTCCATGCAGCACTACATCAAGATTTTCATGGGGGAAAACACGCAGAAGTCAAGATTCAGATCTTGATAGTGAGGAGGGGCAGCAGCGGTATCATGAGCCTGCCGAGTATCATGGGCCTGCTCAGTGCCGTGGACTTGGCCCACCAAATGACGATGATAATGACGGGGTCGCCCTCGACACGAACGACAACGAAGAAGACAATGTGAGACACAACAAAATGAACGAAAATTTACCAGCTAGTGCCACTGGCCAGAGACAAGGTATACCTATTACACAGGAAGAACTGTTATGTCATCTACAGTCACGCAAGGGGCAAGGTGTTATTTACGAGATACGCAGTCACAGCAGTCGAATGTCGAAAAAGTTCTTGAAGAACCTACTCTGGCTCCCAACAGACCTGACCCTTAGCTTGTCCAAAGGGTTCCACAACGCTCCGAAGCTGTACCACGACGAAATGGTCAAAGAATTGCCGAAGGTTATCGGCTTCCGGAGTGGGATCGCTGCTGCCGGGACGGTATGTCGCCTGTCCTCGGTGATAAAAGAAGACGTCAGTACTGATCTTTTACCTTTATATCAGGAACTTCGAGATGGATTTTACTACGGTATCACAGGCCTGGTCACCCAGCCTCAGTATGGTGCCAAGCAGCAAGGAGCGAAAGGAATGGTAAAGGGAATCGGGAAAGGGATTGGCGGTGTTTTCTTTAAACCACCAGCAGGTATGATATCGCTATACCCCACACTCTCGCTTTCCCCGGCGCGTATCTTATTCTGACCCAACTACTTCTAGGTCTCTGGGGACTCTTTGGATATCCCTTGGTTGGGCTTCGCAGAAAGCTTCAAAAGTCCTTAGGCAGGAGTCAGGAGCTCTCTATTATGGCATCTCGGATAGCGCAGGGCCTTGAAGACATGCGGGCATCCACTCCCGATGAACGGGCAGAGGTTGCTAGGAAATGGAAGCTTCTTGAAGAGGACATTCGTGCCTCTTACTGATGAGTTCTTTCGAACCACACTTCGCTCACTACTACTCTTTGATACCAACGACCCCTCATGTATTATAACGGCGGAAGAATTGCGTATTTGTATGCATAATTTTACCTATTTAATAGACTACAATTTTCATGAATTAAATGAAAGTATGTAATTGTTCCACTGAAAAAATATTATGTCTCAGAAAATGGATTGCTTCTGGTACAACCCATCAATACGAAGCACCATTGGGTACTCGTATCTTTCATAGACTTGAATAGATGCAAAATAATTTATTACACAATATTCCAGTTTAATCTAACATGAATTCCCTCCTTCCGCTGCTATTGTAAATAGCAACATGATAATCATCCGCTTCTGCGACTCGCCAATTATCATACACATGGCAGTCGCCATAATTAATTCATACAATCGGGTCTGCCGAATATTCCACAATTCACTAGCTGCAACATCCTCAGTGCAAGTAGAGAAATGATCCTCGCCAAGCAGCTCGGATACCGCAGAATCGAAAACCCACAACTCGCCAAATTTTCGGTACGCGAAGCTTGGTGTGTATTTCCCAACGAAGATATCTTCACTCTCAATCCCAGGGAGTCTGGCAATCAACTTCAAGTGACTGAAGGGCATGAACCATCTAGCTAATTGGTCATCTGGGTGGACGTCTCTCGTTCCTTTCCAGGAGAACTTGATATTGGCGTATTCGAAGCTATAACGCCGAGGATTCAACGAGAATGGAGAGCTCCAGTTGAGACGGACCGTTTCTTCGGCAACAGATGGCTGTGGTATAGACCCCTGTCGTACTGCAGAGTGAGAAGGAGGGCTTGGGAATTTCGTATGTGAATAACTCGAGTCTTGCTTCCCAGCTTCAGTGATATTCTCCATCCCAACGGGACCATTATTTAATGCTTTCGCCTTTTGCTTTCCTTTGGCAAGTTCTTCCTTTTCGGCCTTGCGTCTCGCATTCACTTGACGGTGATAACTTTCCCCACTTTCTCCCCAAACCCTCCACGTACGGACCTTATACGCTTTCAAAGCACGATCATCGTTGAGAGTTGTATTGTTTGGGTTACTGCGACATTCCCATTTTACCACACCTCTAGGATCAATGATATCCTTCAGATTACTGCCGAACTGGATTGTCCAATTCCGCCAAAAGGCCCCGCACTTTATTAAGCAGATCGGTGCTCCGTTCTTCCTGTTTCCGCGACGGAGAGTACGTGGTGTATTGTGGAAGAGAAGAGTCGGGTGGTGCACGAAATAGCCGTTGGATTCATCGGTTCGGTCTCGGGGCTTGAGGTATCCAGCTGCGAGCTTGTCGTGTCTCTTTTTGTTGGATCCGAGCTCCTTTCTCGGGTTAAGGAATGGTGTTATTGTGATGTGCTCGTCGCTTTTGTGGTAGACATGCCAAATCGACAAGCGGTGTCGTTTGGATACTGCCTCGTCCAGGGTTGACATATTTGGGTGATATATTTGTTCAGAATTGGACGATCAGTGGTAGATCAGTGGTTGTGATGTGTTAGAGGGTTAGACGGATTTGGCCCCATTTGGGTGCCCAGCTTTTTGCTCCATCGGGCGCAACAGGTGGACTAAGTCGCATTAAATGATCATCTGATTGGGTTTGCTTTAAAGAAAACAAGTCAATAGAGCAGAGCTACTACATATCCTGTAGTGCTAAGGGGGGCTGTGCAGCTAGTCTCCACCTCATGAATCATAGCTCTACTAAGCAACAACAATATAGCCGTAAATCATTAGAATCATATGTGCTTATCATAGCTATAAGGCTGAAAATGGCTAGAGTTGCTAAGACAGGATGAACACAAACTTATAGATCCCCTGCCACCATTCACTCACCCACCTACTATTCGGCGAACAAATACAGATGGGTCTATATCAATCTCAACGATAATAGCAACAGATACAATCAACACCGTTAGAGTGATCTGCCCAATATCAGTTACATCTTCCAACCAAAAAGGATTTGTACCACTCACACAACCTAGTAATATCCCCACAGAATTCAACTCCCAGCCCCCGGCATATATCCTTCCCCTAGAAATAGCATTCTGCTGCCTCCAGAATCGATAGGCCCCAACCAAAGCCACGATAATAGCCACACAGTGACACGCGACCGAGAGGGGTGTACCGACTCGATGAAATCCAAGGCGATCTGCCAACGCCTCCGCCGCCTGCAGACGAAACAGCTGTGCGATAAGCACACCTTGCTGGGCAACGACGAGAGAGGTCCGTATATAGGCAAGGAATGTTCTCTCCAGAGCTTGGATGCAGAGTCAGTATTGTGCAGATTGACAAATCGCAGTCGCAATCGCAGGATACACACCGAAGTAATCCCGACTACTCTTATGTGGCACTGTCAAAGTAACATTATGCGTCCAAATCCGAGTGAGCTTGCCCCAGATCCCCTTTCGGGCTTGCCGGCGTTGCTGCGTATCGGCACGTGATGCAAGAGCGCGTGATGTGGTGCGACGCGTCACAACGCGATATTCATCGCCCGAGGAAGCAGATGGCGTTGAGTAGTCCAGCTCGTTGTCCTCGTGTGTTTGGAGCTGCTGGAGCTCGAGCGCTTCGTGGGGATCCAATGCGTTGTCGTTATCGCGCGATCGGGTCTTCCGCAAAATGGCACCGGATGGTCGTCTAGGACGAGAAGTTTGAGTAGGGACTTCTTTCATATTGCCATGAATGATATCAGCCCGGAGACAGCAGCATGGCTACGGCGTTGCGCTTTTTATCGTTGGCTGAGGGGTGAAGGCTGAAGGCAGATTCTCCACGGATCGACGTTGCCCCCCGCATTTTGACGGTTACTCCTAAGCTCGTTAGCAAGCTCGACGGTATATCAACAAAATTGAAGCTATATTATACGGAAATAATATGGATGCGAGCTGTAGCAAGTTTATGCATGTGTGCGAAAATTGACCAATAATAGGCCCTCGAGGAATTGCACCATCGCTGAAGGCAATGCTAAATATATTCTACTTTAGTATATCGTTTTCAAACCAGCATATTGATTCTACCTTCGCATTCATATTACGCTTGTTTTTCACCTTGCTCAATAGTTACCCACTGGTATTGCTTATTGATAAACACCTCGGTTGTAGGAACGGAGACAGTGTCAAATAAGACAGCCTTCAGAAAGATTTTCCCAGGGGCCTTCGGGGTCTTGGTGTACACTGGGCTGGGATCGATGTCAGATATTATTAACTGCTGAAGCTGAATCATTCCACATACCTGCCATAGCGAGAACAGAAATAACGCTTCATTGCGGTTCGGGTTAGTCTTTCGTTGGAATGCGACAAACAATAAGTGTTTAGATATTGACAAAGGAGCTATGGTTTTACCTCCATAATATTGCTAGTGAGAGACTTCTTGTCCTCGTACATCTTCAATGTCGCATTGGGGTCATTGACGGTCAATTCATCTTCATTAACAAAGTAGTTGACGGAAAATGCTAGGATATTGTAAGCAAAATATGTTGTATATATTGTGACTTTGGTCTTAGCGAATACTCTCGCAATTGCAATGACCTTGATAAGACATGATTTCTGATTGGCTAGTAGAGGCGACCTTTTGTATATCTAAATATGCAGCAACCTTGTTATTTCTGACTTACCAGTATATTTTTCGTAGGGAAGGGGGGGATTTTTGCGCAGTGAAAATTAGTGGAGCTCATGGAAATTGTTCCGCCATTGCCGCAGACCCGCTAGGTACCATCGTCATTGTGATCTTATGTCTGGATTTTGGTTGTTTGAACATTTTGGGACATCAGGGATGGTAGTTGGCTCTCCAGAGGGTAATCTTCTAGTGATAGCCATGTCTTTTAAAACCGACATGTGATTCTAGAGCCTTCTAATTTAAGTGCTATGTCTCAATCCGGTTGGTTAGTGAAACTCTTACAGCCCGTAGAAAGCTGCGCAGTTTCAAATATGACTGCTAGCCCCTAATGCTAAGCTATTTGAAAAGGGAAATGTTCTAGAACTTCCATACCTCGGTTTGTGTATCTCTCGCAGGGCGCATACTTTCAAGTATAGTCCGGTCCGATATCGGCCCCGTTATACTACCTTGCACAGCTGCCCACTCTACAGAGAAAACATATAAAAGAGCTGATCGAACCTCCCAATTACCAGAAGATCCATTCAAGTCTTCACACATACAATCCTTGGAACATTCTCGCTTGGTTTTCTACCATTCCTCTTATTCCTAACTGATATTTCACGCCAAGACCACGACTTCCCCACTTCATACTTCCATCTGTCAGCTATGGCATCCAATACAGAGGGACCTAAAGACCACTGGTCAGCCGAAGTATGTATCGCTCGCGATGATATATCTGCCATAATTAACGAAGCCTAGGCATATTCCGCGTCCGCATCCTTCGTGCACTCCGTAAAAATCACCGCCAAGCTCCTCACTTCTCTGGACCCTAAGCCAACAGACAAGGTCCTTGATGTCGGCTGCGGCGACGGGAAATTCACAGCGAACTTCCTTCCCGCCATAGAATCCGTCTTGGGCATTGACGCTTCTGCGTCCATGATTCAGTCTGCGAACAAAGACTACGCAAGCGCCAAAGCCAGTTTCCGCGTTGTGGATTGCCGGTACCTGGAGAAAGAAACCTCCATTGTGAACGGATCATGGGATAAAGTGTATGTCTTTGATTATAATACATGGTACACAATGCATGTAGCTCGACTGCTAACATTCAGACAGAATCTCCAACGCAGCCCTCCACTGGATCCTACGCGATGAGTCGACGCGCATGTCGACACTTCGCGCAATCCACGGCTGTCTGAAGCCGGGCGGCACGTATGTGTTTGAGATGGGTGGACATGGTAACGTTGCCGAGGTTAAGACAGCCCTTATCTATGCACTAGTGCAGCAGGGTATCCCCATCGAAAAAGCAAGAGAAACAAGCCCTTGGTTTTTCCCATCTGATACTTGGATGACAAGTGCGCTGGAAGAGATCGGGTTCAAGGTCGAAAATGTTGAGCTCGAGTACCGCCAAACAGAACTCACCACTGACGCCAAGGGCGGTTTGGAGGGATGGGTTAGACTGATGGGAGCCCAGTTCTTAGATGTGCTCCCCGAGGAAAAGCGGGATACTGCAGTGCAGCAGATTTGCGACGTGCTGCAGGATGTTGTTACTCGTGTTGAAGATGGGAGCCAGTGGCTGGGATATGTGAGACTGAGAGGTATTGCGAAGAAGATTTAATTATGCGGATGATTTTCGTTGGAAAGTGTTCAGTTAGCAGATTGCTGCTTCCGTCGCTCAATGAGAACACCGAGAGGGATGTCCTCTTCATCATAGAACTCTGCTTCCTCATCCACCCCAAAGTCGCGTAGTCGTTCTCCTTCGGCGTTTCGCCAGGCCTCTTCGCCCTCATCTGGGTAACCGCCGGAGTCAGTTTCGGACTCATCGCTATCACTTTGAGCGTTGTCACGTTTTTTGTAGCGATCATAAAACGGTTTGCGACGTTGTAGACCACGACTTTGCTGGAATCGCTTCATGTCTTCCTGTTTACGATGGTTGAAGGCATCAATCTCATCCTGAATAGTTGCGTAGGTAGGCATGCTCATATTACTTGGTGGCCTTGCACTAGCCGGAATTGGGATCCGGTCTGGATCAGGAGGTGGCCATGACACACCAGGATCTGACAAAAATGATCAGTCATCGAAAAGCTAGAATACTGACCTATCAACTCACCCTCGAAGTCATTGGTCTCAAATTCCCAGCCAGTTTGACGATCGGGTGTTGCAGCAAGGGGCCAGAACCAGGTTATAAACTAGAGAGGCATTAGTTTACATGTCTTGAGGTTTTCGGATCATGAACAGGCATACTCACATTAGCGCTCCCACCCATACTTTGCTTGATGTTGGCCCAAATCCCAATGTCGTATGGGTATTCCTGCTTTTTTATCTGAACTCGGATTCCTCCGGGACCCTCAAGATACCCGCCCAGCACACGGGCGCGACGAACAAGAGTAGCATGTCTCTCGATTTCCCAGGTTTCAATAGTGGTTGTGTTAGATCCAATCGACCATAGACTCCTAAGTAGGAGGACAAAGAGACCGAAAGTTGTCAGACTATTTACCACAAGCAGTATAAACAAGTGGATGAGTTGCCCCAATGTGGGGCCGAGATACTATTCAAATATTAGCGACCTGAATGGTAAAGTGGTTGAGTTACGTACGCTGGGCAGATGACTGTTCTTCCACACAAATGAGGCACGCTGCCAGAGAAGAGTCTCCAGATAGGACATGCCAACAGTCGCGTAAAAGAGAAAGCGCATAAAATGCGGGAGGGTAAAATGTGAGACGCAATTTGAGGTCCAGGGACAATGATGATCCATTTTGGGAATGCATCTGGGAGAATATTAGCAAAATTCCCTACAGCGAACATTCTTCACTGAACCTTTTACAAGTCTTGCAATGGTGAGCGCGAGGCGGTTTGTAAGCTTCGCATCTACGACACCATCGCTGGCGACTAGCGAGTGCGTCACCTTCTTGCTCTTTGGGTTTCGGTCGCTCCTGGGCCTTGGGAAGTCGACCGGGATCTACAAAACAGGTTCGGTAATAGCAAATCCAGATGCACAGGGCGAATATATTGATCTTCCAAGTTTCGCCCGTTGTGAGTGGCACAGACTCGAAGTGCAGAAAGAAGTACTGTGATGTGTAGGCGAGGAAGGCGATCAACACGCTGACTGCGGGGATCGCGAACTTCGTTATTGAAAAGTCCTCGCCCAACATTTCAGCGTCTTCAGCTGTTTGAATGAGCAAGGCTGAGAAGCTGGAAAGGCGTTAAGTTGAACGTGTTGTTTATCGGGATCCGTGGATGGCCGGGTGTGGCTATGCTGACTAACATGTGCCCTCGCGCGTGGAATTGACATGTAGGATGAAATCGACTTCGAAAATGAATTTAGTTTCTTATGTTTATTAAAGAGTATATATGGAAAGATTGTTTTGCATGTCTTAGGCTATACTACCTATGCTCTATCTATAACACTAATAGGGGGGAAATATGCCAAAAAAACATATCTAAAGACTACGCAAAAAAAAGCTAAAAAAAAAGCAGTCAAACCCCACAAAAAATGCGTGACAAGTTGCATGTGCGGCTGACTATTCTTGTAATAAGACGACTTTCTGGGTATGATATAAAGCGATCGAGTTGTGGGAAATATTGTTTTTGATTTAGAATGAAGGCTCCCTGGCACCTGGACCTGGGCGCCTGGGCAGGTACGCTGAAGTGAACTAACCTAATTAGGTTGATGTGGGGGCAGGCATGGAACCTTACTAATTTAGGACAGCCACACCACGTGACAATGGATGCCAAGATAATTTGATCCTCCTTGGACATTGACCGAGTTCGACGTTCATCAATTATAAGCCATTGAAATTGTTCGCATGTTTTTTCAGCCCCAGTCAGATAGATGAAAGACTTTGTGGTGCTTTCGGAGATGAACAACTAATACCAGGCGTGCAGGATGCCGATTGAGGCTCTTCCTCAGAAAACAATCCGCGCGATTGGCTCCACATCTGTCATTTCGGGTCCCTACTCTGTTGTCAAGGAACTTATAGACAATGCCCTGGATGCTTCTGCCACGTCATTGCAGATTGAGATATCTCAAAGCACTGTGGATATCATACAACTCAAGGACAATGGCCACGGCATCTCCCCAGAGGACCAGCAATATGTCTGCAAACGAGCTTTTACCAGCAAGATCCAGACTTTAGATGATCTCAAAAATATCGGTGGATCATCATTGGGGTTTCGTGGTGAAGCCCTTGCCAGTGCCGCCGAGATGTCTGGGGTTTTCGCTGTAACCACTCGAGTTGAGTCCGAAGTTGCCGGGCGATGTTCGAAGTATGGAAGAAACGGAGAGCTTATTGGGTATACTGACCTCGCCAAGTTTTTTGAATCATGTGTTAATGCTGACATTTCATCACAGAACACAACGGACGTCACATCCTGTGGGCACGACTGTTCGTATCACAGACTTTCTCAAACACATCCCTGTCCGCAGACAAACTGCCTTGAAGGGTGCTGCGAGAAATCTCACGAGGATCAAAAAACTCATCCAGGAATATGCTATAGCTCAGCCATCTAAGAGGCTCTCACTCAAAGTGCTCAAGGCAAAAAATGAAAACAACAATTGGACCTATGCGCCAAGTGCAGACGCCTCGATCTCGGATGCAGCTATCAAGGTAGCCGGCACAGATGTGTCTTCTTCGTGTGTCGTGAAGCGACTTTCGTCACAGATAACCGATGGGAATAAACAAGTATCAACAGACCAGGAAGAGTATGAAGCTATCGCTTTTCTGCCAAAGACTCAATTTGGTGAGCCCATCTTATTGAACATCCGGTTATGTTGTTACTAACCAAATTAGATACCTCCAAAATCAACAACGCAGGCCAATATATCAGTGTTGATGGCCGCCCTCTCTCTAGCAGCAGGGGGATTGGTCATGAGATCGTCAAAATTTTCAAGCCATATGTCCGTGTCGCCGCATCTAAAAACGAATCCTCCAAATCGGTTAGCGACCCTTTTCTCTGTTTGCAAATTCGCTGTCCCCGAGGGAAATACGATGTAAACATCGAGCCAGCAAAAGACGATCTGCTCTTCGAAAACCGAGATGCAGTTTTGGCCTTGGTGGAGGAATTGTTTCGCGACCACTACGGAGAAATAGATGGGGCGGAGACAAGAAATTCCAACCGAGGCAAAGATGATGCCTGCAAATCTGTCGAAGGCCCAAGAGGATTCGAACTTTTGATGGCTCGGAAGCCGGCTAAAGAACTTTCCACACAGCCTCGCGATTCTGAGAACCCCCTCAGTGAAGCTACACCTCACACGCCTCTCTCGCAGAAGCCGCTTCGGCCCGAGTACGCATTTTCGCCTGTGGTTCATTCTAGCAGCAAGGGCCCGGAAAGCCCTGAGGAATCGGCCACGGCCAGAAACAAACGTTCCAGCTTCGTCAATCCGTGGTCTATCTCCAGAATTAATGCCTCATTTCTGACACCGCTACGTGGGGGCAATTCCCTCACTCAAACAAGCCCCGTCGATCTATCTAGTGGTACCCTGCAGGGGCCAATCCGAAGGGAGGGTGAATCGCGAGGCCTCCATCATTCACCATACTCAGACTTTACAACCCCTCTTACTTCTCGACTTACATCTGGGTCGCCCGCGAGGCGCCGTGGACAACACCCGCAAGAATCGACCGAGTCCTCCCCTGAGACTAATCGCATTTCGAGCGCCCGACGCGCCGAGCGAGAACGTGATCGAGATCGGTATGGGAACGGAGCTCTAGACACTTTGTTCCAGAGAACCACGCAAGTCTCGCTGCAGCAAACCCCTATCGAGGAAGGACCGACCCAGGAACCAGACTCACCGCTTTCTTTCCTTGCCCAGCAACGATTCGGCTTTCTCACGAGCACTTTGCCAAGCATTGGACATGCTGATGGGCAAGACGATGGTTGCTCGGACAGTCCATCAAATAGCACCATTACTCCAGGAGCTGCTCGTCATGTGCCGTCGCTACCCGAAGACCAAGGTGAGGACATCCCAGAGTCAATGGATAGTGGTCGAGGATTTCCGGTTCTTGAGAGATGGGCCGCTCGACTTCACGAAGGCGCCGGCCATGATGAAACATCTGATCTGGAAAAAGCACTTGACTTCGAAAGGCGGAAGAAAGAAGCCATCCAGAACAGCCGCACACGCTTCAAGACGAAGGATACACCATCCAGTTCGCAACCTGCTCTAGTATCGCATTCGCCCCATCGCAGTCGATATCTTGCCGCAAGAGCTGCATTAGCTTCGTCGCAAACCTCGATCGGCGAACCGGTCTCTGCGACAACGCTCTCTCCTCACGATCCCCGAGCATACCTCATCCGTCAGGAAAGGGACATTTCTACCGATGAACATTCAACGAATGACAAAAAGGCCCGGCGACTACCCACCAGCCGACTTCCCTTCGAACGTATACCCGATGGCTCCGACCTGCATGATCTCGGTTCAACTTGCTCGGTTGACTTGTCGGCCGGCTCGAACTCGTTCAAGTGGAATATACCTGAGAGTCTATATACCGGGAGTGACGACGAAACTACCGCATTCTCGGCCTCTGATCTTGAAAGCTGCTTGCCGTTATGGAATGAACGGTTGATTTCTCTCATAAAACAAAAATACAAGAATATGGATGAACCCAAGCCTTTGAGTATTCACATTGATCTTGCTGTTATTTCTCAGCATGTTCAAACGACTCAAAACAATTAAGGCTGGCCAAACTTACCCATAGAATACCTCGGTATTCACTGACCGCCTTACTCCAGAATACTCCTAATATGTTTCATATTATCTATGTCTCTAGAGATTACCTCTTATTCCATAGACCAAATATCAGAGCTTTCACAATCCATCATTTCCGATTGACGTATAAAATCCTATACAAGCTTTGGGTTAATAAAAAGGCGAGCAATGCAGGTTTCTTTCAGAGCTTGGGTACGTGGCTCTATGGAGGCCTTTGCACCAAAGTCGACCATTTCGAGGTTGAAAGTCGGCCATCGCGATACCAACCATTCTTCCTGTATTATAGGTAAGCTATAGCTTACTTTTCATTCTAAAATTTCGAATGTAATCGTTATGTTTAACTCAAACAACGCCTGGAATGCGAAACCAGCTCGAGATGCGGGCCCACTTGACCGTTACATAATTCTGACATCAACGCCCGGACAGCACCAAACAAGGTATAAAACAACCACCAGGTCATCATCCATCGATATCGTAACTCAGTGCTTCAACGATTTAGGTGATGTACCAAAATGACATTCTTAATCCCCTCCTCAACCCTAGAGAACCAGGCCTCTAGCTCTCTCCATTCCCCACCGCTTAAAAACAAGATAACACCCGGCGACGTGGGAATATTAAAGTCAAACCTCCTGCCCTCATTCGGCCTGTATTCCAGCCTCTCACTCGCAACATATATTGCAGCCGAAGCAACAGACCGAGTCGAACTCAAAGACTGGCTCTGGCCCTCCGCCCAAGTCCTCAATGCGTGGTGGACCGCCGTCGGGCAACCGATGTGCGCACACGACATCTCATTCAGAACAGCTTGTGAGGCTCTACCATGGACCAAAAGGGTTCTTCTAAGCTGCGTTACTATTTGGGGCACAAGACTCTTTGCCCGCATTGCGTCCCGGTCATTGTCCCGTGGGACAGATGATGCGCGGTACGAGGCAGTAAAAAAAGAACCTGGCTTTTGGAGAGGTGCCTTCTTAAAGATATTTTTACCGGAAGCTGCTGTGTTGAGTGTGATCTCATTGCCGTTCACGGTTCCGTTCACTACGGGTGACGCTACGCTTCCGATAGGCGATGATGTGATGAATGTTGTTCGAGCGCTTGGCGTTGGGCTTTTTGGTGCAGGGTTTGCGATGGAATTTATGGCGGATACGCAGCTTGGACTTCATCGACAGGAACGGACGGATTTATGTCGACATGGTGTTTGGGGTTTGGTGCGGCATCCGAAGTAAGTTCGTTTGCGATGAATATATCACCCTTCACATTGATGACGTCTGCTAATTGTTGTCTAGTTACCTTGGGGACACTTTGGTCCATTTTTCATTTGCGTTGCTCAACATGGCTGGTCCGTTTAACCCAGTTGTGATACTGGGACCTGTGGCGAACTACCTATTCCTTCGCTTCGTGAGTGGTGATAAGGAGACTGAGGCTAGCCAGGAGGAGCGCTATAAGTCTCAGGATCCACATAAGTATGAGCAGCTGCGACAATGGAAGCGAGAGAAGAACAGTTTCTGGCCTGATTTGCGCGACTTGGTGAACCCATGGGCATTGGCCGTTGCTGCTTGCGGGTTTATTGGCGTTGTGATTGAGGAGGGGTTTAGAGGTGCATATGAGATGTGATAACGCACCTTTTAAAATTTATACCTACATATTAAACAACAAAACAACCACTCAATTATAATAAGGCTATACCTGCATCTTCTCAAACAGCTATTCGAACCTCCTTTCCCCCCCATCTTTCTTGATCACATCTATATAGAAAGCTCATCCGCACCAACACAGTCACAGAACCCAAGGCAAGAACATTGCCAATTTATATGTCACAGGTACAATGTCATACCGAGACAAACAACAAGTCGCTTCCTGAAATGGGAATATGAAGGACCTGGTCGCTGCATAGGCTGCGAGTTCTTTACAAGGAACGGATACATAGTAAGTTGAATGCCTGTTATATCAAAGAAGCACCTAACAGTAGTGCAGATCGTACGCGAGGCGCAGGAGCACGTGGAAAAGCATCGCAAATATATAAAAAAAGGAGTGTTATGGGACATCAGCTAGGAAGCGGCAGGGATACGGCGACGAGAGCAAGTATTGGAGGGCTTGTGTAGGCTTGCCAGTCTCCATCTAAGAACAAATGTACGGATTCTAAGCTATATCATAGACCTTAATTACTATTGTATTGTAGTCGTAGAAAGTTTGGACTAAGCTCAGCTTGAAAAATGCCCTTCAAATATTTTTTTGGGACAATGACATCACTTCGATAAAGCTGTGGCCACTCATAACCCCAAGCCTCCCATGTCACATAGTACATCCAGGAGTTGTCCAACCGTGTGACATTGACCTAACTAATAACTACATGTGCAAATTCTAATACCCTTTGCCCCGTGTATAAGAGTTGATCAACGGCTTGCCCTGAGCGATGCGCCCCAGGTTTAACGCCAGGATATCAAGAGAGCGCGGGAAATACTCCACACCAAGAGCGCTGACATGTGGACTGATTTGAACATTGGGCGCGTCCCAGAGAGGATCATCCTTAGGAAGAGGTTCGGGATCAGTGACATCAAGTGCGGCTCCACCCAGGACCCCAGATTTCAGCGCATCGACCAACGCCTTCTGATCGATAACCTTGCCTCGTGAGATGTTGGTCACGTAAGGCTTGGCCGTATGGTGATGACTCTGGTCAGATAGAATGGCGAATTCCTCTGCGCCGAGGAGGCGGGTTGTTTGCGGAGTCAGCGGAAGTGAGATAACCAGATGATCTAGCCCGGTAGATAAGAAAGAGCGGATAGCTTCCCGGTCTGTTCCGTGGTGCCACGATGCTGGGATTGAGCCGTCTGGATCTCCAGTTCCGGGCACGATGTAGCCAGTGTCATGGCGGGATTCAGGTGTTGGGCGTGGGCTAGCCGTGTACGCGTGGACGGTCATGCCCAATGCCTGCGAGACGCGGGCGACTGTCGGTGGTCAACTTGGGTTCTTATTTTCATGAAATTTGCAGCTCGGGAGTATTGAGCGACAGCGGGTGAAACGTACTTTGGCGCCCGATGCTTCCGTATCCTAGAATACCCACCTTCTTACCCACTTGGTCGTGAAGACCTAGCGCGTACGCACTTTTGTCCCATGTGTGAGATTTCTGGGCCTCATAACCCTTGACATATTTCCGGGATGATACCAGCCAATTCATCACGGTCCATTCGGCAATCGGAGGACCGTGAATACCCGAGCTTGTAGTGATGGGGATATTAGTTTCTCGCAAAATTGGATTTTGCGAAAGATGATCCACGCCAGCAGAGAAGGTGTGAATCAATTTAAGGCTACAATAATGGTTAATTTCATGTACAGTAAACCTGACTAGGGTAGGGGCTTACTTCTTCGAGTCTTTGAGATCTGGAAGGTCGACGAAAGTCGCGAGAATAGTGGCTCTTTGATATACTTCTGCGCGAGCTGTTAGTTTCTGTGACCTCAAATGTTGAAGAATGGCAAGTTACCAGGCGGCACAGGAACACCCGGCTGAGCATCGTAAATAGTTACCTCGGCATCGGGGAGCTTTTGTCGGATAACCTCTTTCAGCTCTGTTGGCATCGACTGATAGAAAATAACGAGCACATGTTCCGGTAAGAATGCCGCGTCACCCATTATTGCGATGAAATCTAGTGTTGTTTTCAAGATGCGTGTGGGACTCAAAGGAGGGTTGGGGATTTTAAGTGAGAGAGAACTGTCCGGGGCGAAGGCAACGGTTTTCTTATCAAAGTCAAAGTGCCCCGCCTCGGTGGCTTAAAAAGGCGGTTCAGCTTCTCAAAGGGTAACACCTCCACATGAACGGGTCGGATGCTGATTTCTTATTGGAACTGGTCACCATTTTGGGGGAGATGGTGGTAGTTTATGCGAGATGGCGTGGTATGGCGAAACTTTGCTTAGATATGGTCTCAGAGCACGTCGAGTTAGTACGTATGTGGCAGTGTTTTGCAAGAGGGTTTTATAATAAGCTAAAGGAGCTTTCTAGAGCAACGGATGACACCATAGTAAAAAAATACTATCATCATTAGCATTGAGTTTTTGTGACATTGTTAGCATATGCATGACTTGTCAGTTGAAGCCATATCGTAAAATAGGGTCCAATCAATAAGTTCGAGTCTCTGTATTGCGGTATCGGCTCTGCTTACCATTTATGGTTAGTTGGCACATAGAGCCTTGATTACATAACTTAAATTACAAATGTAGGATTAATAAATCCTCCGGTATACCCCGTCTTCATCGCGGGTTCCAATTCGGGGAGACTCTTAAAAAGTTCCGGGAGACTCGTAAGATCGCCTACATGATTTACTATTTTCGAGTCTCCCTCAGCTTCCGGCACCTAGTTAACTAAGGGAGACTCGAAAATAGTAAATTATATAATCATCATTTAGTCCAATCATACCACGTATACAGCTTTCTTGGCCAAAAACATACTAGTTATACTAAACTACACCCAATATCTATATATCATCGAGTACTATAACATTTCTATGTTTGCTTACCTTAATCGAATAATAAATTGCTTGTACTTTACCTCTATATTATAGTATATTTTTATATGGTAGTTCGGCGGTATTTATAAGTTTACTTACTAGTGATTTTCGTGAGCCCGAGTGTATATGCTAAAAGATATATTCTTATATATTGAATATATATATAATATATAAAAAGCTCCTTCTCTAGTAATCCTATCGTTCCTTCCCTATTAAAAATAATCGTATCCTTCCTATACTGGTTGTTTAAATTTTATTTCTCGTGTCTGCTTACAGTGCTTTTCTTCTTCCTCCTCTATATTTCTTTCCCTTTGACATTTTATCTATATATCCTAAACATATTGCAAGCATAAGCATGAACGCTATTATAATCCAACTTGGCTTCGGCCCGACACGGGTAGACTTTGACAATCCTATAGTTCTAGCTGCTAGCCACCCTGAGCCCCTCACTGGCTATGCGTATGGTAAGGAAATCTCAAACATACTATGAGGATATGCACTCAATATGCTAAACATATGTTTAGGCCCAATCCCAAACAAGATATTGCCAGAGCAAAAGACCAATCCACCATGTTTCACCGCTGCGGAATACGGGGAAGGATTGAGAGGAAGAGGGGACTTATCAGTCACGCCCACTTCTTTCTTGTCGCTGTTCTTACTGAAGTAAGAGATGAATACTGGGTTGGTAGGATTGAGAAATGGATAGAGAATATAGTTGTTGGTTTCGAGAATCAAATGTGCCCTTCTTTTCGTGCTTTATATTTATATATTTCCTATGTGCTCAAATTAAGTATGATAGATCCTCGAAAGAATGTATGCCGATTCAAGCCGGGCCGATGTCGATTCTAAACATTGGATATTCTGTTGGAAACCTTTACCGCTCCGAAAGCAAGAGATGTGTATGAAATGTCTCCGTGCTGATAAATCCAAGCATCAACCGACTCTAACCGATAGAGGGTGATGGGAGGTGTGGATGAATCCATGAAATGGCTTTGCCATCATTGGTCTAGGATCTGGAATGCGGTTTCTAACTTGACGTGGAATAACCAAGCCTACTCCCTCCCATCATTGTGTATTCGAGTCCTACCACGTTCACTTGAATCGGGTATTTCTTCTACATAGAAAAGTCTCGACGCGTTCTCACTAATTGACTCCCAAAACTTTCTTTCCCTTAGGTCGCTTGGCAACCAATATCCACGACTTTGTTTCGCACTATAGCGTTTATATCAATTCCTACGAAGCAAAAGGGTGTCGTGGTCGAAAAGACGGGCGACCCCGAAGCCCTCGAGTACAAGACCGATCTTCCTGTCCCCATCCCAGGCAAGGATCCAATACTGGTAAAGAACCACCTAGTCAGTATCAACTACATTTGACACATATTACCGGAGCGGACTCTACTCTTTCACCAAGCCACAAATCCTTGGCCAGGAGGGTATAGGCACCGTCGTCAGCCTTGGCCTAGGGCAAACCCCTTACAATTTCGCCGTGGGAGACCGAGTCATCTGGCTTCATCGGGGTAGTTACTGCGAGTACAGTGCTGTGTCGGCAGAAAAGGCCGTCAAGGTTCTAGATGGAGTGTCCGAGGAGGATGCACTGGCAGTATTTCTCAGCGGATTAACCTCGCTGACGGTCGTGAAGGAAGCATACCCCGTGCAAAGAGGTAACTGGGTGCTCATCCATGCGGCTGCTGGTGGGGCCGGGTTCCTCATGACTCAAATCTTGAAAAAAATCGGCGCCAAAGTGATTGGGACGGCCGGTGGACCGGAAAAGGTAAACTTGGTAAAATGCCTTGGAGCGGATTTTGTGATCGATTACAAAGGTGAGGAGGGTAAGGGCTAGGTGAAGAAGGTAAAGGAAATGACGGATGGCGAGGGTTTCGATGTGGTATATGATTCCGTCGGCCAAGATACTTGGGAGGGTAGTTTGGAAGCTGTCAAGAGGAAGGGAACCGTCGTGTGGTTTGGATATGCCAGCGGACCTGTTCCTCCGTTCTCTATTCAGTAAGTTTCTATGGACAAGCTATGCCACTTCGCCAGATTAACGATGTCACCACCCTAGGCGTTTGGCTGAGAAGGACGTCAAGATTGCTCGAGCACAGCTTTTTGGTTATATTGTGACCAGGGAAGAGTTTGATTACTACACGAGCGAGATTTCCAGGCTACTGAAGACCGGTCAACTGAAGACAAAGATCCACAAGACATATGCTCTAGAGGATGTGGTACAGGTATACATGGTAGGTGCCCTCTATTAATTTGAACTTCGTCAACAAGAATGCGCTCTTTCTATAACTCCAAGAAAACTGACGAGTCTAACATGAGGAGGATATTGAAAGTCGGAGGACGACAGGGAAGCTGCTTCTAAAGCCATGAGAACCTGTCTTTCACTCTTAGGTATAGACAAATCTGCCAAGAAAATCGAGCGCTATTTGGCTGCGCTGAAGGGCATTATGACTACAATCTTTGACCTCACCTTTTTACCTGAATCCAGCTCGAGGGTTTTCTGTCCACTCTGTACTTAGGTTTGGATCCACGCATCTCTTTTTTGTCGTCGTTTTAGTTGCGAAGTAGGTCTAGTATGCCAATCGAACTGTACCTGGCGATGGGCAGTGTTTGGGAAATATTAGAAGAAGAGTTTTGTAAGGCTAGAGAAAGAAGAATGATGGATTCTGATAATATATCACAAGCAGAATGATATCTAGATTGATCTGGACTTTTACAAAACCTCATTGTGAACAACTTTCCATTTTAGTTGGTATCCATGTCCTTCGTTGAATCCGTTCATCAACTAGTAACAAGAGAACAGACAAGATGAAAATAGTCTCATCTGATTCATCGTATCATATCTGAACATTGAACAGTGCCTGATATCTTTCAATCTTTCACTAGAGGGGTGACCTGACAGTGGTGCGGAACTAGAGAAAAGAGTCAGTCAGAACAAGATAATATACCAGAGAGGGCCAAATAGGCCAAACAGATGCGTTGTCAAATATGGAAACCAACTTGTGGGATTGTATACTTACAGGCAAGATCTCAGTCTAGCGGATTTGTTTCAATCAGCACTCCGAGATGTCCAGTGTTGGTGGGGGTATTGTTTTATCCCCCATACCCCTTCCAAGTCCCAAACTCCGCTGTCAGCGTACACATCGCCCTCCACTATTTTGCGCACATCATCAGTACTTTCTGCCACAACTATAAAACTATACTCCTAGCATTGGAAGCTAAGCTTGCCTGTATCACGCCTTCTTGTTACAATTTTTAGTGGATGTGATCCTGCGTATCAGTAATCCACGATTCAGGATCGACAGAGTTTGGTGAATATTCTTTGCAGGTCATGAAACCTTGGATCGCTTCCAAGGTTGTCACAAGGCAGGCGCACGAAGAAGTTCCAAGGTTCAAACTTCCCCGTCCTGGCCGACACCTATTAAACACAGTTCCCTTTTCCCATCCACTCCATACAGGTCTTGCCCATGGTTTGGCAGTGCACCCCATCACGGTCACGGCAGGCTTGACTTTCAATCCAATAATCGTTAGATAAGTCTTGAGTGAAACACAAGTATGCCACAACAATGGCTTCAAAGAGCACGGCAAAGGGTACCGTTGCCCTGTTGAGTCCAGGTCTCACTGCCAACACAATTATGACACCAGAGAAGACCCTTGGGATCATACTTCTGCTTGATTGCGTAAAGGCGTGGGTAGTTGGATCCCCAGAAAGACCACTGCCAGTTTGGCTCGTACGAATTTGCCTGTTCAAGATAATGAGCCACTGCATTGAGCTAGAAAAGATGACGGGCAGCAAAAGAAATTCTTACTTCGTTGAAATAAGCACCAGTATCAGGTGCCAATTGTCGTAATGCATATCCTCTCTTAAACGTCATGTCATGGATGGCCTTCTCCCTCAGATCATGGGGAAGTGTGTCATCCCATGTTTGAGTTGTGATAATATGAACGCTTGAATCGCGCCAGGCGGAGTTCAAAGCATTGTTAACAGGGATTTCGCTCGCTGTCATGGTACCGGAGACAGATGGATCGGATACTCCTCTCTGTATTTGATGTCAGCTCACTCTACGAGAATTCATGACGTTTCAATGAATGCTGTACATACTCTTGAAAGGGAATCTGGGGCCATGATTGCGTCAAGAGCTTTTGCCAGCGATTGGGTGTCCTTCATTTCTCGCCTTGGGATGAATCGTGATGACCGAGTGCTATGCACTTTCCCTGTGCTTCCGTACAGCGGTATGTTCTTCACAAGATCATACCAAGACGAGGCCCACTGTTTAGTAAACTGGGAGCTGGCTGTCGCGCTTGCTTCTCTCAGGATTTTTCGCATGGGCGCCAGAAGGGTGTCAGATGTCTTGTTTCCTGTGTTGTACTGCAGTAAAGCAACATTGAATGACATTGGTGAGCTAGACAAGGTATAATACCCATGAACTCCAGACTTCTGCAACTGGGGGAACTCGCCATGCATCCGTGCAACGAGGCTATACCACTCCTTGGTGGATATGTTGTTCTTGGGTGATACTACGATCCCCATCAGCATAGCTGATGGCATCTTATATACCTTGACCGTGACACTAATGATGATGCCAAAAGTGCCTCCACCCCCACCACGAACCGCCCAAAAGAGATCTTCATTTTGGCACTCATTCACCCTTAGGACCTCACCGCTCGGTGTCACAATTACCGCCTCGATGATGTTATCGGCTCCCATACCGTACAAACCAGTTGCGAGACCGTGGCCACCACCGGTAGCCCAACCAACAACTCCAACATCCTATGAAGGTCAATAAAAAGCCAGTCAACGCAGCAATTGGAGAACCTGGTTTCACATACATTGTTTTGTCCACCGACAGCAATAGCATCGTGTTTTGCCATAGCTGCAAACAACTCGCCGTCTTGCACACCAGCACCCAAAGTAGCTGCCACACCTGTTTTGTTGCTCAAACAGCTCTGCGGTGTAAACATTTGATGATACTGGATATTTTTCATGTTATGTGTCCAGATCCTGCAGCCATTAGCCTTTTTAACTTGAACGATGCAAAGGTACATACGAGAGACTTCCAGGGTTGATGCTATATTTTGTCATTCATTAGTTGCTTTCAGCCAGCTCACAAAGAAATTGCAAGGTACCACTAACCTTCTCTCGCCGCTATGTCCTGTATTCTTGATGTTGAGCCGCAAATTCCATTTTTTGGCGAAAGCAACAGCGGCTTGGACATCTTCGGCCCCTGTTGCATTGACCACGTATGGAGGGTAATTGCCTAGCGAACATCCTTGCTTCCCCGCTTTCGAGTTACCAGAGACGCTGGTGCCATTGGGAAAGATTGGAGCACATGCACTGTCCAAAGAAGGATCACCAACGCTCGTCGGGTTTGCCGAATGGAATGGCCAAGTAGTCCAGTTGGACCGAAGGATTTGACAGGTCTCGGCGTTAAAAGTAGGCGCCGAACGGTAGCAAACAGATGCCACAGGCGTCGTTTTTATCAGACGGCCTGAGATAGTGTCGTTGAGTGAAGACCATTCTGTAGTTGATGGCCAACATGGCATGGAAGGAACCTATCTTGTGTGAGCGTAAGTATTAGGAGAGAATTCAGGAGTCACCAACACATTTGCAGTCCGCTGTGGCAGCAACACCACGTCCCGCTAGATATGCTGAAAGCAAAAATTGAAGTCGCATAGCGGAAAAGATGAGAATCAGAAACCGTAAGCTTCCCAAGAGTGAAGACAGGCAAGCAATCTTAAGTACTTTGTGCTTTATTCGGATTTTCAGGTAGGGAGAACTGAGTCTCCACTCCCATGAAGGGTCCATTGCCACCTAATGCAATTTATTGCTCCACGAACTTGGCATCGAATCAGAATATTATATCTTTTCATCAATTCTAATTTGGGTCTTGACATAACACCTTCATTACTTTTCATGGATCTATACTGTTGTGGATACTAGCCAAGAGCAATAAAGGATGTGGAACTGTGGACATAAGTAGTAATTTTGTCGTATTCGCGACAGCCCAGTCCAGAGGAGGTATCTTGGACGATCAGCGGACCCACGTCAGGGGTTTGGCCGGTGGTATGGTTTTCGTACATCCTCAGCATATCCACCGTCCATGCACTCAATTGAGTTATTCTCGTGGAATTGCTCCTACAGACGTCAGTGTCACGGAAAGTCGGGTAAATTAAGCAACATCGATCTTGACTACAGAGAAACTTGATATCCATGTCATCATTGCTTATCCGTGGATTTGATTCCGCCAAAGGGGCGAAAGTCACATACTAAGTCTCAGATGGCTGTGTCGTGTGCAGAAGTCGACGGATCAAGGTGAGTAGGCTACACCCACCCTGTCCTATCGAAGCAATCATTTAAAAGGGGTGGAGGTATTCACGGGCTCATACATGTTGATCGTGTGGCTTCATCGATACTAAGTTTATACTGCGATGAAGATAGGCCAAGTTGTCGAAATTGCATTCGCTTCTCAGTTGATTGCCGTTACTTGCATGGTTCTCTGTCTGATCATCGAAATCCCCCACCCCCCATCTCTTGCAACAATTCCAATTAAACATCACAGTCGTCGTCGATGCTTCTGCAGACTGGAAAAGCGCCCGGAAGACCTTGGAAAGCCTGGAGTTCCGTCGCCGCATCCACCTCGTCACCAAACCTAGACCATGGTCCTCCCACCAAAGCAGGATCGGATGATATTTCTCCTAACGTAACTCATTTCGAACGTCTTCATCACCATTCCGCCTATGATCAAACCCCATCCTTCCGTCATATTTTCCGCGACAGTTTTGCACGGCGGTGATTCGATGCGTGGATGTACACAATGGAGACAGAGAACGACTGGAGAAAATTCAAAACCAGGACAGAGACAAATCAAAAATAGAGTCTCACAGGCTGAATGTGCCGCTTAGAGATTTGCCCAGCGCTCTTGACCACATACATAGTATTTACAAAACAGTCATTATATGGTAGCTCTTGTGTCACACCATCAAACACAGTAGATACAATACTTCTATAACAGGCCAAGCTAATTGTATACTAGCGCACGGATGTGGCGCCGAAAAGAGTGAAAGAGTGCACTTCTTGTAGAAGCCGAACTTGTCAGCGACTATAGAACTTGCAAGTAAACTGCAAATTCCGCATAGACAGGCCCAAATGCCAAACTCTTCCTAGTTACTCCGACAGCCAGCCGGTCTGTATGGAACTGGTGCTGAATAGTGATATTATCTTATGGGTGTTCTGTTTTTATCCAAAGAAAGTAGGGTGAGATGGACATTCCATTCCAAAAGAAGAAAGTCGGCGAATGAGGAGAACAACGGGTCTGAGACACGAGAGATGAATCAGCATTCTGTTCGGCGATCAAGCTGCCACATAGAATATGGGCTGCTGACAGTGGAATAACCAGAGACTCATGCCAAGAATGGGATTATTTAAGCCTGCGCGGGTTCAGGGCTGCGCCGGTTTTGAGCCTGTGACAGGTTCGAACCCGCGCTGGCTTCGACCCCACTATTGTCCGACCGGGATTCCATCAATGCACGTTAGGAGATAGCTTAATTCTCTGAACGATCAGATAATCATAGTTACTAATGGATGATAGAGTACATGGGTCTTTAATGTTAGAACCTAGCGGATCATCAGGAATATTCGGATTCCGATGGGGACCAAGTTTTCCATTTAATAGTATACGGAAAGGATCATGACTAGGCAGACTTTTGTGACCAATAATAAGAGAAAAAGAAGTCATAGTTGTAGTAAGAATGGGTGAAGGTTGTATCTGAAAAGGAGGATACCAACTAGATATGTTTGCGATGCCGGTAGACTTATAGATTTTATGCATTAGACGAACATGTATTTATTTTTCATTGGCATCAATATATTCGTGGTCATAATTCAAAGTACCAAGTCTCATGACTTTGACCTCTGGTTGTTTCCCATAACGAATGGTCTCTTGGGATATATATGTTGTACTTCGCTGGGAGGAAATTGATGAGACCCATATATTCTTCTCAAGCATTCCGAATCTTATTTTCTGCTGACACATAAATTATACCTCTACTTACTATATAAACCCCTAATAAAAAGTAAAGCTTTATAAAACTCAATTTTAATTCTTGTTTTTCGGCCTCCTAGTATCTATTACTTAATATCTTATAAATAAAATCAAATCAATCAGTCCTATCAGTTAATTTATAAGTGATTCATATATAGCTTTATATACGGCTTAAACGGTAATTTCAATACCCCCAAAAAACAGGGGAAAAATGCATTAATTATACAGCTGCGATAAATTGGCATGTTTATATTGTTTGGTTAATAATGGGGGCCCATTATAGGCCCCAATGGGCCCAAAGCCCAGCCCATTAGTGGGTTGGGTTGGGTTGGGCTATGGGCTTTATGGTCTATGCAGAGGTCTAGCTCGGGTCACTACTTAACTCAGAGGTTGGCTCACTGGTTTACTAAAAATGTCATATGACGATAAAGGTCGGCTCACTAGCTTACTATCATTAATAAATTTCGGTGGTTTTGCTGATTATCGCTTAATATAAACTAGTGTCGAATACTAAGTCCGAATACATGGTAGAAACCAGGTATTATACCGGAAACATCATATGACATTGGGTACCAGGCATACTATATAAAAGTGTATATTATAATGTCCGTAGATTGTTGAAATAACGGGTTTTGTCATTTTAGTTAGAGTTGTCAACATTGGCCATCTATACCGTACATTGTTCGTACACCAGCTTTCTGTCAAAATATGTCAACTATGTAGGATTAATAAATCCTCCGGTATGCCGATGTTCTTACGCCGGCAAGTAGTTGATCCCTCGGAACTGATGGTGAGATTCATGCAAACTTAACAAACATTTTTAGCGACTGATTTCCAACTGCAAGCATTGGGAATTGACAGAAAACTGGCGTACGAACATGTATGGCATGGATGACCGATATTGAGGACTCTAACTAAAATGAAAAAACTCGCTAACTATTTCAACAATTTGAGCAGCAATGACTAAACGTAATATATGGTATGCCTGGTACTCGGAGTCGATGAGAGTCGTTGTACCAGTCATGGCGTCGATAATGGTAAAAATATCAGAAATAAGCCTTTGCGCACTAGGAAGTCGGCTAGTGATGTTCTCAGAGTCCCTTTTTGATATTTGATACGAAATCACTAGGTGAGCATCCAAAAGGGTTGTACCTTAACGGCAGTGAGCATTCCGAGACGAGCCTGCGAATGTATATCGAATTCATATCGTCTGCAGTAAATCGATCTCACTTCTCACTTAATTGTATAAAGTATGGGGTCTATAGTCACTGTAGTACATAGTAGGTATCGGATTCTGTACGTGCTAAGAAGAGCACGTTACCTCTCGCGTCCAAACGCATCACGTCAACTTTAAACACCTGCAACCGTGGGACCATGCACATCTTTAAATAGCAAAAGATAAGGAGCCCCTCATAGCCGCCGATAAAAATACCCATGAAAGCATGATCGATTATTCCCGCTTCCAGTATGAATATACCGGCGAGCCTTTATTGGGCGGATGAAATGAGATCCTTCATTCCTGGGTTCTCTCTGTAGAACTGGAGCCTTCTCCATCGGAATGGCTCCACAACAAAGATCACCTAATTTTAAACCCGCAAAAATTCCAATTCAATACACAACCTACCTCTCTGAATATCATATCGCCTCAACAAATTGTCGCGCACAAATTTCAAATTCAACCTGTCAAAAATGTCACTGGAGGTCCACCCCGCGTCTCCCACCGATGCGCCCGAACTCACGCAAGTCTTTTACGCCAGCTTCCGTAGCGACCTTGACACAACCATGTTCCCAAACACGCCGGATGTGACGCAATGGTGGGAAAAATATTTCAGCGCCGTCATCACGGGCTCAATTGCAGGCGAGACCAACGATGTATTGCTCAAGGGGACGGAGGGCTCGGAGAATGGCGGGACTGTTGCATTCGCGAAATGGAAGCGTCCTGTGTCGGCTGCAGATCGCGGTCAGCATCAAGAAAAAATTGTGTGGCCTGCTAGTAGTGATAAGGAGCTTTGCGATCGATTTTTCCATGGCATGGAGGTGCGGCATGAGAAGTGGATGGGGGATCGGCCTCATTATTGTACGTTTTCCTTTGTTTTCTTTTTTTTCTCGACTGTTGCTTGCAGTTTTTGAGTTTCGCTTTATACTTGTTCTATTCCTCGAGCAAGCACAAAACGAACCGCCATGGCTAACCCCGATGCATAGATCTGGATATGTTGGGTGTTCACCCTTCCCAAGAAGGCAAGGGCCTTGGGTCGAAGCTCCTCAGATGGGGTCTCACACGCGCTGATGCTGAGGGTGTGGAGGTTTATCTGTCTGCGTCTCCAGCTGGGAGACCCTTGTACTTGAAATATGGTTTCCGCGAGGTTGATTCTTTCGAGCCATATCCCGACTACGTGCAGGTAGCGATGATACGCTCCCCGAATGGCCAATAGAATTCATAGTCACCCAAGTAAAATGTAACAAGAATGTATTCTAGGAACTTTTGCAAAGCCGCATGATCTATGATAATTGTTAGAGATGCAATTGATCTAAACTCTAGTTGAGCCCGACATTCTGTCGGCTCAATACCTGTTTATGCGCGCTAACTTCGATTTGCGTACTGGTTGGATAACTTTTGTTGGCGTTGTTCTCAAAGGCAAACTGTGGGACGAGACGGATAGGAGAGTTGACGAAATCACCGAGAGCGCCATAATGAGGCCAATGGGGAGCAGTCGCAACCTTGAGCGTGTTTGCATTGCCGTTGCAACTGAACGATGACAAATAAATGCGGAGCTCGACAGCAACGCCTCGCTCATAGTCTGTCATTGTGCCGAGTGGGTAGTTGAGATGTGTTTTCGGAAGAGTGTGCCACGGGAGCCAAATGGTATGATCTATTTGAAGGAGGTATCAACAGCTACGATATCTTTGTCAGCAATATCATCGATGGGAGTTCAGTAAGAAGGTTGACTTACGGGGTGCATTGAATCGGAAAGCCCAAATATGCTTTGACCCGTGAGCTGCGCTCAGCCAGTGACCCGTCATCCTCTCAGAAGTGAAAATGCCAGCTTCGTCGAAGAGGCCCAAAGCCATCCAATATGACTAACCTTGGAGAGGGTAGTGCCTCTTACTGTGGCTGGTCTGAAGTACGTTGGCACAATTTTGTCCGAGAACAATCCGTCTGATGAATTTATAATCATGAAAATTGTAGACAAGACAACGAAGTGTGAGGTAGATTTCCAAGGACTTATGTCATCTAGTAAGCACATGACAATCTGAATATGTATTTTCAACATCGTGATCATCCACGCCGGCGCTCTAACTTGAGTTTCAACCGGGAGCGCGAACCACGCAGCACCCTTGAGACTCCAAACCGCACCACAGAACCAAACAGGGCCCCCACCCGAAACCGCGCTGCTATCGAAAGTGGTGATGATATAGGCAATCAAGCCAAACTTCCCCCAAAAGAACCCCATGACACCCAGACCGAACCCACGCACTGTGGTCGGCAAAACCTCAACAGTATAGAGAATCAGTGTAGCCATACCAGCAAAGCAAAGGAAGCTGATAATACACTCAAAGGCCAATTCAGAATTGCGAGACCGGGCCAAAGTAGCGAGAAGCATGAATAAACCAGTCAAAATAGCAATGCCAGCTCCGGTGCGCTTCCGCCCCAGACCTTTCACTTCGATCAGGATAGTTGCCACGAGCGGGCCGGGGATAGTATATAGGTACCGGCTGTAAATGGAAGATCTTGAGGCTGTTGTCGCGTTAATTTGGGCTACACCTTTCGCCGCGAGGTAATTACCGATATATGTTTGGTGGAGCACGAAAGTCAGACCCATTACGCTCCACAACAGGACAAGACACACTGAGCCGTAAATATTGAGCGAAGAAACAAGCGCTTGCGAGCGAGATTCCGTGCGCAGTTCAGCTTCTGAAGCATCGATTGTGGAATCAATCCGCGCAAATGACGTTTCGGTAAGCCATGTCTGGCGCTTGTTAGGCAATATCCTTCACGAGCTGGGTTGCTTCTGCGTCGCGGCGTCGTGAGAGGAGGAATTTGGCGTTTCGTGTAGACTCAATGAAAAACGACATAGATATAGGAATAGAGTCGCACACCCGAAGGTCCACCATACGTACCGCCAGCCCTTATTGCTGACGTAGTGATATGACGAGGAGGTGCTGGATGAGGAGCTGGCACTGCTTGAATGGCCGAGGGCACGTTTGCTGCTCATCCAAGGTTATTGGGAAGCATGGCAAAGTATAACGAGGAAAATCCCGACAGAATCTGCTAGGTTGCAATAATCAAGGCCTGCTCTAGGCTGCTTGTTAATCCCACACTCTAGAGAACCAGTGGATCGGGATGGTTCCCTTCCGCGTGGTATTTTGCCAGGATCGCAAGTGCTTCATTGCTTCTATCTTTGGATACCAGCCAACGTGGGTTATTTGAAACAAAGTATAATCCAAGAAGTTGGACAAGAGATTGAAGGCCCTCGAGGGCAGATGGAATTCGCCATGCAGCACTACCATCGATGCGAAATGTCCCAAAGATTGACCAGGCAACAACAATTGATCCGAGAGAGTAGACTGTGTTAAACATAGCTGTCGCCGTAGCTCGGTGCGCTGGGTGTGTGATCTCTGTGATAAAGGGGACTCCAGATGCCCCAAGGAAGACTGTTCCACAGCCTAGAATCCCGCGAGAAATCAAGAACATTTCGAGGTTCTGCGTACCACTTTGGAGTGCTTTCCCTCCGCAGCATATGATTGCACCAAGGACAATACCAGAGCGTCGACCCAGACCATGGCATCCTGAATGGACAGAGTGCCCAACGGACTCGGCTGGAGCATTTGTTCACTTTCACAAGACCATAACCCCGACGGAGAGTATTTCAAAGCCAGTACATATTCAAATCACCGTCGACACGAAATATAAGCTCTTTATAAATTCCGAGTTTGTATCTGTCAGTCCCGTCAAAGGGGACCGTCATTTTTGGTTTTACGATGGCTAGATATTCAACCAAACTTGAGATTGGGAGCCAACACCATCAGTGTGAGGGTTTTATGATTATACCATGCCACTACACACGTAACCAGCTTTCCACGATTACGTGTGCCAGGTCTCCTCATTCACAACGGCGGTTTGGATCCCGGTTGACCAGATTTCTAAATATACATAATGCTTAAAATGGAAGAATGCAGTCAGGTCCCACTAATAATAGTTTTACACGTGGTTCGCACAATAGCGCGAAACTCTGTGTCAGGATATTCATATCCTTTCCCCACTGATAATATCGCTAATTAACTTCCTAATATATGTAGGCCTATTTTTTAAACTCTGCTGCCTGAATGGTAAAACCAGAAAGGTTAAAATAGGTGGACAGCTAAAAAAGGGCTAGCGGCGACGCACGGATCCAGCACCGAACCCTTAATCGGGATCCGCTAGGCCCCATCTGACGAAGGGTACGAGTACGAGATCAGCCTTAACTTTCATTTGCCTTTAGTAGTTCAACTTTCCCAGATTCCAGATTTCAAGATCTTTCACCAATCTCGAAAACATGGGTTCCTCTACACATTCTGAGACCGGGAAAGAACAAGCGGAAGAGCCAGCACCTCCTGCATATTCGTTGGTTGACGATGGTGGACTCGTGACAGAATCAGGAAACGTGCAAGGTCGGTCGAGCCACGATGATGATGGTTTGTCGGCCCACTCTAATACTTGTTATAGGGGACGGCCGCATTGATGTGAACCTCGAATCCAAGATCGCAAGAACCCTCGCCAAAATCATTGACCTACAGCAAGAAGACATCCACAATCCACCTCCCAACTATATCAACCTTACCAAGCAAGTGACCTCATGCGAGTTCAAGCTCAACATTGTCATTCAAATTGTGGGAAGTCGTGGGGATGTGCAACCTTTTATGGCACTCGGAAGTGCATTAAAAAAACATGGTCATCGGGTCCGAATAGCCACACATGATGTCTTTGCAGACTTCGTACACGAGTCAGGATTAGAGTTCTACTCCATCGGTGGAGATCCTGCAGAATTAATGGCATTCATGGTCAAGAATCCCGGATTGATTCCACAAATGAAGACACTGCGCGAAGGGGAGGTGCGAAGAAAACAGGCTATGGTAGCCACAATGCTCGATGGGTGCTGGAGATCGTGCATTGAAGATGATCCAATCACCAAACAGCCATTTGTTGCAGACGCCATCATTGCTAACCCTCCTAGCTTTGCACACGTTCATTGTGCACAGGCCCTAAGCATTCCAGTCCATCTGATGTTTACGATGCCGTGGAGCAGTACCAAGGCGTTTCCACATCCTCTCGCCAATCTACATTCCTCTTCTATGGATCCTCGCATAGCAAATTGGGTTTCTTACGGAGTTGTTGAGTGGTTAACATGGCAAGGGTAAAGTAACCCATGGAGTAATACGGGATGTGACTAACATGGGGATTCAGGCTAGGAGATGTGATCAATCGATGGCGGATTTCAATAGATCTGGAACCTATTCCTACAACGGAAGGGCCCAGCCTTGCTGAAAGATTGAAAGTACCTTACACATATTGTTGGTCCCCAGCCCTTGTGCCAAAACCACAGGATTGGCCAAGTCACATTGGTATGTCATCACTTTGATTTCCTGTTGGAATGATAAAAACCTAATGGTTTAGATGTCTGTGGATTTTTCTTTAGAGATCCCCCATCGTATTCCCCACCTTCAGAGCTGAGAGAGTTTCTACAAGGCTGCCTACCTCCTGTCTATATTGGCTTCGGTAGTATTGTGGTTGATGACCCTCAAAAGCTGATAGACACCGTCGTTCTTGCGGTGGTAAGGGCAGGTGTTCGTGCGGTCATCTCGAAGGGTTGGAGTGGGCTAGTTGGAAGTCCAAACCCGAATATCTACTACATTGACGACTGTCCACATGAGTGGCTCTTTCAACATGTCAGCGCAGTAATTCACCACGGAGGCGCTGGAACTACTTCGTGTGGCCTCAGAAATGGCCGACCGACTGCCATCGTGCCTTTCTTCGGCGAGTAAGTTACAATTTTTCAACTGACCCATCTTTGACCTGCGAGGTTCCATCAGAACTAATTCTCTTAGCCAACCTTTCTGGGGCAACATGGTTGCTCGAGCCGGTGCCGGACCTAGACCTATTCCATTTGCATCTCTCAACTTTCAGAACCTGACTGCTGCTATCCAGTTCTGCCTCACTCCAGAGGCAACAGAAGCCGCACGTAAGCTGGCCATCAAAATGCAGACTGAATCGGGTGTAACCGCGGCCGTAGAATCCTTCCATCGAAATCTTCCCCTGGACAAGATGAAGTGCAATTTAATGCCCTTCCAGGTTGCAGTCTGGAAGTACAAAAAAGGCAAAGGAAACGTGACCTTGTCAAATGCAGCGGTGCAAATCTTGATTGAGCATCAAAAGATAGATGAAAAACGTCTTCAGTTGTATGTACCCCGACTCGAGATAGTATATGAACCTACTAACCGATGACTGCCATGCCCCTCAGTCATCTCGTCAATCCAATCGTTATTGAACATCGCCGCTGGGATCCCGTAACCGGAATCTTTGCTGCGGCCACCACAACCGGGTCAACTATGCTGGGATCGACCGCAGATATGATTTACAACCCATACAAAGAATACAAACGTGGTCGTTCACCAAAACCATCAACGAGAGCCTTGCAAGCCCCGGCACTCCCTGACAGTCCACTTTCACGAGAGCCTTCATCAATAAGATTATCTGATGCTGATGAAGGGAATTCAAATAGTTCTCGGACACCGTCCATTGGGCCTGGATCCAAAAGTAGAACCGAAGAAAGCAGAAGCGGGCTATCCATCGCAGGCAGCATGGCAGGCGCGACAATGAAAGGTTTTGGCAAATTCACCGGATCATACTTCAAAGGGGTGGTAGTCGACATTCCACATGCTGCTGCCGAAGGATTCCGACAGGTTCCACGGCTGTATGGGGAAAAGCCCAAGGATTACGGCGCAATTCAGGATTGGAAATCCGGAGCTATCGTTGGTGGCAAGAATTTCATGGATGGCATGACTGATGGCTTTACCGGTCTCTTTACACAACCCGTCAATGGGGCAAAAGAAGAAGGTGCTTTAGGTGCGGTCAAGGGGTTTGCTAAAGGCACTATCGGGCTTGCAACAAAGGTTCCCTCTGGTAAGCAATTATCTCAATCCATGAAGCTGGGCAGAGCTAACTTAAGCGTGTGTTTAGCGGGCATCGGACTGGTGGCTTATCCTTTTCAAGGAATTACTAAAAGTATTGAGGCAGCGTTTCGTTTACAAAGTCGCAAGGCCATTGTGAGTGCACGGCTAAAGAGTGGGTATTATGAAACGACCAGGATGCAGATGACCGATGAAGAGCGGCGTGAGATTCTGCAGGCATTTGATAGATTTTATTGTGATCAGATATATAGATAGACGTGGCTTGGATGTTTATCTTCAAACTTTTCACTTTCATAGTTTCAGGCAGAGTCGAATTCGATAAGATCAATGCGATGCTCAAGTTAGCAAAGCTACCACGGAGAATGCTGCAAATAGCTAGCTTCCTAGGCGATGATACGAACGAAGAGTTGTCATTGAAACTTTTCTCCATTTCAATCGAAAAGAATGTTCATTAAATTAACCGAAAGATAAAACTTTCTGACAAGATCCAGAGAATTATCTCAATTTTCCGTTAGTCACGGTATGGCAACTCATCATTCTAACTTTACAGCGTTATAATCGCCGCTCTTTCCACCTGGAAGCACTGGCTGTGTAGCTTGAGGAATCAAAAGAAGAGCACTGGGGGTGCTCACTGGCTTTCTCGGGGCGTTTCTTCTCCAAGCACATCAAAACCCCAGGAACTCCAGTAACAATGCAAGCAAGATCGACAAAAGGACCAGCCGTCCAACTCGGTCGGTCAAAATGATTCCATGCCCACATACAAACAGCCAAACAGACCTGAAAGACTGTATTAAGGATATTACCCCACACCACAACATCCATTTTCCACGACTGGGTAGGCGTGGCTTGTTCAATAAATGGATGATATCGTGGAGCTTTTATAGGAAACCCACTTAACTCTTGAGATTTCAAGATCCAGTTCTTATGTATATCAGCCAGGCGATCGAGCCCTTTCCGTTGACTCCCCGGCCAGCCCAATCGCCAGAAAGACCATTGGTAAAGATCACGGATACGCTACGGGACTAATTCAATTCCAGTGACGCAAAATAGCGCATTCAAGATTTGGGAATCGACCTCAATCCAAATGCGACGTGATGAGTCGAGGCTATCGCAACTAGAATCATTGAAATTTCAGCCACCAATCCACTAGGGACAATATTAGCGCAACCCACCAAGGCGGCCAAGCAATTTAAAACAATGTATCGACTCGGCGATATTAGGAAAGATAAGTGTATGTGTCATGAGTGGAGAAACCCAAAAATTAGAACATCTCGTCTAAATAGTAAGGGCCACTTGGCTAAACCTTGTCAGTATTGTTATAGTATTGCAATAATGATGTCATCTCTCTAGCCCACCTAGGCAATATTCCCGCTTATAAATCCAAGGGGGCATTCCAGGACTGCGGGATTAAGGTATAAGAAATGCCTTTTTTTTTCAATTAAAAAATCACTATATAAAACGTCGAAAAGGATCAGTTCTAAGGTTTCCTAACTCGAGACTTTTTGTGTATTCCGCTCGCAGTATTCAACCTTTGCGGCGTTGAATCTCTCACTTTCATCTTGAGTACACGCAAAATGACTAAATTATTCATGTGAGGCTCCGGTCTTGATTTAGAAACCATTGCTCTAACAACCTCTCAGCACCGGTACCACGGGCTATATCGGTGGCGACTGCCTAGCCATGCTTGTTGCCAACCACCCAGAGTTCTCATACTCTACTCTTGTTCGCAGCACTGAAAAGGCCCAACAGGCGAAAGCCCAATACCCATCTGTCCGTATCGTAATTGGTGACCTGGAAGACTCAGCCTTGCTGGAACGAGAAAGTGCCGCCGCAGACATCGTGCTGCGTAAGTATCCAACTCAACGCTAGACGAGTATAATACTATCTGGGCACTGCTTACCCCTACAAAAAGACACTGCAGATGCGTCAGACCATGTAGGAGCCGCAAAAGCCATAATTGCCGGTCTGGTAGCCGGTCATACCAAGGAAACCCCAGGCTACTTGCTACATACCGGAGGAGCTGGCATTCTCACATGGGAGGATAGCGACAAGAACGAATACGGAAATAAAAGCGAGCATGTGTACGATGACTGGGATGGAGTGGATGAATTACTCAATCTGCCAGACCACGCATTTCATCGGAATGTTGACCAGCTCGTCCTCGAAGCTGGAACCCAGCATGCCGATGTGCTAAAGACAGCGCTCGTTTGTCCGCCTACGATCTACGGTACGCATTTACCAAAGATCTACAAAAGAGAAGAAATTACTAAATCTTCAGCAGGTAAAGGACGAGGTCCACTTAATCAACGTTCGCGCCAGGTATACGTTTTAGCGAATGTGACGCTCCGTCGCAAGAAGGGCCCGATAATCGGTGCCGGCCAGTCAATTTGGAATCACGTCCACATCCAAGACCTTAGTGACCTCTATGCTCTACTCATCGACGCGGCGATTGCAGGCCGAACTGATGACGGGCTCTGGGGTCCTAAGGCCTACTACCTTGCTGAAAACGGTGAACACTGCTGGGGTGAGATAGCTCAAGCTACAGCAGAGGCAGCCGCGAAACTGGGGTACCTGCCCGAGGCAAAGACCGAGGCACTTGACCCTGAGAGTGCCAAGAAGTATGCAGGATATGAATCTATCAGTTGGGGGATGAACTCTCGTGGTCGCTCACAGCGGGCACGCGAGATCCTGGCATGGAATCCCTCACGGCCCAGTCTGGTGGATGAACTACCGGGGATTCTTCGCGTCGAATGGCAGCGACTGCAAAATGATTCCTAAAATATGAGATGAGTGGGTGTTTGAAATGTCTCTCTTAGGTCTCAGAGAATCATTGATGAGCATTGGTGGGTTTGACTTGAGAAAATGCGGGGTGACTCCGAGAGCTTTTGCTGGGTCTTATACTCCCGATCATTTGCGAATGGAAATTCGATGCGAGGTCCAGCTATTTAAATGCTGACTGGGGACATTTTAATCTGGCCAGAATGCCAGATCTTCAGAATCGAGACATGTTTCAACACTTGCGATAACCGAGCATTATGGCCTATTCGCGTGGTACGAGTGTAAAGGCGGGATATTTTGGGACCGACGGCCCAATTACTCGAGTCTTATCGTATTCAAAGTTCAGGCTCATCATATCGTAAGGCGTAGCAACATATTTCAGTCTCGAATAGCGTCAGCCGATGTAGGGATAGATGGACGCGATTAAGATCCCACGAATCAGCCTAGGCCATCAAAATCCCGACTAGAGAGCTGCATAATACCAAAAAGCAACTGAATTAAAACTCGAATAAACGATACATATTCATGAAATTCATGCAACTACCCGGCCCCGACTGGTGAGACGGCGAGCAATTGTGCCGACTCTTGGCAACCCAACTGTGCTGCAGTCGTATTCGAACCCCAACTAGGGCTATCTTGGAGATCCTTGAGATTAATCTGCTCATGTAGAACATAAAATTTCAGGTCATATCCAGCGGAGTCGGGGTATTTGAATCACGACGGTGCAAAATTTCGTCCTATTCTAAACTTTATATGGCATGTTGTCAACTCCGCCTGGAGGGACATGTGTTATACTAGATGTTATTTACCTATCTACAATGCGGATGCCCATTCCAATTTCCGTTTTTATTCTCCAATAGAGGCTCTACAACCAGTGAGCTCAATTATTTACATTTCACTCATATTCTCACTGCTAGATTGTCATCGCCATCGTTGATCTTCGCCATGGCGGACTCAGATTTCCCATTTTATAGACCCGGAAGGTCCGAATATGACGATAATATGAGCAGAGCATCTACAGTAGTGAAACGGAGAAGAAAGCTCGACGAGGAGAAATTTGCTCTGGGTCGAAGAGGAATCCTAGTCTTCTTTACTTTGTCTGTTCTCACTTTGATGGCCGCTTTGGATGGCACTTCGCTATCTGTTGCTTTACCTGTGAGTGCTTCAACAAATGGTATGAGGTCTCAAAACTTACCTAGCCCAGCAAATTGCAAAAGAACTCAATGGAACGGCCATCGAAGCATTCTGGAGTGGAACTTCGTTCCTGCTATGCTCAACAGGTAAGTGGTATTATCTTTTTCAAACAGTAAAGATCAACCCATTGAACACTAGTATAGTGTTCCAACCAAGCTTCGCCTCCTTCTCGAATATTTTCGGCCGTCGACCTATGATCATTATCTCGCTCATATTCTTCTGTGTCGGCGCTATAATCGCAGCTATCGCCAATAATTTTACCTACATGTTGATCGGTCGATCAATCCAAGGTGTCGGCGGAGGTGGCATTATATCCCTAAGCGAAGTCATAATAACAGATCTTGTCCCTCTGCGATGGCGCGGTCAGTACTTCGGTATCCTCAGTGCAATGTGGAGTGTTGGATCCGTGACGGGGCCTATTCTTGGTGGTGGATTCTCCGAAAATGTGTCTTGGGTAAGTCAGTCCAAGGTGAACCCGCAATTACCCATGCTAATTTAGAGAAGAGATGGATCTTCTATATCAACTTCCCATTTATCGGAGTTGGCGGAATTCTCGTGATCCTATTCTTGAACCTCAAGCTCGCACCGAGTTCACTAGTCGAGAAGCTCCGTCGGATCGATTATTTCGGCACCGTCCTATTCGTTGGAAGCATGTCGTCCTTCTTGATTCCCCTCAGCTGGGGTGGTATTTCATACGACTGGAACTCGTGGCACACTCTTGTGCCTCTCTGCGTAGGAGGAGTTGGACTAATAATTTTCGGATTCTACGAGACTTACTTCGCCACCGATCCAATTGTTCCGCCTGTGATATTCCAGAACCGCACGGCAGTAGCTTCGTTCATTGGGAGTGTTTTGCAGGGCTTGATCCTCTGGTGTGCCCTCTATTACCTCCCTTTGTATTACGAGGCAGTGAAGGAGTATAGCCCCATTATCTCGGGCGTTGCTCTATTCCCCGAGACATTCACCGTTGCTCCAAGTGGAATGGTAGCTGGTGTCCTGATTACGGTAACGGGCAGTTACCGTTGGGCTATCTGGCTTGGGTGGGCTTTTTCAACTGTCGGATTGGGCTTGATGTGTCTGATCAAGGTGGATACTAGTATGGTCGGTTGGATCTTCCTCAACATCGTGCCCGGGCTTGGGTTGGGTATCCTATTCCCATCTCTTGGTTATGCAGTGCAAGCCTCCGCGGACCCTGAGAACCTTGCCATTGCTGTTGCCATGTTCAGTTTCTTCCGTGCTCTCGGTCAAGCGATCGGCGTTGCTGTCGGTGGTGTTGTCTTCCAGAACCGTATGTTCACTAATATCTCACGGTATTCTGCTTTGGCTCCTATGGCTGAGGCGTACAGCAAGGATGCCGCAGGGTTGGTCCAAGTCATCAAGGCGATGGCGGACGGCGCTGACAAGGCAAATCTCAAGGAAGCGTATACGGACAGTTTACGCACAGTGTGGATAGTCTGCTGTGGGGTGTCCGCTGTAGCAATGGTGATCAGCCTCTTGACTGAACATTATGATCTTGATCGTGCATTGGAGACGAACCAAGGTCTTCGTGATGATGATGAGTCTATTTACAGTTTGAAGGACTTGGAGATGCGGGCAGACCGGAGAGTTGTCACGGAGCCTCGGCCTTGGGCATGGTAGTGGATGTTCTTTGTCGACATGATTCATGGAGGGTTCCTAATGTACAGAGTAATGACATTTATTGATGTTGATAATTGAAGACTCCATTTAGGTTCATTTTCACAGTCCAAATTCAATCAAAGTCTTGAGCCCTTCGCCTCTCTCCGTAGTCTCCAAGCCCTCGACACCATCGCACGATATTGGTGATAAGCGGCTTCAAATCGACCTTCCCCAACATCGTCATCTCCAATGCCAGCGTAAAATCCCCATTCCCACACTGGAAATACCCCTTAACAATAATCTCATTTTGAAAAACAGTCAAAATAGTAAAATTGACACTCCGATCTCCTAATCAAGTGTGAACAAACAAGCCGCCAACCCGAAGCAAGTGAACAGCCATCTGAATGCACAACTCAGCGCCAATAGCCCCAATAACAACATCAAATCCAGCATACCAAGCGTCAAAATCTGACTCCAAAATTTGAAGCCATTCCGCCATTCCGACAATATTCTCTTCCGCGGTCAATGATTCCTCAGGAGAAATCAAGAACAGAAACCCATCATGCGCTATCCATTCTAGAGCAAACTTCATCTTCCTCGAACTGGAATCGAGAGGCATTATGACAGTAGCCCCAAACTCGCGCTCAACAGCAGCACAACGGAGCCCAACGGAGCCCAACGGTCTCGGTCCCAAAATAACAACTATATTTCCGGGCTGGACACCAGCCTGCCGCACAGAATGTACAGCAACAGCCATTGACACAACAAGCGCGGCTTCACTAAGCCCAAGGTTTTCTCCAAACTGAATCCCATTATCCCTTATGATGTGGGAAATTTTGTAACAGCAATGGGCTGGAACGTTGAAGATCTTCGAAAGAGTGCCATGCATATGCGGCGGGTCCGCAGCGAAAATTATGTGGGGGCGGATATTGTATTTGCCGCTCTTGCATTGCGCGCAGATTCAACAGGCAAATCCTAGCTCGATGGCTATGGCTAATCGTCACCTGGTTTGAGGGTTGTCACGGAGGGTCCGATGGCGTGCGCTATTCTGAGGCTTTGTGGCCCGTGAAAAAAAAAAGATCCACAAGTGGACGTGGGTGGTTGAATTTGTTAGATGGGGCAAAACAGTCCAATTGACATTGTGGTGATGGAGGTTTATGGGAGCAGGCATATCTGGGGTTTGAGATATTATACATACATCACTTCCGCCCACGCCGACGTAGGCGATGCGGATTGTCACATCGTTGGGATCTTCGGTTACTGGTATCGGGCGTGTTTCAAACCTGGCATCATCGGGGCCGTACATGAGCCAGGAAGGGTTCCCCATGCTGGAGTTTGGGGGGATGGATGGTTAAAGGAGCGTAGGTGAGAGTGTAGCTATATGTAATTTATGGTTTTATGGGAGTTTATCAAACCAACGATGCAATTGTACACTGTTGTTTGGATGCTAGTTCAGGAACTCTTTTAGGGATGACTATAGGTATTACCACCCCGCACCATTGAAGCAATTTTGTTGGGCCGTAGAGGTGAATGGAACGTCAGAGGACATTCGATCGACTGACAGGGAAGATGCAGTACAATACGCATGATGCCGAGTGTTGGAAGGGGGTCTAAGCGTACGGGCTGCCAAGGTCGAGGGTCATCACATAGTGTAGTGATACAATAGAGTGCGTGGCATATACATTGCTGCAAGTAGCCGAAAGAAACAAAAACGGTGTTGATCAAAGATTATTGACAACTTGGGATGTTGACTTGAAACATTCGTGATCTCGTATCACGACAATAAACATAAAGTATAACACCAGAAACAGACACAAAAGGTCGTGACATCGTAAAGTGGACATGATAAATAGCAGAAGGAGAAAAAACAGTATCAATCAACGACCAAGTGCACGTAGCCGGTCTTTGAGTAGATCCATTTCTTTGTCATATTCCATCCCAGCTGGAACGTGCTTTCGTTCCCGGTCACTATCTTTGAGCATCATGGACCGATAGTGACCATCCCCATCCGGTGCTCCGACAGTCACCCAAACAAACTTCGTTCCGGGGCTATTGGGCTGCGAGCGCTCCTGCGTTCCTTGCCAGAACGCTTCGTCGGGCAGGGATTCATCAGCAGAAGCAGAGTCGATCGGCGGTGGACGACCTCCAAGTCGCCCGAACTTGATCCAAACTCTGAGGGTATCTTTTATGAAGGCGATTTTCTGGATGAAGGAGTTCGCATCGAGGATATCCCGGATACGGTCTTCGGTCGAATTGATAGAATCTCCGTTCGCGATGCTGAGGAACGTGGCAGCCTCATCGGAGGCAACGGCGCGAGTGTCAAATCCTGCTGGGTGCATTTTGCCTTTTGCAGCGAAGAATCGAGCGGCGGAGGACGAGAGATGGTAGAAGTCGATCCAGGGGGATGAGCTACGCGTGCGGCCGGGGGAGATCACTAGCTTTGTGTGGTCGGGGAAGTTGAATTGGAAGGCTCCATCTCCGAAACCCCAGATGCCAACATTACCCAAGCGCTGGTAGAACTTGACAAACTGGGCACTGTTGTGTTCAGGCAGGTCTTCGTCCATGATTCCTTCGTCACCATGTCGACCGAGGGCTCCGATCATGTATTTGCCGAACTGATCCACGAGTTTCATGCGCTTTATTTTCTCTGCATCGGCTCGTTCAACCTCGTTTCCTGTGTTGGAGCGAAGTCTCATTGCCTTAGAGGTTTTAACATCGAAGAGTGAGGGCGGGATTAATGCTCGTCGGATACCACGGCATCCTAGCAATTCATCGTCACGGTTCTCATAAAACTCAACCAAGTTTCCAGTGCGAGGAACTAATTGATCAGCCTCAGAGTAGTAAATCGGTTGCTGTTTGCCATCAGCGACGCTACGCGCTTTTCGGCGGATGTGTCTCTCGCCATCTCGGACCACGACGCTCGTCGCCGGTTGCCCATTTTCTCCCTTGAAAACACATCCGACACTGCCATCATCCAGAACATACCCAATACCATAACGGTTGGTGTAGTCAACCCATTTGATGACATAGGCATGAGGCTGTTTTCGTGCCCCCCCTCTGCGCCTACTTGGTGCATGGTTGACCAGGTTGGTCAGCATGAGACGCAAGTCAGTGTTAACTTCGGTCAACGAAGTTCTGGGTAGAAGCTTGGAGGCATCCTCTGTGTGAAATAGAGGGCTGAGCCCTAAGCTAGAGCGTGCCCTGCTACCAGCTGTCTTGCTGTTAGAGCGAGCGATACCATTGGAGTCTGACCGACCAAGTCCATTAGATTCAGCGGAAGACTTCGACTGTGCCAGTGAAGATCGAGCGGACTCTTCGACGGGGCCATCTCTCCGTCGTTCGCTTCGTCCGAAGCTAGGGTTAAGGTCTGCTCGGGAGGTAGACCGTAGAGATGTCTGACGGGTGACCATGTTTCGCTCGTCCAGCCTGGCGGATGGTTGCCGTTCTCTGGTTGAGATGGAAGGCTGCATCAACTCCTGGTCAGCGGCTGCCAATCTGCGAGACTGAGAGCGTGTTTTGCCTACAGTCAGGCCAGATGGCATGCTTGTGGATTTGGCTAATTGTGGGGCAATATCCTTGTCGTTGCTACGCAGTGTCGTTGCTTGAGACGCAGATACCATCCTTCGTGTCCTGATAGGGCGCTCTGCCAGGCCTCCACATGGTACTTCCGCAGCTGAAAGAGGTTTCGGCTCGGCTTGTGGGATATCTCGATATGGCCGAGACAAAAAAACGGCGGGGTCGCTGATTCCAGGTGCCCGGCGGGGAGAGATGGGAGGCACTCGAGCTTGCTGGCGTAACGTTGCGGCATGGCTCTGTCCTTCCATTCGGCGCTGTTGAGCAGCGGCAAGAGCGGCATTGGTACGGGATGCTGCCATAGGGTTGGGACGAATGGAAACACTCCGCTGAGACATGGTGCTGCTGTTAAGCATTGACTCCTCGCTGCGGATTACCTTTCGGGAACTCTCCACGAGACACCAGTCTCCTTCAACGTCATGGGGCCATCGGTAAACATAATCCGGCGACAAGGGTATTATGGGTCGTAGACCTCTAGAATCCTCTACATCACACTCAGAAAAAGCCGACTTCGAGCAGTTTCTCCCAACAGATTTCCGAGCCGTCCCGTCAGGTTTGCGTCCTACCCCGCAGAGTGAGTAGAATGCAGCTTTGCAGGAATGATATCGCTGGGCGGGGTCATCCACCTGGTACACATAGGCGCGGAGCTTCTCATCCGAGTCCAAGCCGTATCCACTTACCACCGAATCACCTTGAGGTGAAGCGTCCTTAAGCCACAGTGGTTTGTTGAATCGGCATGAGGGGTCCAGTTGACGAGGGATGCAGCCATCGTACATGTTGAAGAATGGGTGCTCAACAATGTCATCTGGGTCTGGTCGCTCCTCATCCACTAGGTTCAAACAACGACTGACTAGATCTTTTGCTTCCTCGGGGATGTAGTTGCCGGAGTCTGATTCTTTGGGCCAGACATAATTCAAGTTCTGGACTTTCTTGTAAACCTCATCTTGCGTTTTTGATTGAAATGGTAAGTGTCCAGCGAGCATGGCAAAGCTAAAGCGACGAAATTAGTTTAACGATTTCGCAGCAATATCGCGGCGTTCTTACCATATTACACCAACGGACCAAATGTCAACTTTCTGTGTATGGCCACCTTTGCTCTTGTCCAAAACTTCGGGAGCGATATAGTTTGGTGTACCGCACAGCGTATTCCGTCGTTTGGCATCTTTGTCGGACAGAATCATAGCCGCCAGACCAAAATCTCCAACCTTGATGTTCATGTTGTGATCGAGGAACAAGTTTCCCATCTTTAGGTCACGATGAGCGACGAAACGTTTGTGTAAATATTTCACTGCTGCGCAAAGCTGAATCATATACCGTCGCACTTCTGGCAAGCTGAAACAGCGTCGTTTCCGAAACATATCCATCACAGACCCATTTGGACATAACTCCAGGACCACGTAGGTGCTAGATTCGAATGCGAATGCGCGGTAGAACTGGACGATAAAAGGATGGCGCATTTTCGAGTGGATCTGAAGTTCGGTTCGAAACTGCCACAAAAATTTAGGTACTGTCAAATGGTCGGTCTCTCTCCAGAGGTTCGGCATACCTTCTCCTCCATCTTTTTCTGGGGCATCGCTGACTTGACGACCTTCATGGCGTACACACGGCCATTGCGAGCCAATGAACCCTCATAACAAACTGCAAAACCGCCTTTCCCCAAGAATGCACCTATTGAGTATCGCTCCCCGCCATCCTCCGGTTCTGAGACTATTGACGGTGGAGGATCGGCGTAGCTTTTGGACGTCGCAGGCTTTTGCTTGTTACTTGGAAGCACAGCATTCTTCTCGAATGCTTTACGATCCATGGCCAGCTTCGGTTTGATCATCTGGTTCGTTGTGCGCGGGGAGAGGGCCTCCATTATTGGCGGGTAGTCTTTTTATGGCAGGCGAATTAGGATAATATCTGTAGCAGGCGTGCAGCGGAGGGGGTATCGAGCGTAAAAATCATTAAAAACAGCGACCATATGATGGTCTGAAGGGTATCAAGTTCCGGCAATCTTTGTATCCCTGCAACAATCAAGTCAGAATTCGGTCCACTGTCGGGAACCCGAAGCACCTCTCAGTTGAGAACGCAACATAGGAAACGAGAGATGGAACTTACCGAAATGCAAAGCGCTAATGAAGCAAAACTGTACAAAGCTCGGGAAGCAAATAACGGCGCCTCAATCGAGGGTTGGGGGAGGATGAAGAGTAGAAAGAGTCAGACCACAACAGTTTGCTCAAAACGGTAATCGATAAACACTGGCCGTTGGCCCGCAGGTCACGTGAACACCCTCGGCCTTCCCCACGCATTTCCATTGTCTTAGGTTTTCAATTTTTGTTTAGAAATTAATTACCTACATATGTAGCTTTATCTAAATTTACCAATATAGTCCGTTTAGCATTAACCATTCGGTTGAATCTATGTGCGTTGCTAGGGCTTTATATTTGGTTCCGTGGGTTACCGCGATATATTCGAGTTTGTTTACTTGACGCCAAACCTTAAAATCTTATTTTAATAGTTCACAAACCAAACACAATACCCTTGGAAAGTAACATGAGAGTATGAATATTCAGTAACTACTCCCTATCCGTAATGTGTTCATGATTACATACCATTGAGAGATCTATATAGGCACTCGAGTTGCGTGCTAGGTGGGTATGCTTTTAAGAGTGGATCCTGCAGTAGGCCCTGAGACAGACGCTTCATGTTGTGTGCCGTATACTTTGAGCATGAAGGGCACTACTACCGCGTCTTGACACTGAATTTCCTCCA